CACTTCAATGTTCAGTTAGTGCTGATCTGGAATAGTATGGAGAGCAGGGTGGTGAAGGGTTACGCATGAAGAGACATACATGTAGCTGCTATGTCATCAACTTTGCGTTGAGAGAGTAGCAGACGATCGAATTCTATCCTTCTCCTTCTCCAAGATGAATTGCAATCAGTCTAACGATTTATTTGTGCTCTTTTCTTATGCACGGAAATCTGGCTGTAAGCTGTCCTCAGGGGAGAACATGTTCTAGAATAAGAGCAGTGGGGTTCCATCTGTTCACGTCATGATGGTAGTGAGTCAAGCAAACGTGCCCCCTTCTAGTTCGGAAGTTTCAAACACAACTAATTCCATGATGCACTACATTACTAGAATTTATTACACTGCATCGTCTTGAAAACAATTCCTGTATTGACTCCAGGACATACTAGCTTCAGTACTTCGCCGAAGGGAGGCTTCCAGGTCTTGGTAGACTTATTCTCCTCCAGCATGGCCTCATACGACCTCTCCAAGGCACGAATCCATCGCCCCAAAAACAAAAACTTTCTTCGATAAATTTGAAAAATGTGCAGAAAGACTGCACGCGTCGGCACGCTGTGCGTACGCGAGCTGTTGCGATGCGGGTTGCTACGGTACGCCGCCATATTGATAAATGTCGCACTCGGAACAGCCGTGAGCCAAGCCTTCGTAGATCTACGTCACAGTACGTGGTCGCGTCGCGCGATCCGCGATACCGACCGGAAGCTCCTTGGGACACTTGGCCGTGGCCATTGGCATTGCAGGGTCGGACAGATTTAGCTTGCATTCGCGTACACGTACATGACTTTTGTACTACAGTACACCAGGTACACATTGACCTGCATTCACACTCGCATAGTCGGTGGAAAGAAAGCTAAGCATTGCGGCGGGAAGGGAGGAACAGAAACGTTTTTTGTTTTTGTTTTTGTAGATCAGTGGTAGATGGACACGTTTTGTTTTTGTTTTTGTCCTCATCATGATCCGATATCATCATGGCAAACGAGGTTAGAATACTAGATGGAGCGGAGGAATTGGAGGATTTCCTGAAAGTTGCCCTACCGCGTGCTAGCTTTGTAACGAGGACCACAGAAAAACCGTTTTCAAACAGGTAAGACCCACCAAAGCAGAGCACCAAAATGCTGTCTTCGAAGCTTCGTCGTGTTTATGTTGGTTCCAAAGGAGCAGTGAGTCGTATAATTGATAGGTTTTGAAGAGAAGAATATGTAGTGTGCATTGCCCTACATTAGTGCACAGTGCGTTACAGCCCTGCTAGCGGATACACGTAAATGCATTCACACTCACATAGAACTGTAGGATTATAAAATTTTGATATTCCCTGCAGCCATCCCACATAACGTTCTGCTCCACGTTACAAGGGGGCCTCACATCAACCATATTCCCACACATATCGTTGCAGTGTACATAGCCGAGTCGTTAATGAGTGCTGGTATGATTATAACGTCTTCTACATGTATGTGTGCTATGTCCACAAATGTTGCAGTGTTGAAGACTCGGATCTTCAAGGAGGCCATTCCGCGTCCAAAGGCCTTCATTTGGAGCCATGAACGTGGCGCGAGCTGTGCACAGATAGCTTTTGACGGAGTTCCGTTAATCTCCTGCGGCTTTCGCATACTAGAATGCCAATTTGGGAAGCACAGGTATTGGAATTAAATGGACAGAAAGAATCTGAATGTGATCTATTTCATGCAGTTGCTAGTTACCAGTGAGAACAGTTGTACCATCTCTTGATTCCTTTGCATCACATTTGTCAGTGACCAAGTGTTGTTGTGTCGGCAACATTACAGGTGCCACACCACAAAGTCAAAGTCAAGTGAGTCCTCTAGCGATGTAAGCAGTTCAGCATCATCGCAAACCAAACGGGCATTGAATCCCAATATTATGATGGCGATAGAATAAAAAGTGTAGCTCGATATTAAAAGCTTCACTTGCGAAAATGAGAAAACAGTCAAAAGGAAGTATTTGTACCGGTAATTACAAGTCAAGTTCGAACGAAGTAACAATCAGGGAGAAATAGGAAGATGAGGACCTATGCCAGAGGGAGGTGCTATTCGTCCATATTAACCGTAGAAAAACACTTTCAGCAATCTTTTAAACGGGGTTGGACGACGAGCGGACGTGAGTTCCTGTGGCACTGAGGGTGTTCCAAAGCTTCACGGCGGAAACCAATGGTCGGCTGTCGCCAGATGTTCGCCGAGTTAGCGGAACAACGTATTTGCAATTGTCATTGCCACGGGTGTTACTGGGAGGTTGGAGGGCTACTCTATCTTTCAGAAGAGGGCTGATGCTGCTGGTGTGGACACGGTGCATAAGGAAACGGAGTTTGTAGTAAGTGCAGTGTTATCATGGTTATGGGGAGCAAACCCTTTTCAACCTCTTCGCTCCCTCAAATCGATCCTCTTCCATCATAACAAATATCACCTCTTGCTACCAGCGTCATGAACGGGAAAAGCGAAGGCGGTATGAACAGCGCGTCAAGGAGGTCGAGCGAGGAACCCTCGTCCCTGTGGTTTTTGCACTGCGGCAACAGGTGGTACTGGTCGAGCTGCCTCCGCTCCCCTCAAGACTGCAATGGTGTCCGACCTTGGCGACAAGTATCAGTGGTGAGCCATACTCTGCAGTGATGGGGTGGATCCGGCGCAGATTCAGCTTGGCCCTCCTTCGTGCCATACCAGGGTGGCTTGCCTGCGTGATGCACGGCATGTCGATAGCTGTATTCTCACCCGGAGGTGGCTGGATCATGGTGCATCTGCTCGATTCGCTGTCTCGGAAGCTAGCTGCCATACACTTAATACAGCCTCAAAAACCCAAGCCAACGTGCATATATTTGCACATCCAGACAAGCTACAACTGTTAGTACTTCGAGAAGTAGTATTACTTACGAACACGGCACTGGGGAGTCGTCAAATCGTGACTGCATTGACGACTCTCTGCTGTACATTTTTTTTAATTTTTTTTACTAAGTACACAACCTACTCGTCAGAAGGGGAGAAGACAACAGAGTATACAATGACAAAACAGCAGGGAGAGTAGGGGCTGCAAAGCAAGCCTGTGCTGGTGAGGCAAGCCCACAACACCGACCTATGGTCTCGGCGTTAACGTGAGCTTGCGCACCATAGCCTAAAAGAAGGGGGTGATTTAGTGCGATGAAGACAAGAGAAGGTGAGGTAGAATGGATGAGGAGAGAGAAAGAGAGAGAGAGAGACAGAGAGAGAGAGAGAGAGAGAGACAGAGAGAGAGAGAGAGAGAGAGAGAGAGAGAGAGAGAGAGAGAGAGAGAGAGAGAGAGAGAGAGAGAGAGAGAAAAGAAAGAAAGAGAGAGAGAGAGAGAGAGAGAGAGAGAGAGAGAGAGAGAGAGAGAGAGAGAGAGAGAGAGAGAGAGAGAGAAAGAGAGAGAGAGAGAGAGAGAGAGAGAGAGAGAGAGAGAGAGAGAGAGAGAGAGAGAAAGAGAGAGAGAGAGAGAGAGAGAAAAAGAAAGAAAGAGAGAGAGAGAGAGAAAGAGAGAGAGAGAGAGAGAGAGAGAGAGAGAGAGAGAGAGAGAGAGAGAGAGAGAGAGAGAGAGAGAGAGAGAGAGAGAGAAAGAGAGAGAGAGAGAGAGAGAGAGAGAAAAAGAAAAAAAAAGAGAGAGAGAGAGAGAGAGAGAGAGAGAGAGAGAGAGAGTGAGAGTGAGTGAGAGAGAGAGAGGGGTGGGGGGTGGGGCCGGGGTGGGGGTGGAGAGAGAACAAGAAAAGAGAAAAATAGATTCAAAGGCAGTTCAGATGCAGTGAACATCATGCAATGCTTGGGGGGGGGGGAGCTTCAGGATGGAAATAGTTCTGAACTGTTAGAGGGAGTCTGTGGCCCAAAGCCACTGGCTTCGGCGAAGATGGTAGTGGACGTTCGCTTTGAAGGATTGTAGGCCCTTAGGAGATGGTGGTTTGGTGAAGAGGGAGGATGGCAGCGCGTTCCAAGTGTTGATGTTGTATGGAAAGGCGCGTCTTAGGTAGTTAGGAGCGCCTGGAGGGAGAACATTTTCCAGTTGGAAGGGATGTGAAGCAGACTGTTGGCATTGTCTCCGGGTTACAGGTGCGGCATGGTGGACGACGAGAGGGGGGGGACCATGGATCTCAGCAGAGGAGGACCTGGTTGGCCCAGTAGCTTGTAGACGAAAGTCAGTGCCGCCACTGTCCGTCGGGCCTCTAGGCTCTGTAGCAAGATGTTGGGTCCCAGGATATGGAGGGCACGCCTCTGCACTCTGTTAAAATGTGTTCAAGGTTAGTGGGAGCAGCTCCCATCCAGACAAGGGGAGCGTACTCGAGCAGGGGCCGGACGAAGCTGAGATACACGGCCAGCATGCCACGGCAGTCCAGAACACGAGCAGCTCTACGTAGGAGGCCAAGACGTGAGTTTGCCCTGGCAGCAACTGACCGGAGATGGGCGGAAAAGGATAGCTTGGAGTCAACCATAACTCCGAGGAGCTTGAGGTGTGGCTGTTGTGACCTCCCCTCCAAAGTTTATTGCGGGGACAGGCCAAGGCTGCTGTCGATGGCAGGAGATTCGTAGGAGCTGCGACTTGGATGGTTCAAACTTAACAGTAAGTTAACATGCCACTTTGTTCCCCATGCATGTAACGCATTAACGGAAGCTTGAAGACTGTCAGCTTGGTGTATGGCATCATCGCGTGTATTGACGCAGGCATACAGCGTGGTGTCGTCTGCAAATGTTCTCATTTCAGACCCTGGAGCCAGACAGCTATCAGCATCATTTACATATACTAGGAACAGGGACGGTCCAAGGATGCTGCCTTGTGGCACTCCTGCAGAGATCGGATAGCGATCGGAGCTCTTGCCGCCGATGACCACTTCCAGCGAACGACCTGTTAAGTAGTCTCTAAGTCAATCCAGGAGGGGGGGGGGGGGGCCTTCACACCGATGTTCCGCAACTTGTGCAGTACACCTGTGTGGGAGACTTTGTCAAAAGCCCCGGCGATGTCGACAGCAAGCACCTCCACAGATCCACCAAGGCCAGATGTGGCCGACCACTTGTGGTGTAGTCCCGTAAGTAGATCGGATGGACCTAGGCCTCGGCGAAAGCCAAATTGCCTTGGTGATAGGAGGTTTTGTCCCTCCAGAAAGTTCATTAACTGGCGGTTGATGATGGACTCCATTACTTTGGAACATATAGAAAGCAGCGAGACTGGTCGGTAATTCTTTTCAGCGGATTTGGAGGACTTTTTGTATACTGGAACTACTCGGGCAACCTTCCATGCCTGTGGTTGGTGGCCAGTACTGAAAGACAGGGAGAAGAGGCGTGCTAGGGGCCCCGCAAGCTCAGTTGCGCATTCCTTGAGTACCCTAGCTGGGATATTGTCCGGTCCAGTGGCTTTGGAGGAGTCAAGTCTTGCCAGATGTCGTCGTACTGTGTCAGCCCGGAAATGGATCCTTGTGACTGATGGAGTTTCATTGTCGCCAGAGGCAGCAGGCAGGCTGTCCACTGATATGTCGGAGGCAAGACTGCATTTCTTGGAAAAGAATGATCCAAAGCAGTTTGCCTTTGCCAGGTTGGTTGCGCATTCCTGCCCATGTGCATCAATCAGGGTTGGGATATCAGAGGAGCGCTTAACACCAGCGACTGATTTCATCACCGACCACCACTGTTTGTCACGCAGATTACCCGCACAGAGCTTAGCTTGGACACGCCGTTCCCAAGCTAGGCGGGCCGTGTCCATCACAGTTGAGGCATGGTTGACTGATTGTAAAAAATGTCTGCTTCAGAGGCTCAGAAGATGGAAATCTCCTCCAGCGCCGCCAGGCCTGTTCCTTGAGGACTACTGCGTCCAGACACTCTGGGTTCCACCATGGAGGGTCAGAGGGTGTTGTAGTGTATTGCTTGCACGGGATAAATCGGTGCATCCCCACTAGAATCAGTGTCTCTGAGATGACATCCCAGACCTTGTTGTAGTCGGTATGGGGAGCAGTGACTTGCAGCCAATCTACGGATCTGAAGTGTGCCCTCAGTCTCGACCAATCGGCTTTGTTGTAGCGCCATACTGTTCTAGTAGAGCTCTCCTCCTCTGAGGGAGAAACTGTCAAGAAGTCTGCGATGATGACCGCATGGTCAGAGCGTCCAAGGGGCTTACAGATAGAAGTGCTCACATGTCCAGGCAAGTCTGAAAGGACAAGGTCTAGAATGGCATCACCTCTAGTGGGATCCATGATATGCTGCGTGAGGCAATAAGCAGATGCTAGATCCGCCAGTGCAAGACCAGCTAATGTTGTTTTACTATTTTTGAGCCAGGCGGAATTGTGGACATTAAAGTCCCCTGCAATGACTACATGGTCACCGAGTTGCTGTGCTGCAGGTAATGAGCTGTCTAGGTAGTCGATGACGGAGCAATCTGATGGGCTACTTGAACCGGAACGATACACAGCACAGACTACAACCTTGCCATGAGAGCATGAATCTACTAAGAGCCATACTACCTCAAAACCTTTACAGTCAATGGTGTCAAGGTGCCGAGCATGCAGGTTGGACTTCACCCAGACAGCTACGCCCCCGCCTGAAGCAGTTCGGTCTTGGCGAATAGGTGCTGCATAGCCAGGAATAGTTGACATGGCGAGTGGAACCTTGTCCGGCGTGAATTTCGTTTCTGTGACGATCGCTATATCAGGCTTAGTTGAACTCAGATTGTTTTGGAACTTGCCGAGTTTGGACAGCAGCCCAAAGGCGTTTGTGACTAGCAGCCGGAGACTTGCAGTAGTCATTCTGCCAAGCCAGACTGCTCCGTGTTGACTCCCGGGCTGCGAGGCAAGTCGTCACGATCAGGCTCAACTGAACGTTGCCTAAACTTCCACGGTCTGGCATAGAGTGGCCTTGGCCAGAAGTTTGGTGAGGTGATGAGTGCGAGGGCAGTGGCATCCACAGTGATCCTTGCAGATATCTTGCCATTTTCAGCCTTGTGGATGCTGCAGTTATGGACAGTAGCTGGAGTCCCTGCTGTGCCTGACCTTTTCAGGGTGAAAGCTTTGATGTCGTCGTCAGTGCATGACTCACTCAGGTTACCGACATACAGGACAGATTTCTTGGGTCTGGGTGGCTCTGATGACACTAGCTGCCAACTATCGTCAGAAATGACGTCCAGAGGCTGGAACTCCTCGCCGTACTCCTCAAGTTCCACGCTCGTGCTGTGCTGTCCATCGTGCTGCATGTCTTCGTCACTCTGCGCCTCTGGGTCACTGCCTGTGTCACCCACGCTACAGGGCTCACCTGTATATGCGTACTACTACTAGTACTAGTACTAGTGCACCTGGCAGCCTGGCCTGGGTGGGTACGGGTACGATTTCTGGACGATTTCGCACGCGTAGATCTACGCTGGCTCTGCTGAGCAGCTTGAAATTTCGGAGGAACACTTGCCTTGACAATGGCGGCTTCCTTGAGGGATACAACCTCCTCCGTCAGGCCGGACACCTGCCGCGACAGCTCATCAATCCTTTTGTTGAAGCGAGCCTCACGATCGGCCGACTCGGACGCTAGGTTAGCCAGGGTCTTGATTACTTCCAGCACAGACGACTCGATACCCGGAAGGGAGCACAAAAGTTTCATCTCTGCCTCTGAGAGCCCCTTGAGGGCGGTCTTTGTAGTTGGGGGCATGGCGGCCAGAGGTGGGTCAGCCCTACTACTAATCTATACTTACTACTAGTAGTAGTACTAGTACTAGTCCTCTTGGGCACGCCGAAGGGCTGCCAGGAAGCCGTGGAAACTAAAAACTGCGGAGCTCAAAAATTTGCTTCCACTTCACACACTTATCTCCACGCATGCATGTAACAACTTACAGTGCTGGCAACTGAAATCCGACCCTCCTCCCCCCCCCCCTCCCTAGCGGTGCGCTAGCCGCGTTAGCGATTCGTACGAGACGCTAGGGGGTCGGATTTCAGTTGCCAGCACTGTACTTTTAATTCCGCTGCACATACATGTACGTCTTCTTTTCTCTCTTTCTCCTCCTGACACTGGCTGTTTAGTGTTTTATCTTAAATTCTTTCCCTCCTTCAAATACTGTAGTAGTACTACTAGTAGTAGTAGTAGTTGTAGTAGTAGTAGTAGCCTTTCTTGCTTGCGCTTTTCAGTTTCTTCTTTCTGATACCCGGTTTGTTTTCAAATAAAGGCGAAGTTCAGTAGTAGTAGTAGTAGTAGTAGTAGTAGGAGTAGTAGTAGTAGTAGTAGTAGTAGTAGTATTTATTAGTTTGTTAGGGAAGTCCCTACAGACGTTGCCGTCTTTTTACAGGGAACCCTAAGTGCTCTTTGCAGAGCGAAATGAAAGCGGATGGTTGATCAGCTTGGCGACACAACATAGGCAGCGAATTCCACCGATCAGCGCCAAGTAAAGAAACAGAGAACATGCCATATCTAGTTTTAGCAGCAGGCAAAGAAATAGACGAGAAGGACTGTCCTCTAGTGCGCCTATCTGTACAAGTAGCAGCTGATTGTAGAGTGAACATAGAGGAAAGCAGGGGACTTGTCAGCTTGTTGATACATCGGAACACAAAGACAAAAAGTAGCAAGTAACAATTTACATAGTTGAGGCGAGACTCCAGCGAGTATAATTTAGCATGCTACAAAAGGAAAGCAGTTGGAGTGCGCCTACAGTCCATTCATTGGAAACTGGCACCCTAACTTTTTGGTGTCTCTCTCTCACATAGTTTTAGATATCGTGAAAACAACAGTACATCCTGCATTGCGTGACCCGTGCAATTACTCCTTGCCACATTTGAGGCCAGAAAAGTCCAAGAACAGGGAAATAGAAATTCAGCCAGGTTTTACAAAATTAGGACAGGTATGCCATGGCAAAATGTATGGAGAAGCAGATCCAAAACCCAGATTTTTGAGATTTAAAGTGGGTTTTTGATCCTCAATTCGGCCCAAATCCGACTTTCAAAAGCCAGCGGGCCAGTTTCCGATGAATGGACTGTAGAAAGGCCGAAGACCTTCTTCATACCAGTGTGACTTAGTGTAACAAGGCGAGAATACAGATACGGAGTTAAACAGTGCACATACGAATTACTGGCATACTCGATGGTGGATTGTATTACGGATAAGCAAAAGATGCGTCTTGTGGCATGATCTACTGAGCGGCGGCATCGCCGGAACGCTCCTATTTTCTTATAAACAGACGTGCAAACATGGTCAATCTGGTCTTCAAACGTAAGGTGCTCATCAATAATCAGACCGAGATAGCGAGCAGTTGAGGAAGGTGGAATATCTACATCACCGCATGCAATGGCCAGATCTGGGGCGAGGGAAAGAGGCTTCCTCCGGAGCACCATGAATTTCGTTTTCACGGGATTCAAGATCAGGCCAATACTTTCCAGGTATATCTGTAGCAGGTTCAAGTCGCTTGCTAGTTTGTGCTGGAGCTGGTCAATTGACTTAGAGAATGTATATAGTATGTTCCCATTCCGTTTTTGCTTTGGTGTAGCCCTGAGGTTGATTGCTTATTTATTTCTACCCTTCCTCTCTCCATACTTCTGTCCCCCCCCCCCCCTCTCTCTCATTCCTTCTGTCGTCCACATGTATCAAAGGAGGCGAAATCGCCTGTTTGTGGTGCGACGTTAAATAAACTTCTACAACTACAGAGGCGAGGTAGAAGGCTATTTCATCAGCGTATTGCTGAGACTGTGCGTGCTCGAACAGTCCAGGAACATGTCTCACATACAGTGAGAATAGCAGAGGCCCCAACACTGACCCTTGCGGGACACCACGCGTGCATTCTGTGGCTTCTCATTGCCTTCTGCCGATTCTCACGGACTGATGTCTATCTTGGAGATAGCTTGCGAACCATTCCAATGCCACACCAATGCTCTCCTCCTAGCATTTCGTATCATGTACCTGTCAAGGCTTTCATTTGTTTCTTCTTCTTTCTTTTTGGTGCGTCTTATGTCCCCATGACGTCAAGACCTCAGGTCGGCTGAGGGCAATCGGCCTCACCATCACCAGTACAGATCACTATGCTCCCACTATGCAATTATAATTTTTTGTCTTTGCCTGTAGCTAGCTGTGGGCTGTGATCATTGTAAAAAATACTTCAAGTACATAAAATATATAAAAACGTTGCCTTGTTATTCAAGGCTTTTCTTGGTTTTCTTGGCCTTGCTTGAATGATAGCAAAGTTTACCAAGTACATGTATGATGATTATCACAGGGTGGAGGACATACTGTAGGGAACAGTAGTGTTCCTGACCAGTTCATGCAACCAGACCCGACTTGGCCCGGGGTGATACAGAGGTCTGAACCCTGAACCTTGTACATCGCTGAGCATGAGTGTACTACATAACATTGTAGTATTCAGCCTGTCACAAGTTCCTGTCATGATTTCGTCACTCAGCCGGAAAACCCTGAACACTGAGGCAAACAGCTTTTGGGGAATCCTTTTCAACTCATAATAATTATAATAATACAAATACAAAACCGAGGCACGATCCTAAATAACTCCGGCATAATAATTATGTTCGCAAGACTGGGACCACATCACAGTCTCTCTGGTGCAGCCAGGAACCATCACTGTTTTCCATACACATGATAGCAAGAGTCATCCTCATGGTGTCATTCACTTACAAGCATAATAATAATTGCCCGTCAGCCAGTGGAGAGTATCAAACTCAATGGTAGATTCTATTACGCTGCATTAAGTGCATTGCCTTTACTCACGAATGTTACTACTGCCTGCCGGTTGATTCTTTATTCGGAATATTAAATAGGAAATGGAATAAGACAGCCGCTGACTGATCAATGTAGCTTTTAGAAATATGCAATCACATCTGCACAGCACAGTGTACCATATATATACAACCGCACATTAGGTTGCTAGATACTGGTTGCACGGCTATATACATGCAGGAGCCCAATAACGCTAACTAAATGATACACGGAGAGAGAGAGAGAGAGAGAGAGAGAGAGAGAGAGAGAGAGAGAGAGAGAGAGAGAGAGAGAGAGAGAGCCAGACAAGAAAAACCCATTTATATAAAGGTAGAACAGAAGAACCATCTCAGGCTAGAAATGGATGTGGAACGGATAGGAAAGGACACAAGAACTGAAGAGGGTTGGAAACAGAACAGACTGGCGGCAAGTAAACGGCCAGAACAATAGCATAGGAAGAAATAACACTCACTGTCATGCTGCGACTTTGAGCGGTCATTGGATTCAGCCGGACTAACCGTTATTCTGGAGCCTGTCAGCTGTGAGCTAGCCAGAAACAGATGCCGCAATTTCAAGCAGACTCACGGCAAGGCAGCTGAGGTGGATTACAGTTAACTGCATGCCAAAGAAAGGCAGCATGTGTGGGAGAGTTGCCACCATAGAAACAAGATTACTTGAGTGGAGGCCTTGAACATAATAAGTAACATTGTACGGGTACAGGTGTTTGTCTGGGTCAATCAGAGCATCAATCTTGAGTATGGCTGCGCATAGTCGAAGGAACAGCAAACTGTGCGTTGCGGGAAGAAGATGTTTAGAGAAGGCCAGGGAAGGTTTGTGATGTGGCACTAGTTGGTGACTGACTGCACTGGCCAGCTGCCCATTGGTTGTACTTCTGTGTCCAGAGAAGCCACGCAGACCGCCAGCAGTCCTCGCGATCCGTTGCTGTTGCCGGTGCCTCGCAGTGATTGGGCAGCAGGCTAGGGGCTGTGATGGGGATCACAAACAAAAACGGGAAACATGATTCTAAACTCATCGCTCTGTGTGGCATGTACACAAGAAAAGCAAGTTGCCAGGAATAGTGCAACAGACATGTATACTAGTCAGTCCCACTCTGTACTGGGTCCAGCATAGGAACTCAGTAGTACGGGCAGAGTATGTCTTTGTCAAGTATCGTGAGCATATGCCTAGTGGATAGCAAAAGCTGCTCCCCCTCCCAGTACACACACCACACACACACACACACACACACACACACACACACACACACACACACACAAACACACACACACAAACACACACACACACACACAACAATCTGTGCAGGCTAAGCCTGCCACTGTCAACGGCATCACCGGGTAAGATCACCATTATTTCACATTCTCTTCCCCTTACAACTATAAGTATGAGCATGCTCACCACAGCAGCGTGATCATCAACACATTCTCACTCCCTGCTATCCATGGCAACCATTCTTCTGATGTCAAATGATGTGATTAGGGCAAAAATTCAACGATAAAAAAAACAGCAGGGTAACTTATGGGCATTCCGCATATTCTCCCCAGCCTTACTCAATGTTGGTGCTGGTGTTGTGGGTGCATCTACGCCTATCTCCACTGCTGGTGGGGGCATGGCAACAAGCGGAGGCGCTGAGATGTTGCCCTGTGGGGCCTCAGCGCTGCCGTTGCCGACTGTTCCGGGACCGCTGAGATCCACTGAACCGGCGGTGGCAGAGGCGTTGGCAGTGAGACTGAGAACGCACAGGCTTGCCTCACAGGATTCTGAGCGAGAAGGGCACTCGCTGCACGGTGTTCCCTCCGAGTAGGGCTTCAGGGTGGCTGTGTTCCCTCTGTAATGGCATGTGAACATGAGTTAGAGAAAGTATGGTAAGTATCATCGAATACTATGATTTCCCTCACGTCAGCACCTGATCTGAATTGTTCTCTACTTGGATTTTGGAAACTACATACCGGTACATGAACATTTACAATAGCAAGGGTTCCCAGATTGCCTAGAGTGCTCAACATCACAAGGATGGAGCATTACCACAAAGGCAGAAGAGAACAGAGACAGCCGGCTAGGTCATTGTTGTAACGCTGCGTTTCATGCACATAGCAAAGCTAAGGCAATCCTCAGACAACTGAACATTTACATGATTGTGTAATTATAGACCCCATCAGCAACAAGCAGGTGAGTGGAGTCACTGAACACAGCCACGTGGATGAAGTTGTCGCCTAAACTCCATGGTTAACTAAAGACAAGTGGGCTGCATTCATCACCATTACTACACAGCTTGATCAGTTGATGGAGACACATTCAATCCGGATTGTATTTCATAGACTCTTGCATGAGCGCCGCCTGGAGCCTCTCTGCCAATCTGGACATTCGTGTGAGTCATCCGACATGACAAGGCCGGGATGTCCCCCGATGAGCACAAGTATCACCATGATCACAGAAGTGCTATCTTCCTGCATGTCACGTGACAGCATACCAAGATAGGCTAGGCTACATGTACTCTCCTATGCCTGAGGCTATGGACCGGTCCAGGAAGACCGCGGAGTTCGAGGTGTTGTGACGAAATAATTGGTGCAAATTATTGAGGCCGCTTCTTGCCTGCGAGACTGTGGGAACCGTTCGTTAGTGTGGACATCACGACATTCGCCATACACTGTTCTCGACCACACTGCGGGCGCGCCTGTGACTGTGTGTGTGTGTGTGTGTGTGTGCGTGTGTGTGTGTGTGTGTGTGTGTGTGTTCTACATGTAGACGGTACTTACGCTGCTCCATACAGGCAGGAGAAGAGGGTGGCGTTGGGCAACGACACGCCGAAGAAGTCGAACAGCTGGCAAGTGTAGATGCCGCAGCCGATAGCGTGCGAGCTGCTCCACACGAGCTGAAATCGACAACAGCCAGTACCGGACAACAGCCAGTGTCATTGCAATCACTATGGCATTGGTGTGCTATCTACATAACTTCATAAGTACTGATGACTGTAACACCCCGAAGCGCCATGAAGCCTTGCTACATTTGGTTGCCACCATCGGGCATTCCCACTCAGGCAGCTCGCGCTCGCGGAGGGTCTTCGAGACAATCACCTTTTTTGCCGATACGAGTCAAAGATTACCTTTTGGCACCGGAGAATTAGAAGCAGTCTACACGGTCACGCACTTCGTAGATCTACCATGATGTACAGTTCTAGCAAACGAGCTATCAAGTAACATTAGTTAGTTAGTTATCAAGTACATGTATACGACGTCGTGTAATTATTATTTCACAATCCGATCTACATGATCAATACTGTACTACTGTGTAGGTCACACGGGACAGACACTGAGACAGCAAATACGTAGGCAGTGTCCTGACTTTCGGCAGTTACATTTGCTCACGTCACGAAAATGTGATCGATTGCATGCAGTCGCTGAGTTAGCTTTGGATGCCCGAAATACCATCAACATGTCAGCTTGCCGGAACTTCGCGTGCTTGGCAACGGATAGAAACCGGCGTAGTTAGCTGCTGCGGTCGCCGGATTTCTCAGTGAACTCACTCCACACACACACAGTACACTGTCGACCAAGAGTCAAGAGCTACGATAGAAGATGGCTATGGATACGATCAAGCAACGACGTAACGACGTTACGTTACTCGTTGGTTCCTAAAAATACTGTACTGTTGCAGTGGATGTGTGCATGTGAGTCACACTGACGTGACGCGCGCAGGCAGATCCATGACCATGCTATAAAAGTAGCTGTCTGGTCTGGCATGAGGGTCTGCACAAGCCGACCCAGGCTACAGCCGCATGATGGCCGGGCACCCACGTCTGTGTTTGCCTTCGCCGTCGCTATATAGCGACTAAATCTCACTACAGTCATGTAGCTTGAGGACCAAGCCAAGTAAGGGCATGTCACCAAATGTACGTAGCTCGGGGGGGGGGGGGGGGGTATTGTACTCTTCTTGTTCTTCTAAAAAAATGTGGCATTAGGCAATGGGATAGACTACATGTAACATGAACGTCATTGTACCGCGACCCCAAGTTCGTGTGAGTACATGATTGCACAGCATGGGCAAGTATCGTTACGCCATGGAAACGCAGTCCATAAATGGTCATACCGACGCCAAGCAAAGCACCAAAATTACAATACTACTTCAAAGTAGTAGTTAGTGCGGTAGTCTTCAGTGGTCTTAGCAGACTGCAAAAGGATCACCAGTCCGTAGGTTTCTTTCTCCAACACTGGCACTTACTATCATTCCTCAGGAATTCTATCGACACACAGATAACCAAAGCTCATACCGGTACAAGTACATGTACATGTAGATACTTTTTGTATATGTAGTCATGACTTCGTGTGGCCACTTCTACACTGTATGTAAAGGGCAGGGGGCGGAGGGGTCCACACATCTCGTTCTTACCTGCTTGTAATGCTTGCAGGTCTCCTTTGGGGCACACGAATCGCTGGACAAGTTGTAGAAGGCCGACTCGGCGAACCACTCGTGAATGAAGCGCACTGGGTTGACTTCGGCTGTGGTGGCGTCGTTGAAACTGAAGGCCAGGTTCTCGCCAACACCCTCGGGGAAGGAGGCTGCAGCCTCTGCATTGGCCAATTGGTTAGGTGCCCACACACATCGCGAGCTGTGCTCCTGCGCAGAGGTAGCCAGCTGATCGTCCCACAGCTAACAATGGGCAGAGAATATGAGAACATGCAGACGGCAAAATAGAAGCACATTAGTCCAATGCCATCTCGATCTAGGACTCAGCTGGGATTATGGTCAGGTACATGATTGATGTGCGTGCATCACAGGACCTCTCAATGCCGCAGTGATGACTGTACACCCTATTCTTCCCTCCCCTCTACCTCGCCTCTACTGGCCTGGGTCAGTTAGGAATATAAGCGGGAGGAACTACGCCGCAGTGTCAAGGTGGCGAGTCGTCCCCTTTGAACACTCGATCCTTGGTATACTGATGTGTTATGCCAAGAGTACATAATCCGTTTATGTACTCTTGGTTATAGCAAGAGCACGTTTATTATGTACTCTTGGCAATAATAGACTTAGCTAGATTCAGACCACCATCCAAAAGTACCTTGTGCAATCATACGACTCGAGCAAGGAGTCTAGTGACTCTAGTCACGTGGCTTTATGCCGACAACCAAAACGAGGAAAAAGCGAAACACCCCAGAACTGAGATGGGGAAGTTTCTCCACGCGTCTGCACGCCTAGCTGCAAACAATACATAGTCAGCCGCACTTGAAGTGCCACACCACTAGAGATCCTCCCTCCTATTATTGCAGCGCAATACCACGCCATTGACATGATCAGCCAGCCTCTCGGATACTGCCGATTGCTCATCAAACCCCCAAGTCACCACCTCTACTTAGTCCCCAACCCACGGTTCCCATACCCCATAATTCAGTCCCGAATGGGCTCGTGCAGATCCAGACAGACCTACCATCTTCTGCATATTGCTGGCCTGTGGGAGGACTTCGCCTCTCAGTGCGTTGTGCACACCCACCAGCTCCTCCTTCTCCAATGAAGTCAGCATGGCATGACTACACGTCGCCAACAGCAGAGCACCGAGCGTATTGGCAAACATTTTCAATGCGATTTGCACCTCGTCGCTGTGTTATTCTCCTGCTGTTCTTCTTCGTCGATAGACGTGTCAAAAACACAACCAAATTGAAAGTGAAAGCACGACAGAATGAAAGTAGCAGTGGAAGACCTAGTGCATGTAGGTTTTATCGCCATGATCACTGCTGTCGTACTGACTCGCTTCTCCTGTCGCTGCTTTCTGCTGCCCAGCTACGCCAGCCAGATACCGCCGCCGCCGGTGGCCTCGGATAAGGCAGTGGCGCACGGGTGCGACGGGGCTTTGGTTTCGACTTTCGTCTCTGGTTGGCATGGTATGTACCCGCGTGCTCACTGTCACACGCAACTAGGGTATGAGGTTATTCGCAGGGTCAACATGATATCTATCCAGCATGTCTGTGGGAAGCAAGGACGTCCAGTGTTGTTCCTGTGCAGCTAGCTAATGAGCAAATTTGTATGCTTATAGTAGAGGAAGAAGAGGAGCCTGCAAGCGTGTGTGCCACCGCCGGAGACCGGTTTCAGCGCAGCCGTATGCACTTGATGGCTCGTTGCCCGCGTCAGGAGGCCAGTCAGCCAGCAGGCACGCCAGCAGCTACGTGTGCCCCGAGATCCTGCAACGTAATGCATAGACCATGATAGACTAGTCAGTACTAGTCTTCCCTCCTCTCTACCTAGGGGGGGGGGGCTAGGATCAAGCCATTCGTGGTGTGCACCGTCTTGCTTAGCAGCGTTATTTAGGTCGACTCGGCAAATGGCACCACATAATAGAACGGAGGATGTCACAGCGCAGCGCGCGGTGGACCGCTCTCGGAAGTGGTACTACGTCACCAGCAGCTAATGGATCAACTCACGTTACTGGCATGCCTTTCAAATCATCCTGTCGCTGGGCTGCATGCCGTATCAGACAGAGTGCTAGTAAGTATTGTGTGTCTGAACTAAAAAAGCGTACAATTCTTCCTCGAGCCACCTCGACCTGGATAGGTCCTGCATAAGGCCCTTCGATATGCGGATGTGGATGACAGTGTTGCACTGGGGCTTAGTCGATTCGAAGTGATGGGACACGAATGGCCGCGTAGCTTGCGGCGGTGACATCCAAACGTCGCCTCCGCTACGTAGGTCTACGGCAGGTGCTCTGATTTCACCTTCAAATGTGTGGCATCCACATTCAGGCGATAGCAACGTCCAGCAAGGCGTCAAGGGGTCATGGAAGGGGACAACTACGTACCACAGCAAGTTGTTGCTTACGTGGCTCGCGACAGAAAATTAATGGTTCTCGAGGCCGCCCTACCCCGTTATGTATCTTCATGTACTTCGAAGTACACCGTAGCTGCATTGACCATTGTAGCCCTTCATTGGATCCATGGAGGTGATGCCGGCTTCCCGCATGCCCGGCAGTGCCCTAGTACCTGTGTTTCATCCTGTGACTGTGTAAATGACCTGAGCGAGGTCGACCGTCGAGTATCGCATTCTAATCTAAGTACAACCTGCGTGGTAACTGGTGACATGCGGCGCATTGAAGGAGGTGGACACTTTCGCTTTCGAGTCTTTTTTCGACTCAAGCCTTTTGGACGCTACTACTACTAGTACTAGTACAAGACCATGCCTATAACTGTTAATACGGTTATATCATTGTAATCGGCGTGTAGTGGGCGAAATCACTGGTACAGTAGCTGGTAGCGTCACCAGAAGTACACTATTACAGCCATCACTGCCATCAGCCACGTCATTTAAATGCGGGTTGTAGACCTACTACTTACTGGAGTTCGGCATGCACATGCTACGAGATGCTCCCAATTAGTTCTACGAAGCCTGAACAAGGCCAACTCGTTTCGAAAATCAGTCGCAAGGCACTACGCGGGAATAGTTCGATGGAGGCTTTTGTGTAGATCTACCTCTCAAGACTAACTTGATACGACCATGGCATGCTTGTGTTCGAACATCGTGTTCTTTTTCCGCTCCACAGCTTCAGATCATGTGGCGCTAACCACACCTGCACCGCGCCGTACTTAGCTGCACATATCACAAGTAAGTTTACAATGGGATTGCATGCAATGGAGGTTGCATGACGATCGTACGAGAGCAGCATGTTTCGATGATCCGACTCGTATTATATTCGGTACTCCTTTTCTCGACTTACCCCTGCCTCCACTCATTGCGATTCCCATCCTCCCTTTCTCCCATGTGCATGCATTCCTTACGTCACGTTACTATTACTTGAAGTAACTTACCTCTACTGTTTCGTTCATACTACTATTACTAGCCGCCTTGCGATTGCTACAGCTAACGTATTGCATGTGTCACCTAATATTTTAGCCTCATTAAATTTTGCTCTATATAACTACTTGAAGTTCTTTGGAGATACGTCATGTAACAGTCCAACCCGTGGTGTTCGGCTGCATCATGAATCGTCCTTGCTTGTTTGATGAGAGGGGGGGGAGAGGAGAGAGAGAGAGAGAGAGAGAGAGAGAGAGAGAGAGAGAGAGAGAGAGAGAGAGAGAGAGAGAGAGAGAGAGAGAGAGAGAGAGGGAGAGGGAGAGGGAGAGGGAGAGGGAGAGGGAGAGGGAGAGGGAGAGGGAGAGGGAGAGGGAGAGGGAGAGGGAGAGGGAGAGGGAGAGGGAGAGGGAGAGGGAGAGGGAGAGAGAGAGAGAGAGAGAGAGAGAGAGAGAAAGAGAGGGAGGGAGAGAGAGAGAGGGAGAGAGGGAAAGGGAGAGAGAGAGGGAGAGAAATCTGGGAGAAAATATTATTATGCACCTTGAGAAGATTACGTAGGTACATGTAGCACAATTCTGATGTTCCTAACAGCATATGACCTGCATGTAGATCATGGTGATTGGTTCAAGAACACGTACACGTCGCGGACACTGAAGTGATTCTTAGCAGATGCCAGCAGCTAGTCAATATGCACACCATGATGGCAATGCGATTTCGCAGACAGGTCAAGCCACAGATCAGAATGACCAATGAATTGATAGAAGCCATTTACACCTCGTAGATCTACTCGGATCCACTCCCCTTGACTTCAAGTTGGTAGTGGTAACAAGGGAGTAATGTACTGAAAAAGGATAGCAACAATCTTCGTTTCTGCACAGTAACCGGCTCTAGTTGCTCAACAAAGTTGTGGACAACTATTGAAGCTGATTGCTACCGAGAAATCTACGGGCACTGACTATGTACAGCAAAGGCGCTGTATCATGCGAATGGATGCGGAAAGGCTATGCCTTCGGCAGAGAGCAAACTCCATTCTACTTGTTAAACTTTAAAGACTCGGCGGTGGTGCGAATGACATTTCCGTGACCATCACCTAAAGACAAACTAACTCGGTAAGTCCAGAAACAGTTCACACAAGATAAACCATGGAAAGTTACGCTACCGCGTACCGGTGTACCTATGCCTATGTACATGATGCCTAATGATTGTACATGTGTGTGCTCTTGAGTCCGCACACCATCGCCCGACGAAATGATAAGACTGATCATATTATTATTTAGAAAAGCGATCCTGTCAGCTTTTCTATTATTGTGTTCACATGGCAAGAAAAACGACACCGCTATGCTACGTAAGTTTCTACGTAAGGTGCTCGGTATTTCACTTAGGCTACGTAAGTCTCTACGTAAGGTGCTCGGTATTAGATCTACCAATGCAACGGGTGGTAGCCGCGTGCTGTGCACGTGCACTGCAGACATTGTGTTGCAGTGCAGTTCGTGTTTGGATGTGCATGCGCGAAGAACTTTCTCCTTTGGAACTGCTTCTTGTATGAGCTGTTTCGGATATTTCGTCTCCTGGCCTGGCTTATTTCGTTTCGGCGCTGCTGAGACCTCCTTTCGCGGAATATTACTCAATGACAGGTGAGTTGACCAGTTCCCTTTGATTCATTTGCTTGTGTTGACTCTTTCATTTACGAAAAGTGTGCTGATTTTGGGCGGAATGCAATAAATAATGGAAAAGCTGACAGGATCTCTTTTCTAAATTTAGCTTTTCCGCTGCCGAGGCCTCCTTTTACGGAATACTCGATGACAGGTGATCTCTGAGTTGTCCGGTTTCCTTCGATTCATTTGCTTATGCTCACCCTTTCATTTACGGAAACGTGTGCAGATTTTATTCGGATTTAGATCCATTTTTATCTCTTTGCCCTTGTCTACAGTGTGCGAGTAACGCGAGTTCACCTTCTTGACGGTAAGGCTTATGTTAGATGTGTTGTCGAAGTACTCATATTCATTGTACATTGGTACGTACGTTAAGTAAGGCACTGGTCAATCGCATACTATCGTTGGCAGTTCCCAATCTGGAGGGAAAGGTTCAAGGACCCATTGACCGAGTTTGCATAATAAATTCGCATATCAGGGAAAATCTCCATTGTGGAGAGGTTCAGTAAACTTGTTTGCTTCATACGAAACAAGCCAATGGGTGCAGTCTCGTCTCGTGAAGATCTCGTACTTGTATGATTGGATTTGTTTACTCGAGTCTGGGCTGTTTGATTTATTATTAATTTTGTGAGTACCGCCGAGATTGCACTGCCCCAAATAAAGTTTCGTGCCGCCAAAGCAAGAATTACGATCTGCAATCTGTTTGTACCTGCAAGAATGTGCTGTACATGTATCGTACTTTCTCTGTTGCTGTTTCAGTTGCCGTCATGTTGCTAAAGAAACGTTCAGTAGAGAGGTTCTGCAAAACGAAAATTCGAACGAAGTTTCGCGACAGTCCTTGCGAAAGTGTGTACGAATTTTTGCACGAACTTTGCGTTCTGCACATTTTCGTAGTTTGCGCGGGCCAAGCGCACGTACGCCATGACCCGATCTCACGAAAGTGTGTACGACACACGGGTGTTTCGCAGTGGCCACTCGTCAAGATGGCGGCAAATCCGAGAGTACAAAAAATTCGACTCTGCCTATGTGCGCGGCGGATGCGAATCTCGCACGTGCATGCAAAATCTAGCCTTCTGCAGAGCTGGGTAGAGCAAGTGTGTAGCCAGTGCAGGAACGACGACCTTTTCCGAGAGAGAATGTGGCTCTTTTCATCCCAACATTTTACTCGCCACGCTCTCCCTCCCAGCTTATTGATACGAGTATGTGCTACCGAGTAGAAGTCTCCATCCTCAGAGTAGGCCTGGCAGAATCGCAAGGTTGAAATACTTGCTCACTTGGTTTTTTGGTCCTTTGAGGTGTTGATGTGATTGTTGTGTACAACTCGAAGTGACAAACTTGAGACCCCCGCGCCACAAAAAACTAAGGCGCGCCACAAAGTTTCGTTTGGCTGTTCAATGAAAGGACGTATGGAAGCAGGGATAAAAACTATCGTGGCTGCCGGCAAAACTCTTAGTAATGTAATAAACGGGGGTGAGACTTTGGTAATTCCAAGGAGAATGTACGCACGGCCATTCCACAACGAAGACGAACTACGAGCTCAAAAAAACGCCGATTTTCAAACAAACGACGCAGGAAAGAAGACATGGCCGCAGTGTTCCCGTGTGGCCTTCAAAACACCTAATTTTATTTCGATAGCGGCTGGTTCAGGGCAAATTCAGGCCCAATTCGACAGCGTCGTACCGCTCAGATTCGCCCAAAACACGAGGAAATGTACGGTAAATACAAATGCGTACGCATTTTGCGTACGGGGACGACTGGCCAGAGTTCATGCACTGCAAACACCCGTGGACAGTTCATTTCGCGTCCCCTGCAAGTTTCGCGTCCAAAGTTGCGAATTCATGCGAAGTTTCGCACTTCATGACGTAGAACGAAAGTTTGTACGCATTTTCGGTTTGCGGAACCTCTCTAGTGACTCATTTCTTTCATACGAGACGAGTCAATGAGTTGGTGTGGCTTAGAATCTTTCGCTGTAGAAGAAATCTATTTTGTATGTCTATTGGAGAAATAATTGTATTCACTGGTTATAAAATAGGTTAAGACAAACTACACAGAATAAATACCATCGGTCCCTTGGTGTTCGTCCTAAAGAGGTTAGACTGGATATCATTCATACTCACCAAAAGATGTGTAAGATTTTATTATTATGGAGTGCCTTGTTTATCTCTCAGTACCTCCAACCATAGCCTTGCCCCTTTTATCCTCAGGATCAGTGTAGTTGTTGGAACGAGGTGTCGGACTCAGCAATGTATTTGTTTACATTTTAATACATGTTTATTGTTCCTCCTTTGCTGTGTTGTTTTAGAAAATCGTGGACTAACAGTTTGAAGTCATTGAACTACTTCCAAAAGTTGTATCGACATCAACAGGATTACGATTTCAGTGCAATATGATGCAAGATGACCTTATCACGATAACCCATGATAATAAAACATTATAAACACAGAATCAACAAAAACATGTGTGACACCAAGAGTACATGAAAACCAGAGTGTGCAGCTCGGATGGGTTGCTGTCACGGCGAAATTCCGTGATTACATCATTTTAGTGATGTAGTGCGTACAAGCAGGATTCAAGCAGGTCTCTTTCTGCACAACTGCAGCTCAGTTGTACGCACTACGCCACTTCCTGCCTCAGATCTGGGCCAAATATGATGTAATCACGGAATTTCGCCGTGACAGACACCCATAGCAGAAAAGGCCCCAAGCTGCACACTCTGGTTTTCATGTACTCTTGGTGACACGCATCTGGTTACATTTCTCAAATAAATCTGATCGAGGGTGGGGAAATCTGAAATATCTGAAAGCAAGAGTACATGAAAACCAGAGTGTGCAGCTCGGATGGGTTGCTGTCACGGCGAAATTCCGTGATTACATCATTTTAGTGATGTAGTGCGTACAATTATGGTACAAGCAGGATTCAAGCAGGTCTCTTTCTGCACAACTGCAGCTCAGTTGTACGCACTACGCCATTTCCCGCCTCAGATCTGGGCCAAATATGATGTAATCACGGAATTTCGCCGTGACAGACACCCATAGCAGAAAAGACCCCAAGCTGCACACTCTGGTTTTCATGTACTCTTGCTGAAAGGCAAGACAATTTGATGACAGAGTCATACTACAGCAACATGCACAGAATAACCTCCGTATAAAAAAAAGTATCACCACGGTCCACCACTACTGACATGTTTCCCCGCAGAAGAACATGCTAGTGCCATTTTCTGAAGGAAAGGCTTGCACATCAATGCGTAGAATACGGTATTGATATGATGTGAAGGCCATCATTTAGGACATTCCATTGATTGGTGACAGAAAAAACAAAAGAAATTATAGCAATAAAAACTGCTTTATGGCAGTTTTCTAAAAAAAGTTATTGTGTTCTAGTCCATGGAGGCATGGACCCCGTCTAAAAAGTAAGAAATTAACGAAATGTGATAGCCGAAAATTAAAATTTCACACAAAACCTCACAATAATCACACACAGAATGAAAAGCTACATGTACATGTAGAAGACCTTTTCCCCTCGTGATCCTCTTTCCTATGCATTTATGACATGCATGTTGATAATTGTTGGTGCAGTACAAGTTTAGTGTTGAAAGCAGCATTTCAAGTGCTGTGATTATTGTGAGGTTTTGTGTGAAATTTTAATTTTCGGCTATCACATTTCGTTAATTTCTTACTTTTTAGACGGGGTCCATGCCTCCATGGACTAGAACACAATAACTTTTTTTAGAAAACTGCCATAAAGCAGTTTTTATTGCTATAATAGTGATTGGAGTCAAGAAGGCAAGATCAGAGATCTAATATTTACCGGTCGCATGATTCGCCAGGCCATGGAGTAGGTCTACCGGTAAGGAAAACGTAAAAAATCCCTGCCACACACATAAAACTAGCGCTATCTCTTGGCATGGCTAGCTTGTCAAGCCGAACATTAAATTTTATTGGCATTGAGACTCGGTGAGAGGGCCGCGAGTCAGAGCTAAGCCACTGGGTGGCAGTGTTGCTCTGTTTCCATGCCAATACATGTACACGCAAGTACAATCATGTAATTAGTTGAAGGAACCGCCTGGCCATATTATCACTTTGATCGTCCCTGAAAAATTCGGGGAAGAAGAATGTAGTTTGCTAGCGCTGCGAGCCGTTGTCTGTGGTGCTGTCGTCCATTTTCGCCGAGCCTAATTCAGTTTAGGCTAGCTAGACAGTGGGCGGAGCGTCTAGAACGGAATCGTAGCTAGCAAGCGTAAACGAAAGGAGAGAGGAGAGTGAGTGAGTGGAAGACTCCCGATGGCGATTCCACGTAGCAGCAATGTCCTTTCACGACGCCCGCCGTGAATAATCGCTTTTTTTTCTCTTTTTTTTTTTACTATTGACACAGCCCTACTGGAATACAGGTGGAGAACAAAAAGAAACGAGGAAAAGGACAAAACATAGGGGATGTAGGGACGACGTGCTGATGTGCTGGGAGCAACTCAACCGACCAGAGGTCTCGGCGTCAGCGTTGCAACTAGGCATCGAAAAATGTGTGTTTGGGGGGGGGGGGGGGGTTGCACAAGAACAACTGCAAACAAACAGAAGCTAGAGAATACCACAAAATAATAACTTGGTGCGAAATAATGAGAAGAAAATAATGACGCCCAAAAGCGCTAAATACGAAATTAAGAAAAAGGAAAATAAGAAACCACATAGCGCTAAAGCTGCACCAAATAATAATTTAAATTATAACTAAACCGGGTGGAAAACCAAGAAATCATAACAAACAAGACAAACTAAAATAATAAATTAATGATAAAAAATTAAATAATAAAAGGTAAATGAAGCCCAATATCATCAGCATAGCCGAACCAAGGAACATGACCCGTGCCACAGTCAAGAGTTCATCCGTAGAAGTCGGTAGCCATCAGCCAGTGTTGGTGCGTGAGGTACTTATGGACATCTTCTTTGAACGTGTGGAGCCGCTTCAAGCTGAGTGGAGCCCTTACAATTTCGCTCGGCAAGCTGTTCCACACTGACACTACAGAAAACGGGAAGGAGCGAGAAGCATAGGCAGGTGCTCTCCTGTCCAGGACTTGCTGCAGCTGCACATGGTGCTGCTGGCCAGGAGGGGGTTGACTCCGGGTGGGCCGGGCTTCTACATGGTTGGCTGGAGGGGGGATCATGGCGGTGAGCTGGGGTGGTCCTGGGATGCACTGGAGCTTGTACAGGTATACCAGCCCAGATACAATCCGGCGGTGGCACAGGCTTTGGAGAAGGGCACCAGGCCCAATAATGGCCATTGCACGTTTCTGTACACGGTCGAGTCGGGCGAGGTGGCTGGATGCAGCTCCCATCCACACAAGGGGAGCATACTCGAGGATGGGTCGCACAAATCCCTTGTACGCACAAAGCCGGCCATGGTAATCTAACACCCGGCAAGCCCGACGGAGAACACCCAGTCTCTGGCAGCCACGTGTCGCAATTGAGTGCAAGTGATCCCGGAATGACAGCTTGGCGTCAAATGTCACTCCAAGAAACTTGATGGTGTTGGCTTCCGGAACCGCGATACCTCCAAACTTGATGTCAGGGACAGCAGGGTGTGTGGCTTTCGTAGTCATCAGCAGCTGTTGCGATTTAGAGGGCTCGAATCTGATGCGCCAGCGTTCTCCCCACTCTTCAAGACGCTTGAGGCTGGATTGCAAGGCGGCAGTCATGTCATGCATATTGTCCTGCGTGCGGATGAGGCTGTAGAGGGTTGTGTCGTCTGCAAAGGAACTTAGTCGCGTCTCGGGAGACAGGCACTGATCCAGGTCAGACACATACAAGAGGAAAAGTGTCGGGCCAAGGATACTGCCTTGGGGCACACCTGCTGTTATGGGCGCCGGAGAGGATGAGTCGCCGTGGACCAGGACTGATAGTTTGCGGTTCAGGAGGTAATCCTGCAGCCAGTGCAGCAGGCAGCCACCAATGCCAACGTTCTTGGCTTTGAAAATCAGTCCAGAGTGTGATACCCGATCAAATGCTCCTGCTATGTCCACCGCCACCATGTCACGTGAGCGTACCCTCCATCGCTGACAGTCTTGACCCACTCAGTGTGCAAAGCAGTGAGGATGTCGCACGTGCCTCTTCCTTGCCGAAAGCCATATTGACTGTCGGGCAGAATATTGAAACGCTCCAGATAATTCACGAGCTGCTTGTTTACTATACTCTCCATTACTTTTGACAGGATGGATAGTAGTGAGACTGGCCGGTAATTCTTGGGATCCGAGCGGGGGCTCTTCTTGAATACTGGAACCACATGGGCCAGCTTCCATTTGGTAGGTTGAACACCGTGGCGAAAGCAGAGTGAGAACAGTTTGGTGACTGGTTCTGCAAGCTCACTGGAGCACTGAGCTAGGACTCTTGCTGGAATATTGTCAGGTCCTGTTGCCTTCGATGTATTCAACTTGGCTAGACGGCGGCGTATATCAGCAAGCCGGAAATGGATGCGGTCAAGACCATGGCGGTCCAAATGCTGCATTTCTGGCAGATCATCTGGAGAGATGTCATCATCTGCAAGGCTACACTTCTGGGAGTAGTACCTGGCGAGGCAATTGGCCTTGGCTTGGCGAGTTGGATACTCTGTGCCGTCGGTGTCCTTCAGCAGAGGTATCTCAGAGGCACGCTCCACCCCAGCAGCTCTCTTCATGTTAGACCACCATTGCTTGTCGTTAAGTGAGCCTGAGCTGAGCTTAGCTTTGACACGAGCATCATGTGAGGATTGGGCGCGCAGCAAAATAGCAGCTGTTCGGGCCACTAGGTCGATGAATGAAGCTCGCAAATCTCCATCATCGGGGTGCTGACGCCACCGTTTCCATGCACGAGTCTTTGCTTGAACTACAGTGCTGCACTCAGGTGTCCACCAACAAGGGTCTGTCGTCCGTACTAGTACTGTCAGGGTCTTAGATGGTATAAACGTGTCCATTCCATCCAGAATTACAGTTGTGAGTTGTTCACATGCAAGTTCGGGGACATCGCAGACGACAGCAGCCCAGTCAAAGCTGCGGAAATGTGCCCTCAGCCTGCCCCAGTCTGCTTGGCCATAACGCCATACTTTCCTGCTTGTTGGCCGCTCCAGTACAGGAGTGATTTCCTGAAAGTTGGACAATACTACACAGTGGTCAGAGCGCCCGATGCTGTGTGGACAGTGCCAGCAAAGTCGGACAAGACGAGATCCAATGTGTTTGGCCCACGGGTTGGCTGGGTCACGTGCTGGACAAGACAGTGTGTTGCACTGATTTCTTCTAAGGGGTCGTCGCAAAAGTTTTTTGTCGTCCCTGAAACGAACATGATTCATTTGGGGGGGAGGGGGTGCGAGCCAAAATCGCAAGTCGACCGACACTGTACATATGACATGTACATGCATGCGATTTTCGTCGTCCAGCATAGCAAGCTGTGTTCGTTTCAGAGGGAGGGGAGGGGGTCCGAGTACGAAATGAACGATGTTCGTTTCAGGGACGACAGAAAACTTTTGCGACGACCCCTAAGAACTCCCCTGCGATTGTCGTTCGAGAGCTGCCAAGCCAGGACGTGCTGTGAACATTAAAATCTCCAGCCAGAATCATGTGCTTACCATGCTGCCGCATGGTATCTATGTTTTGGTCTAAGTGCTCAGGTCTAAGTGCTCGAGCCTGCTCGAGGTAGAGGCATCATGGCCGCCATTGCATTGCGAACCAAGGCGGCGCTCCATGCGCCTCCCGAGTTCTGAAATGGCGACATGGTCGTGAGATCTTCCTTGAACCAGGGAGTAGTACAATGGTATTATTGTACTACTCCCTGCCTTGGACTAAGTAAGGGGGGGGGGTTAGTTAGTTATTTGTGGGTCATGTGGTAGGATGGGGCCTGGGGGTCCGTGGGGGATCGTTTACCATGCATGACTGAGTGCATGGCCATGGGGCATGGGGCTCACGCCGGCGCCCTGGCTCACCGTCACCTAGTACCTGGTCACACTCACTGTGACTGTGAGTGTGACGGTGAGCCAGACTGAGCTCAGCTAGCTCAGCCAGGGCAGTGATCTTGGTGATCTCGACTCATAATCAGCAAGAGTAGGTCTACATGAAAACCAGAGTGTGCAGCTCGGATGGGTGGCTGTCACGGCGGAATGGTTTTCATGTACTCTTGTAATCAGTCATATCAAGTCAAAAACAGACAACACGACAACAGCAATCTTATCACCATGATCACGCACGAGCACCATTCCGACCAGGGAGTCGTAAAATACCGGTATTTTACGACTCTCTGATTCCGACGACAACCAGGCCTGCAGGGTTCTAGGCGGGACTTCCCCTTTCTATAAAAAACATGGCGCAGTTCAAACTGCCAAAAAGTAAACGCAAGGAAATGAAAAAAATCTCCACGCTACTACTACTACATGACTATACTGCACTCGTATAATAATGATCGTAGTTGTGTCTATTTCAGTTTGAATAATGAATCAGTGAGTTCTATTTTCGCTGCAACCATGGTGGTTCCTTCAACCAAGTCAGCGTCTGCCTTTAGTATTTACCAGGAGAAGCTGAAGAATGCCTCTCAGCCGTCGCAGGATCCCACCACCGCACCAGCGACTCCAACGGCGTCTAAAAAGTCTCTGAAGAGAAGTAGAAGTAGTGAAGGTAATATTGATAGGTCTTGTGCTCCAGAGCAGAGCTCGAAAGGGAACAATGAGCTGTCAAATTCATTGGCTCTGGCCTTGCTCAAAGCAGATCTCCAAGTAGGAAAGAGGAAGCGTAAGAAGTCACTGAGAACCCAGCTGTTCAGGCGCACTCGTTCCTCAAAGCAACTGGATGTGCTGGCAACTCCACTCAGAGAGGCACCAGCCAGCAAGCTGAAACGTCGCTCTTTGTCGATTGCAAACCGTGCTGTTCAGGCTGCGTCTCATGAGATTGCTAAGCCGAAGAAGCAGGCAATATCACGCTCAGAGAAGAAGCAAAACGGAGCAGCAACAGCAGCGGCGGCATCTAGCAACTGCAAGGGATTTCTGGCAGCTCACCACACTTCTCCAGACAGTAGAGATCGTGCAACGCACATGTTCAACTGGCTGATTCAACCTGTGAAGGTTTCTAATTTCTTCAAGTAAGGGAACTTGTCGCATCTGCTGGTATCATGTTTGACGACAAACACTTTCCGTCTGAGTACTAATATACCATGTACACTAGCGCCATGCAATCCCGCACACCGCGGTGTTTACGAAATTTATATTGTAGGAGATGGACTCGTACAACCTGTACGTGATGTGCATGTGCTTGTGAGAAGGCCTGCGCTTCTTGTGATTGAACTGTAAAATAGCTCAAACATGTGATATTTGTTCCCCTTTTCTATTTGGAAAGCCACAGCAGACTCTATCACACAAGTCAGCAAATCAAGTGGAATACGCCCGACGATACTACATTACTTACTAGGTTCATGGGCAAATCAGGGATGGAAGGGGCGCCGGGGGTGGGGGGGGGGGGGGGGGGGGAGCAGATGGATTCCAGGACCAGGGGTCCTTGAAATCCCCGAAAACGTGGACTGTCGGACCCCTTCACCACTATCCACGAATAAATCTTCCCCTAGCACTAACATAATTTGACTGTTGCCTGATCGCTGTGCTGCAGAACCATCTGGGAAGAAAAACCGCTCTTGCTTCGCCGCCGTGAACAATACTATTATAATGGATTATTCAGCACAGCTGAGTTGGACAACATCTTGAGAACGGTAAGTAGAGAGAGAGAGAGAGCTCATTGCAAGTTTGTTCCGGGTGCTCATGCTTTATTCTCAGCACGTTCACCTGTGCTCATTCACCATCTAAACCTTCAAAGTTCTACCCACTAGAGGACAAACAGTTTTACTGTGAAGTGTTCGTAACTGAGTTTCCTTGCCAGATAAGCTTTAGTTCTCTCATCAGGTCCTTGCCATGCTCCATGATTGTGTGTGCGTGCGTGCGTGCGTGTGTGTGTGTGTGTGTGTGTGTGTGTGTGTGTGTGTGTGTGTGCACTTATTATGATGTGTTTGTAGCGAGATCTCGAGTTTGGCGTCAATCTGGATGTCACCACATATCAAGATGGCAAGCGCGAGACTCACAACCCGCACGGAATTGCTTATGCACCTGTTGTCTGGGATTTCTATCAGGTGCGTTCAGCTTGTAGCATTTAATATTAACACATGTACAGTTGGAGCCAAAGAAATCCGACCCCACCATAGACTAGAGGAGGGTCCCAGGGGCTATGAGAGAGTCAGATTTTCTCATGTGATTAGGATGCGAGCATTGTCATCTAAAAGTGCCACACCTGACATGCATGGATTTGTCAGTCAAAGGACGGTGCGACCTTGATCCGAATTTATGATCAGGCTGTCCATGTGTTACACAAGGTACAGTGATCCCCGCCACCATTTGCACGACGGAATTCTGCTGGTTTACAGCTAGTCTCATGTACTGCTGTAGTGTGTATGGCTGGTATATTTGATTCCGGAAAATCATGCTGGTTTATCAAGAAATACACGGCAAGAATGCTGACTTATACATTGCTGGGTTAACGAGGTACAATTGACATGAGTTTTTGGCTTCAAAGCAACATTACTTCTTCGTTTTTCCTGCACGACTTGGAGTTTGTATGCATTGGGCAACATTGTCATGCCATTGCGGGGTATACGGTACAAAATGCGCCACAAATACACTTGTACACGAACATATCTGACAAAATCGATGTTTCATGACAAACACCTAGCCTGGTCCAGCTGTTCTAGCCTAGAGACTGGGACAAGAAGGACAAATTCTCGAGGATCTTGTTCTACGCTACGTCCCTACATGTCCTTGTTTTTGGAAATGCTTTGAAAATGCAAGCTGATGCTACCCAAGAGTATGCAGTTGTTCGGTTTTTGATTATCCGCTGTGTGTGAATGAAGCTGCTCAGTGTAATGAAGGCAGCGTGGCGCGCAGCTGGCCGGTAGAAAAGAGATCACAGTTGCATACTCATGGTTATGCACTCTTTTTGCTGCGCGTGTTGAGGTCCAGTTTTGATCCCCACCAGGCAATATCTCGGATTTCTCCAACCCAAACTGTACATGTATGCGGTGTTGGTATTGCTGTCGTTGCAGTTACTGTTGTTGGGGTTGGTCATTGTGCTTCATACTGTTGTGCACCACGGTGTTGCACTCCATGCTGTTGTGTGCCACATAGTCAGGCACAGTATTAACCCTTTGAAGCCCTTACAGTCAAAAATCGACGGTATACCGTCGATGGACTAAAACGTTCGTAACTCACTCGAAACTTGAGGGATTTCCACAATCGAAATATCTGGGAAGAAGCCGAAGAGCTCAGCTTTCTAATGCAACAATCGCCGAAGGGCTACGATGCCGCGTTGCAGAGATATCGCGCTCGGCATTTCAGTCACGGCAAAAGTCGAACTTTTTTCTCAGTGACTGGCCTTGAGTGAGGGATTTCCCCTTGGATGACATGCTGATTCGTCCAGGTACGCTTCCTGCACGTGGCCAGTATAAAACTATACTCAGCGCAAAAAAATGAGCATTCCACGATGAATGAGAATGAAATGGCTGGCGTTGAGGACATTTGCTCGTATATCCAGCTCTGTGGACTGTTCGAGGCGCCGTGGCGTTGGATATGTGACTGTTGTGATGTTGAATTTGATCTCTACAGTCCATTTCAAAACTATAGACGCGTACCTAGGCAAAAACCGTTATGCCAGCATCTATACCACATAAAATCTGTGATCACTTTGTGCATAATTTTTTCCAAATTGGGCGTCTGTTATCCAATCCTTTAGAAACTATAATAGGGCAATTGTGGAGCGATCCTGAGCAATATTCCGAAAACTATTCTCAAAAAGTTCCAGCCAAATTTGAAATATTTCAAAAACCCTACGCGTCTATAGTTTTGAAATGCACTGTAGTTACTCTGCTCGCGGAGCGCTTTCCAGGAAGCCCAAGATTATGGAAATCCAATAACAAGCACCAAAGTTATGACCAAAATAAGGTAAAAAGTATATCGTAATTGCAGTCGCATACAATTATCAGGATTTTTGGGGCTCCAAAGGGTTAAGTCCTCAGCTTGAACATGAATGCGGTTTCGGTCTACAGATGAAAGCACAAGCCAAAAATCAGCGTCAGCTTTTCATAATACACTGTATAGCACATACGTAGTTTTCATGCGATATATCTGCAGAGGGAAACCTGGAAATGACCTGACTGTTGTTGGGTCTGCCCATGCCGAAGAAGATGATATTGACTCTCATTGCATTCTCCTGTTGGGTTGTACACTAGGGCATCAGTGTCTTTCTCGTTCTACATTGTATTGTCTTTGCAGAGTGGCTGTTCCGTTCGACTGCTCAACCCGCAGACATTCTCCGATCCTGTCTGGAGACTGTGCTCAACACTGCAGGAGTACTTTGGATGCTTTGTGGGGGCCAATATGTGAGTTACTCACTGGCTAGGAGCAATGGTGGAAATGAGTTTGTGTGGGCAGGGTTGGAGTGGGTACACGGTTGTGCTTCAGCGGCTTGTGTTCACATTGGAAGAGCATGCGCAGGCAGACTTGAGTTGATTGCGGATGCTATTTCTCCGTGTTCTCTTCTAAATGTTTGAGACTGCTGTGACCGTGTGATGTTTTAGTACTCCCATTTGAACCTAATTGTGCGCTCTGTATGTGTTTCTGATGCACAGCTACTTGACTCCACCCGGCTCACAAGGCTTTGCCCCGCACTACGATGACATTGAGGCGTTTGTACTGCAACTGGAAGGCAAGAAACACTGGAGGCTCTACAAACCAAGGTAGGCATGGGGACCAGTGCTGCTCTCCTTTCTTCTTCTCTTTTTCTATCTCAAATTCCGTGCATCAACTCCTGTTGCTATTTTGTCTGGCCATGTGTTGGCAGTTGCAGTGAGAATGGCCATGTATTGGTATGTTTAGTATTGACTTTGCCACTGTGTGTATGTGTACATTTGTCACCACTGGCAGGTCGCAAGAGGAGACGTTACCCAGGTTTTCCAGCCGTTAGTACCGTTCTGTTGTGCTTGTTGCTTTGCCTTCTGTGTTCCATTCTCATTTAATCAGTGGATATCATTTATAGTTTTGTAGATATACATTGATTATGCCGTTAACAGTTTGTGTGTAATGGTGATACATACATAGTTGTGCACTTAGTCTCCCAGCTACATGTATGTTTCAATTACACGTGTTGATGAGCTTGTTTATCTTTAGTCACATATTTGAATCATAATTATGTTGAATGGACTGACCTATCGTGTTCTTCACATGCCGGTATTTCCTGTGTATGCAGCGAATTTCTCTCAGGATGAGATCGGTGAGCCTATTCTGGATGTCACGCTGTCACCCGGTGATATGCTCTACTTTCCAAGGGGAACCATTCACCAGGCAAGTGCCTTCACTGAGCTACTGCTCTCTCTCTCTCTCTCTCTCTCTCTCTCTCTCTCTCTCTCTCTCTCTCTCTCTCTCTCTCCCTCTCTCTCCCTCCCTCCCTCTCTCTCTCTCTCTCTCTCTCTCTCTCTCTCTCTCTCTCTCTCTCTCTCTCTCTCTCTCTCTCTCTCCCTCTCTCTCCCTCCCTCTCTCTCTCTCTCTCTCTCTCTCTCTCTCTCTCTCTCTCTCTCTCTCTCTCTCTCTCTCCCTCTCTCATTCTCTTCTTTATCTCACTTTATCTCTCCTTTTCCCTGTTTCTATCTACATCTCCCTACCACATACTCGTATAATAGCCCGGCCTGAGTTCATTTCATGTTGTTTCTGTTCATGTGTGTTAAATGTTGTTGTTGTTGTTGTTGTTGTTGTTGTTGTTGTTGTTGTTGTTGTTGTTGTTGTTGTTGCTGCTGCTGCTGCTGCTGCTGCTGCTGCTGCTGTTGCTGTTGCTGTTGTTGTTCCCAGGCTGACACGCCCGGCGATAGCCACTCCTTGCACATGACTGTGTCTACTTGTCAGAAGAACACATGGGGTGATCTGCTACAAAAGGTCTGTACGCGTACTAAGTATGTATGAGTAAATGTATTCGAATTGTGGGAGCATGATACTCCGCTGATTTCCAGGGTTATTAGTCTGATGCAGAAGGATTCACAGTTTCCTTTATTGTTCATGTGGTGTGTCCGAAGTCCATGTAGGAAAAGCATTGATACATGGCTTACCGTGAACATGAGATGAATGGCTATTTGTTGGTCATAAGAGCGCTCCAAGCCAGCTCCTCTCTGTGGATTTGTGTGTGGAAGGTGTGCAGGCCTAGATTTATTGTCAATCCGTTTGTTGGTTGTATATTATTGCAGTGGTCTTGATATTGGTGTTTTCTGAGGAGCTGATCATTTTCAGATATTCTAATTTCTTACATCTATTTGCACCTCGTGATTATTTCAGGTGCTCCCACAAATGCTGGAGTCGGCTATCGAGCATGATGTTGACTTTAGAAAGTCACTGCCAGTAAATTACATTCACCATCTGGGAACTACCCATTCTGAATCGGTAAGCGTTGGTGTTCTACAACATGGTGTACATGATTGTGTACCTATCCTTGTTCATTGTTTGCACTTTCCTTTGTTGTTGCTGTTCTGTTTCATATCTTTATTCTCACGATAGTGTTGTTGGTGCTGGTGCTGGTGTTAGCATTAGCATGTTAGACTCTACAATGTCCCACTCGGCATTGCCATGATGAATAGTGTATAATGGAGGGGGTTGTTTGGACCTGGTACCTTGTCTGTAGTGTACAAATTCTATCGTGTTCAGGGTTGTTGAAGCGCCGTGTGATTTTCTGTGTACCAGTGCGTTTACGTGCCAACTGTACGTCGTGTGTGGCATTCATTATCTTTGCCGCTGACTTGTGCATGCAGACCACATCCAAGCGAGCATCCATGATCCAGCAGATGGGTAACCTGGTGGACAAACTGAAGGATCACCTCATGGCAGATGAGGGTGCAGATGAGGTACAGTGTGCTGTTTTGTGTTTTTTTTCAGAATCTTGACTCAAGAGTTGAAAGAATGCCTCGTCTGTTTGAAGGCTTGAACCATCTTCCCGTCCCTCTTGCCAGCACTTGCCTGTAGCTATTATTGAAAGTTCAAGTGTGATTGTATTCTAGATAATATTTGTATTGATGATTTTACATTTCTGTGCGGCCTCTGTTTCTTATGTTCTTGTGCAATGGCATGTAGATGGCTGCAGACTTCCTCCATGCAGCACTACCGCCTTACCTTGACACAGGTGAGTGTTACAAATGTTAATCTTTTGGGTGGTCTGTCGTACTGTCTCCTGAGTAGCATGCTGTGTCGCTGTGGCTACCCCTCCCCTGATGAGGGTACACCGTATATTGAATAGGGTACTTCAAGAAATGGGCTTCTTACAGCTTCTTCACTCGGGAGTCGGGACACATCTGAGTACATGGATATGAGCACTGCAGTATCCATCTCAAGTCTACTTCCACTGGTCGTATGTACGTATAATATGTGTATGTATGTGATTGGTTTGTAGAGGACAAGAATTGTACAGCAGTGGAGTCAGGTGGCCGGTGGGAAAGTGGATGTGTGATGGATCATGAGCAAGTCGATCTCAACACGGAAATTCGTCTTGTGAGCCACATCGCACTAAGGTACAACTGGTATGCCTTTTTTATCCATGCTCTGTGTGTGTGTGTGTGTGTGTGTCTCTCTCTCTCTCTCTCTCTCTCTCTCTCTCTCTCTCTCTCTTTCTCTTCAGTGAGTCATTGTGATGTCAGGCTCCAACTCATTAATCCATTCGTCCATGTTTCTGTGTAGTTGTGATAACTGGTTCCTGTTCATTGTTACGGAATCACAGCCATTCCGTTCCCCGGGACGCAGGACACAAAGGACAAGACTAGTTTGGTTTACATAATTATTATTGACATTACGGAAATGGAGACAACACTCAAAGGGACGAACAAGAAGACTGACAAAAGGACTCTCGACTACAAAATCGCGCATGCTCATATCACACATGCACGCGACTAGACGAGACAGTTTGGGGAATGCCATCACACAGGAAAACAACACATCATTTCACAACACCTGCCCCCTTGATGACATTCCACAAAATAATAAACCGACACCACGTTCCACATGCACAACAACAAAAGGAACCACAGCAGAACAGAAAAACGAAAACTTTAGAGCCGACGCTCTAAAATAATATCCGGGCCACGAAACAGGGCCAAACAAAAACCTAGAGCCGACGCTCTACAACCAGGCCACGCCACACAAGCCACACAAGGCCAACCGAAACACGGGAGCCGAAGCTCCAACAAAATAATAACATGCGCACAGCCGCACCAAATAAATCTACAACAAAAACAACGGAGAACAACAGAACGAATAGAAGAGCAACAGACCGACAACAACCAAACTGAAACAACACAGCAACAAGCAACGAACTGAACAGAGAGAGAACAACACAGCGAGCAAGACAACAAGACGAACAACAAGGACGACACACAGTCGGTGATGCCAGACTCATCCACTGGCCTCTGGCGAGCCACGGCCACACGCTCCATGCGGTACCTGCCGTCCCAGGCTCCAGTCCCCAGCTTCTGCCGGTCCACCACCTTCTCTGCCTCCTCTCCGCGTCTTCTTCCGCTTCCACCAGCTCCTCGTCTCTCCTCCATCCCCACGCTTACTCTCTAGTTGTACTATTACTTGTATTAGTTGTTGACGACGACGAACAGACTCACTACAAACTAACTCATCCTCTGCGTCCCGGGTTTCGGCACCACGTTGTAACGGAATCACAGCCATTCCGTTCCCCGGGACGCAGGACACAAAGGACAAGACTAGTTTGGTTTACATAATTATTATTGACATTACGGAAATGGAGACAACACTCAAAGGGACGAACAAGAAGACTGACAAAAGGACTCTCGACTACAAAATCGCGCATGCTCATATCACACATGCACGCGACTAGACGAGACAGTTTGGGGAATGCCATCACACAGGAAAACAACACATCATTTCACAACATCATGTACTGCTCACAAATTTAGAATCCAGCAGCACCTCACTAACAATAATGTGCATGCTGCTGTAAGTCAACGAAAATTCGGCGCATATTAATTTTATTTTCGGCTATTTTCGGCCTGGTCATGTTTGGCCGAAAATTTGTTTTGCAAGGTTCAGTGGGTCAGTGTATACAGGCGGCAGCATATAGGCTGAAAATTTTTGATGCGGTCGAAATGGGTTTTAGCCCTGGGAAATTTGAATGGGCCGAAAATTTGTCGACGTGCAGTATTATGGAGCCTGCTTTGTCGAGATACTGAATAGATTGAGTGCATGATTGTTTTGTTTTTTTTACTAGATTGATGATTTGAATCCGTATTTCCAGGATTCCACATGTATCGTACTAGTGTATGGATCTACATGTATATGAAGCGGTTGAACTGATTTTAAATCCAGGGTAATGAGTAATGAAATTTCTATCTAGTTCAACGTGAAACCGAAATTGTTCCTCACATTGAGCGTGTGCCTGTGACTCTGTGTGTGTGTGTGTGTGTGTGTGTGTGTGTGTGCATGCGTGTGTGTGTGTGTGTGTGTGCGTGCGTGTGCACGCTTTCTCATTAGGTTAACACCCGGTGATGACTGTCTTGTTGTTTGCACGACTGTGCACAACTCTCGCGTGTACAAGCAGAAAGATCCGCAGACTCTGGAGCTAGATCTTGAGGTACTGACTGTGCTGTGTGTGTGTGTGCTGTATGTGCTGTGCTGCAAATTGCTCGTCTCCCATTCATGTCCTCTACGTTTATCCGGCCGAGGTGCGGATGCCCTCCTGGATGCCGTGCTGGATACCCCAACCAATGTTTTGTGTAGCTAGTTTGATTGTTCAAAACCCGGGTATGAAAGCATGCTTCCGTACTTATGTAGGAGTCTCATTTCCAATGCCGTTTGCTCTGTGAGCCTAGATAACGTATTCATTCAATGCACACTTCACAACTCTACAGGGTATCATTCTTGTTCGCTGCTTTTCGCTTGGGTCAGCTGCCTAAATGGGTTTTGTTTCCTCTGTGTGTGTGTGTGTGTGTATGTGTATGTGTGTGTGTTGCCCGTTTCATCTCATCAGTATGCTGAGGCTCTTGAGTACTTGCAAGATCAATATCCAGAATTTGTTACTGTCGAGAATCTACCAGCTGAAACCGACGATGCAAAGGTAAGGTTTCTGTAGTGTATCCAGGAAGGTAGCGTCGCTTTTCTCACTGGCTTACCCTGTGCTTCTCTTCTCGAATATAGAGGTTGTGAGAATTACATCATCGTGCATGCCTTGTATCAGTAGTCTTTAACCCCCAAGAGGATGCATCTGGCATTAATCCAGCGCTCAAATCACTCAAATCCCAACATGGCGTCATCCGAGGTTGCGATTTCTGGAAGCCGTACTTGGAGCCGCTCCTAGCCCCAGGCTTGAGTTTTTGAGATCATTTTGTCCTGTCGGCATAGAAGTGCTTACTGTGCGTTACTTCTCACATGAAGGTTCGAAGATTTTTGAAATCCCGGACGTGCTAGTACTCTCAAAACATGAACAGGCGCTTTCTTGAAGAATCCGTTAATGGACATCGGCGGGAAAGTAAGGGCACTCTGGTGTCGGTGGAAGTCTACGAGAAATGCACACTCGACGCATTCTCGATCTCGTCAATCAGTTGAAATTATCTTCGAGTAAAGCACAAGAAGTAATGATGTGAATGTCCATGGCACTGTCGAATGTCCAAACGGTTAATTGATTTTTTGAAGATAGCTGACTCAGGTTGTCTGCTCTGGCGAAAGAAGGCGATGAAGAGTGAAGGAAGCGAAAAATGCTCCTTGTCCCTCTCATGATCCATCAAGCACCGTCGTCAGCTTGTGCATGTGGTGGACTCGGTTTAATTTCGCAGTTTAGGTAGGTGACCCCCCGTTTGGCTGCAACTTTTGGAAGGATTTTATGGCATGACACCAACTATGATACAATGAAGGAATTCTGCCGAGCAGGCTCCTATATAGTGATCAGGAATTATACACCCGGGGAGGGGGGGGGGTATTTTTGAAGCTCTGTTCCGGGTAAGAGGGCACACAGTTTTTCTCGGGGAGAATGTCAAGTAGCTTGGAAATACTGCAAGATGGTATTATCATTCATGACATTCAGTCAAAATTTCCACCTGAAAAAACGCAACTGGCCGGCAGATAACAATAACCATTGATTTTGGCATAGATTGCCTGGTACAGTACAACAGGCGTTGATCCAAGGCTGATGCTTTCCGAATGGTCCAGTCACTTCTGCAGAATGACGTACACAGTTGACATTTCCGTGGGTGATGAGTCAATCACAGGGCAGCGCCCAATTGAACTCTTTGCAGGAACAGAAGACTTCGACAGCAACGCATTGAAAGCTGTCCATGCTGGCGCAGACTGCAGGGTACTGCTGTCACCGGTTGACCTCCGACTTGCCCTGGCCAGCATTCATGTGAAGTCAGTCTGCTGAGCACTGTCAATGCCCCCAGGAGGTCTTCTGCACCATGAGGTGGTGGCCGAAGACAGTTTCGTGTTGTATTTGTAGCCTGATAGTTCACTTTATACTTGAAGGTACGAGTTATTGTTGCTTCTTTGCAGAGCCGGTGGTGTATTTGAACATTGCTGCACGTGGCTGCACCTATGCTTGAATCCGGTCTCTGTTTTTTCCCTCTCTGCAGCTGGAGCTTGCCGCTGTGTTGTATCGCAGTGGACTCGTGATGACAGAGAGGCCTCTCGGTGGTACGGCAGACTACGTCTGATGAAGAGGACATTCGGATTCTTCTATTCTTTTTTTTTTCTAGAGTTGCTGCACAACATCAAGTTATACTGCTGCCTGCCTGCGTCTGTACAAGATCTTGTTTTTAAGCTTTGCCTGTGTTTTATCTTTTCTCACTCCTCTCGCAGCTCGGGTAGAGTTTCATCATGCCCAGTTACAATGGTTGCCATACCTAGTTATCTTCTTTTTTTATTGAGACCTGATACATATTCAGCTGCCCATGGTACTCCCTCTCCATAAAGTTATGCTTGATGCACAAGCGCGCGCACGCATGAAACCATGCGAATCTTGATATGAAGTTTCTGCAGACATCTACTCCTCTTTACTTTCCGGGCTGCCATCTCGCATCTGCCAACACTTGATTCCTGAGCTTAGCTTTTGCTTTGTACGTGCTGCACTTCAATGACAATCATCCTTCTGCATCCTTCTGCATCCTTCTGCATCCTTGCACGTGCTGGACTTCTGTTGCTTTTTAGCGTTGCCATGTCTTGATGATACGCAGGGAGTTCTGTGTTCACTGAATTGCTGCCGCTATTCCATGCTGCTTTTGTTACGAGTTCTACTGTTCAAGTATCCGAATAAAGGTCCTGATTTCCTGAGCCTCTGGTATCGTGTGTTGGTGTTGGGGACGACCGCGATTACCACGAATTGTGGCACTACATCAGTACATGTATGATGTAAGCGCACAGTCATGTAAGATCATCACCGGTGCACTATCACCGATGGCATCAGTCAACCTCCTCCATCACCACTACGAGCTCCGCTACTACAGGACTCGCATATAGCGAATTTCGTGATATAGCGAACCATTGTCCATGTCCCTGTTGGAACCCATACCAAAATGTAAATTGACATTTGTAGCGAACAGTTTTCGTTTATAAAAATTATAATAAACCGAATCTTGGCGGGCCGCATGTAAACCAAGTACAGTAATTAAGCGACAACCCCACGGTGCATGCAAAAGCGGTCGTTAAATCCAGGTGGTCTTTAGAACCAGGTCCCACAGTGTGCGTGTAGAACTGTCGGTACATGGAAAAACGGTCGTTAAGAGCAGGTGGTCGCTAAAACCAGAGGTCGCTTACACCAGGTTTTACTGTACATGTACTCTCATACAGGCATAGGTCATTTGACTCATTTCTGATAACTGTTGCTTGTATGGTGTGAGTGCATCTCTGTTATAAAGAACTTCGGCTATAAAGAACTAATTCTCCTGCACAATGGTGTTCGTTATATCAGGAGTCGATTGTAGTAGACTACGCGTAGCAGTCCGTGCGCCAGACCCTGTTTTGGCCCGATTTTTATTTTCTGCGCGGGAACCATACATGCAGACGTTATGCAGGGAAAGATGACGACGCCGGTCAGTAAATTGTTGGTCGATTTGTTGCCTACCTCGAGGCCAGTCGGTGAAATGAGGGCTTCCTTCTTCAAGAAATATGTTGCCAGTGAGTCGTTAGTCGGATGCCACTCGTCTTCTAAACATCGTACTTGATGCAACCAGCGCAGTTGGATGGACGGGAGGCGAGGAATTTATCGTTTTCGATTTTCACCCTATTCTGGGTTGCCATTACATTGCAGCTGGCAGCACCACGAGCGAATTTTTTGCACAAGGGAGACTAGGTGAATTCAACTCCTCAGAGATATCGCCATGACAGGGTAAGGTTATTTTAGCCCTGAAATTGTGTACAAACCAACGGCACGAAATTATGGAAATATTTATTTTTTCGCAATAATTGCATGTTGGTTGAAAAGATGTAGCCATCTTTGTATTGTGGCATCCTGGCGGTGTATTTCGTAACTATACTGCATGACAATATTATTTATGAGAAATGGCAGCGATTGCAGCGATTGTGAACAATGTACAATCAACAGCATTGGCAAAATTGATGCAGAGCTGTATGGTACTTTAGTACAATTTGCCTGTATATTGGTATTTTACACACAATGCATGAAACAGAAGAGCAAAATTATTATTGACTTATCAATTTATAGTTAGGACATGAATATGAAACCCATGACCAATGCCAATGACCCAGGGTCTGTGCACCTGCATTCAAATAATTATATAAAAAATCCCTTGTGGCATAATCATGTACTCTGTGCATACACATGCTTGGGGGGCGATACTTGCTGCTTTACATGGTGGAAATTGTGCTGCTATGCTGCTTGGTATGTGTGTGCGTGCGTGTGTGTGTGTCTGTGTGCGTGTGTGTGTGTCACTGTGTGTGTGTGTGTGTGTGTGTGTGTGTGTGTGTGTGTGTGTGTGTGTGTGTGTGCGTCTGTGTGTGCACACTTCACTTTCCGGCTGTGTATTGATGCCTATGTAGATATCACCATGATCAACAGGGTCAAACGCTTCCAGCGGACAACAGTGGATCACCTGATTTCTCCCACTGGAGTGGTCCTAGCTTGAAGTGATGTATGACTATCAATTCTATTGACTAGCCTTGAGGCATGTACCAAACGTCAGCATGTCTGTGATATCAATACATCACACTTACATTTGAAAGCTATATGCTGGAAGGCAGTCAAGTGGGCTTTTCGTCAAACACAACCCTACCAATAAAATGAAGGCAACGGGCAGAGACCACTAATGGTAGGGCCACACCAGGTGGCTGTGCCAGTGGGGAAGACCCAGTTCAACAAGGTGTTATTTCAAGTTTGATCGGAACAGCACCCTGGTCCAAATCCTCAATATCAGTGAATCTTACTGGTCCATGTGGCTGCTGCCTTGACTCGTGATGCCTACGATTGGATGCAAGCTGCACGAAGTATGTTGCAAAGAAGAGTACAATGGATCTTGAACTTGGCACGAGAGGCGTGCACTTCGTTGATAACAGCAGAACCTTTGCATGACTATCATAACACTCTCCTTAGGCCAAACTAAAGAAGGTGTGTGGTTCGACTAACATGGACATTTTTTTTACGGGCGGGCGGGCGGATTTTTTTTTTTTTAATATATTTTTTAGTACATGTAAATACACTGTATACGCGTATCGAGTAGACTCTACTACCAGCACAAGGCAGCAGTCGTACCACTCACTGCACTGCACTGCAGTACAACTACAAGTCAAGTCCAAAACTTGCAAAAGGAGCCGCCTGCGTCCGCAGACTCACGCCGCACAGCACGTAGACGTGGACGTGTTCAGTCCACGTACGTCAGTCACACGACAGCCCGCCGAAAAAAAGTTACGGTCGGGCTGAAATTGTACGGTCGGTCGGGTGAGTCGAACCACACACCTTCTTTAGTTTGGCCTTATTGCAATATTTAGCCAATGCTCCATTTGTTGTAGCAGCTACCACACAACTACAAGTATGCATTCATTACCTGGCTGTCTTGTATAAACTTGTGAATGCAATCACGTGATGCTTTGTGCACATATGCTCCCATACTTTAGCGGATGTGCGCGTGTGTGTGTATGTGTGTGCATGTTTATGGGTGTGTATGTTCGTGCACGTACGTACGTGTACATGTCTGTGCGTTTACATGTACATGCAGACGTGTGTGGGTCTGTTGAAAAAAGCGCATGAAAACGTGATGTATGTACGGGTGTATGGTAAACGTATTATTTGCTCCATGCGTCCGCCGTGAATGAAGGTACAAGACTTTATGTGTCATAGCTTGTGGCGGTTGTTCTGTACATACATGTAGTAGCAACGTATCCAGGCCATCCGCAGATGCCATTTTTTCACTTCAATTCTGCATTGGCTCGGGTGCTGTGTTTGTAGTGTCATCCTCTCTGCATGAATTATTTATATTTCTTTCCCACCTCCGTACTGTATTTGGCTTGATATTGTTGCTGTTGTACATACAAGTATAGGCACATGCATTGATCTACGAGGGTTTGTGTTTGGAGCTCCAGCAACCTGTTGAGGTTCGTGTTGTTTATAAATTCGTGGTCTACGGATACAATGGTCTGGCTGGTACATCGCAGAATACTAGGACCCCTTGAACGATTCTGTCGGTCGTTCCTAAGTTCACCAATTGAAGACATGTGTGTCTCAAAATGTGTCAAAAAATACAGTGTTGACAAAACGGTTGGTATCACCGCTGTCGGATATTTTGCACAAGCCAAAATTGGAGGATGCACTGTTGGCTAATATCTCTTTCTAAATAAATAAGCAGGAAATAGCGAAACCCTTGTACAAACCAACGGCACGAAATTATAGCATGTTCAACCAAAATATCAGCGTCATAACGAAAACGCAAGCGACGAGCGAGAACTCAACTTCTCGATATTTGTTATCGCCATGGACAAAACTTAGGGCAGAGAACAACTATTAGGTTGGATTTCGACAACGATCTGAGACAAAGAACTCACGGGGGACGTAAACCAAAGGACGACGAAGGAGACGCCATTGAGTATTCGTCTCGCGATATCTTGAGAAAACTGCGAAATCTGGCAAATCTGGAAAATAAAAGTGCAACTTTTAGACGACTTTTTCTGAACTGGCGCACGGACTGTAGGTCTGTCCATGATAACGATTTTACGGTATTCGTTAGTTGACCTTGACTACGAGTAGGTAGTCTACTAGCAAGAGTACATAACCCCTCTTGGTACTAGGTACAGTGCTGGCAACTGAAATCCTGGTGGTCGGATTTCAGTTGCCAGCACTGTACGTAGTCTAAAAGTAGCGGCGGCCAACGCGGGTCAAAGTTCGTGACCTTCGATCTGAACTTATCAATGGCAAAGAACTGAGTTACTCCAAAATAATTGTCCAATTACGTAGTTGGACAGATGAAGAAGAAGAAGCTTCGAAACGACAAAACGAGTTTTTGGACGTTGCTAGCATGCTGTAGCTTACCCAAAGGGATTCTCTTTTGTTTTTCTGAATTTTTCCGGGAATTGAGAGCATGGAGGCGGAAGAAGGTACGACGGATAATTGTGAAGAGTATTCTTCTGCAGCTATGGACGCGGACAGTATCACGCTTTCAAGGACAATTCTTCGACGCGATGATGCTTATGCTGCGAAAGACATTGTCTCTAAGCTGCAAAAGACGTTCGAGTGCTCCATCTGGTAAGTCCAGCCAATTCAGTTCAGAGATCGCGGCGGTCCTGTCCAGACAGTCCGCGACGGGCCGCCTTGCTAACCCTTCCTTTCCATGTTCCTCCAGTCTGGATCTCATGTGCGACCCGCTGTCGACAACATGCAATCATCAGTTCTGCAGGTACAGTCTACGTAGAACAAGGGGTCCGGAAATGCCTTCCGATGCCCCGGGTTCCCATTGCTGCTGCTGCATGCTGCTGAGTTGTTTCTGAGGGGAAACATGACATACATTCTTGCTATATTCCTATCTTACAGCAGTGTGTGGATAGTAGCATAGATACTTGGAAATCAGGGCTGCATCAGGCGGGCCTCTCAGGCAAAACCTGATCAACACTCATTGTAACACCAACGGTGCAGGATAGAAGAGCTTTGTAGGGCTTGCAACGCCAACACTTTGAGCTCAGGCTGCCGGCATTCCCAATGGTGTCAGTGGAACAGCCGCATGATAGTGCTGTAGGTGAAGGCTTGCCGTTGAGAGTTAGGAGCCAAGAGTGTGTGCTGTGCTTTCCCAGGGAGTGGCTTTGGCTTGTGTATTCAAGTCGTGGTCTATCGTGCTCACGAGACTCCTGCTATTGACAGTCGGTGCTACAGCTAATGGAAACAAAAGAGTGAAAAGACTAACAGCAACAGTGCTGAACACTGGCAGGCATACGCTACACGACACCGTGTTATGATGAGTGGGGACCAGGGAGTCTCCCCGGGGGAAGCCAGCCCCAATAGACATTGGATACCATTTTACTGGTGCCACTGGTATCAGATCAGACACTAGGTGTATTGGTATTGATGTCGTCTCATGGCAGATCGTGCATCATTGAAGTTGTCCGTTCGGCAGTATCAGCTTGTCCACTGTGTAAGCACCCTATTTCAAAAAGGTGAGTGTGTACAATCATCTACCCTCGACTACAGTGAAAATAGCAAGCTGGCCACATGTCGGGAGGCACACAGCTGCCACCGGGGGGGGGGGGGGGGGGGGGGGTAGCAAACCTGAATACCGGTACCTCCCTCAACCGGGGTGGACCTGTAGTCAAATCTTGAAAAATGCTTCATTTTTGTGATGGTCGCCCACAGTATTTCACTCCATAAAGGGTCATAACTCTCGACTCCTATTATGTATTGGTTCAGGGAGTCCAATGAAAGAGAATGGTGCATCTTGTCCATTTTGGCTGCAGCGCATTTCCGAGTTACGGACAGTTCATTAATATGGGCATCAATATTTGTCCTTAGGTGTCCAGATACACAGAGGTTCTACTGTACCGCCTCCGGCGTAACCCCGCCCCATTTATCAGCCTGCCTACGTACCTGGTCAGTGAAACTTAGCTTTTTTTTTTAAATGTTTCCTCCAGGAGCCTGAACTCCAACCAGACATTGAATGAACTGCTGGATGCTGTCAATGGCGTTATTTCCGCAGCCAGGGAAGATCTGAAGGGTGTATGTAAGTAGCCTTGCTTCAAATCAAATCATGGAATTTTGTGTGGACATGTACAGTACTCGAAATTGAAAATGGAGCTTTAGAAAAAATCAGAGTGCTGAGCTTCAGTGTACACTGTACAGTCATCTCACCCGGTCAATTACAGCTTCTACATGAGGGTCCATGTTTCATAAAAATAAAAAAATTCACGGTTCGCGTCAGACTCGGTTTCTCTATACAGAGGCCGAGTTTTCCGCATCCGTAGGAACGCCACCACCCTTCAAGGATCAAGGCGCAGATGCAGCTCCTAAAGCGGTAGGAGGTGAGTAGATCAATCAGCTCACCAACATGTGGTCAAAGACCGAAAATCCCATTCTCTGCATCCATGTTTTCCTCGTGCCAGGCCACGAGTTCCCAATTAACTGTGGGTCGCCGCACGGCTGGAAAAAATCCTTCCGCTTCCAAGCAGGACTTGAACCTGGTACCCTCTGTTTCTCAGTCATGGTCTTAGACCATCTCACTATGCCTGCCTGCCTGCCTGCCTGCATGTTTCATAGACCTGCTCCAAATGTGTCCGTCAGCACGGTGTTACTAAACAATACTGGTGTAACCGTGATTATAATCGTGGCAAAGGCCGCAAGATCTGTCCATTCAGGCACTTTGGTGATTGTGAGATACACACTGGATTGTGCTTTTATCGGACTCACACTGGAGGTTTCTGCTGTTATCACCGTAGCATACCACCCTGCTATACGCTGTGCTTGATCATGTGCTTAGCTACACCGCCGCGTCAGTTTCCACCACAACGGGCAAGTAACACCCCGGCTATTCGAGCCTTTGCTTTGCTGCATCCAACACCTCACAAGTCACCTGGCAGCCAACCAGATTCACAACCAGTGAGTGCCCTATAGGGTTGAATTTATCCAGACAGACTGTCATCATTTGGCATGTAAATGTACTTCATGGTGAGCTTAAAGGCTTAACGTCTACCGTACTGTACTTTGCAACACTCTAGCTTGCTCCTCATGGACCATACACATATGTCCTACTGTTCTCTTTCTGGCATGCGGGATATCGTGCTGCTACAACTACTCTAAAAACAACTGGATGATCTGTTGTGGTGTCCATCAGGATGCAGCTGGTTCAGAAAACCCACCATCCACTCCAGCAACTCTCTCCGGCATTTCACACCTGTCTTCAAGATCATCTAGGTAAAATTGCCTTGCTTCTCTTCTCTCATTGTCTCATCTCTTATCATCTCCTTTCTTCTCTTCTTTTCTCTTCTCTTCTCTTCTCTTGGCTGGTTGCTTGGTCTATTGCTGTGTTGTTCAGAAGTAAAGGAAGTATCCCACCCAATTGCATAATGTTCTTTACACTAACGAATGGTATCTTCTTGATATCCGTACAGGAAACGATCACTTGCTCTGGGCCCATGCAGATCTCAAGGAGGCAGTTCAGCAGAAGGTTGGTGTCTTTTCATAAGTAACTGGTACATGTATAACCGCTTTAAATCCTGCATGGGATGGGATCTAAATGAAGAAAAGATTTTAATCATTCATTCTTTTAGTTCCTATCACATGCAAACGTTGTATCTTAAAAGATACGACTTGCATGTCATGGCAGTGATGACATCATACAAGAGGCGGTTGGCATTGCTAAGTACACACACTTTTAAGTACAGTACAAGGTTTGTGAATGTCACAGTGGGAGTCTATGGAATATGCTACGTCACACGATTGCTCTGTCCTGGCATTTTCATATCCAATGCTCAGATCCGCTCGATGTTGCATCCGCAACTGCGGATGCTGTTATGATGCCGCCGCCTATGCCTGAAACAAGGTGAGGATCTTCATGTGCCGTCGTTACCGTGCTCTGTGCATTTGCTTCCCCAGCAACTGACCTGACAAGGGGCGTTGACAACATTTTGGTTTGGCACTCACATAGCATGACCGCTGGCCAACATTTCGTTTACATTTTATGTAATCTCTTCTTATTCTATGGACGTGTGGTAATGGTCTTTGGAAGTCATACCGTGAAATAGGGGTCACACTGGTCTATACCATTGTTCCAGTTGTCCAAAAGTCACGCATCTTGCTGTTTCGTCCAAAAGTCGAATGTTTGAACCTCAATATCACAAGGAATGGATGTGGGACCCCCAAATTTTAGTTCAAATTCAGAATCATCAGGATAGTTTCTGTTAGTCCTGCAAAATGAGTGAATTATTGTGAGTGAATTATTGCGAAGATGAAATTTAGTGAAAAGTGACCACAAAACTATATGGAAGTGGCTGAAACTGTAGCCAACAACCTTATGTTGTTGATGTATCTAATGCTCTCCACACAGGATGATGCAGTACTGTCTAAAGAATTTCTGTCAGAGTCTTGTGCTTAACTCAGAAGTAGGTTGTGCTTCTACAAACACTGTGGAGTCTGTTCTTTCTGTATGCTTGATTGCTTGTGCTGGCCTCAAGGATACCAACCAAGTGCTCAGCACCCAAGGCGGCTGCGGGAAGGAATGTGAGAGTCGGTGCATCGCGCTCTAGCAGCACTCACTGGTCTAGCCTGGCACACAATCGCCCACCCCAAAGCATCCGCAATGCTGCAATCGACGACAATGGTGACATTGTGCCCGCACAGTCTTGCAGCGGCAGGACCCCCAGTGCACCTGCTTTGAGTGAGTTTTACATAAGAAAAGAAAGGACAGCAAAAGGCAAGCATGAGTCAAACAAATCTGGAGGGCAAAAAAACACAACGTAGCATGTGTCCTTCTTCTTAGTGTTTTTCAAAAACATGTGTTTAATTAAGAACAACTGCACAGGACTAAGTTAGAAATGAAGAATCAGTTCGAAGGTAGAATGTCCACGTTTCTTAGAAATTACTCAAATTGGAATAGTCTTTCATTGTGAAAGCTAGAGAGACAGAAAACGGCTAACCGTCTGCACCGCTGGATTAAAACAGCTACTTGGTCCGCGTCAGCAATATTGTCGCTTGTCTTTTACCTTTGTTTTTATGTCGCCAATGCTCACTTGGCAGCCCATTTCATCCCAATTTTGGTTAGTAGGTTAGTTTACTAGTACCTGAAAGGTCTAGCTAGATCTCGAGTGGATTTCGAGAGCGACTGGCGGGTGATTCTGATTGATACCACACCGCATCAAAATAGATTATCTTGTCACACTGCGCAGGCAAGAGCAGCACGACGCACAAGAAAGTAATCGGCTACTCAGAATCAGTTCCATTTTACAAAACGACCAAGATCGCACACCTCGGGGATCGCTCGCCACGCTGAGATCGCAGTTCCCTCACCTCCAGCTCAACACTCGGAGTATCCAGCGCATCGTGGAGATTTGAAGCACTGTACGCGTCGTCGTCGTTCAAAATAAAATCTTGCAAAGAACGGCGACTGATTTGAACCACACAGGCAGTCTTGCTGCCCACGCGAAGTCCTATAGAGAAGGCGCCCGTCACGATTGACTTCCCTTTAGAAAATATCCAGGCAGCGGAGAGGAAGAGAGATGAGCTTGCGAAAGCGAGAATCGATCCCGAGCTAACATATTATTTTGTCACCAGCGCCGAGAGCAGCGACGAGGAAGACCAAGAAAAGTATGAACCCATCCTTGCACAATAAATTCCTCATGGCTGGTTGTCATTCTATACCTTACCTTCCATTGTACCAAGTTTTATCACCTCAAGTGCATGCGTTGTTGTCCTAAGTCTAAGTTCAAATTGTCGAAAGATATGGGACAATATCGATGACGCGGACCAAGTACGAAATAAGACAGGTTACAATAATACATGTAGTACAAAACACACTACAACAGGGGAGCAAGGCTAGTTCGTTGCAACTTTGAGTTTCATGCTCATATCAGTGCAATCATCAGGCAACCTAAAGATGAGCCGCGCCACGCTAAAAAGTGGCTTAGCGTTTTGCCAACAAATCGAGAAAATCACCGAAACGTCACAGTCGGCAAAATTCTTCTCGAGCGCAGTCGCGAAAATACTCACTTTCAAGTACTCACTGCTGTAAAACCGGAAAGTCTAACGAGTCACAAAGTCTAACATTTTAATTAACGACCAATTTTTTTTCATACAAAAGATAAAGACCAAGGAACTACAGGGGCGTAGGCAGGGGGGGGGGGGGGTGCTTTGGGTGCCAAAGCACCCCCCTCAAAAATTTCGATCTTGGTTCACAGCTGGTTCGAGAGAGACTATAGCAGACCCGCTGATCACATGCGCAACTCTGCACAGCGCACACTGTAGCCATCCCTGTTTTAGACCAGGGAGTAGTAGGTACTACTCCCTGGTTCAGACCTGCAAGTACAATGTAGCGTCCTGTTGCTGGGCGTCTCTAACCTGCTGCGTTGGGACGGTCTGATCGGCTAGATTCTCGACTGCGATAGTAGCGAACACGTCGCGCTCAGCCTGAATGGTGATGTCATCCCGACTCGGGGAGTCGTCTTGAGGGGCGCGTGAGAGAGCGTCGGCGCTGGTGAGGTAGCTCCCTGGAACGTGAATGATCTGGTAGTGATATCGTGCCAGGCGGAGTCGGAAGCGCAGGACTCTCGCTGGGAGATCGTGTAGGCGCTTCGTGCTGAGAAGAGGTACGAGAGGCTTATGATCCGTCTCGATGAGGAAGCACGCCATGCCAAGCAGGTAAGTGTCAAAGCGGGAAACAGCCCAAGTGATCGCGAGAGCTTCCTTTTCGATTTGGGCGTAGTTGCGCTCGGCCGATGTGAGAGACCGGGATGCGCAAGCGACGGGACGCCACTCAACATCTGAGGACCGGCGCTGGTAGAGCACGGCACCGAGGCCATAGGACGAGGCGTCGGCAGATAGTTTGGTGTCGTAGTTGGGGTCGTAGCGCTGCAGACAGGCTGGCTTGCAGAGCTCTGCCTTGATGTTGTCGAAGGCTGTCTGCTGTGGTTGATCCCAAGTCCATGTGCGACCTTTGGACAACAGCTCTCGCAGTGGCTGGCTGAGGGCGGCGAGATTGGGAGAGAACTTTCCCAGTTGGTTCGCCAGACCCATGAACCTGCGGACGTCTGAGACGGTTTGAGGCTGACGGAAGCGCTGGATAGCAGAGGTCTTGCTGTCACCTGGTTGAATGCCGGCAGCAGTGAGCCGCACTCCCAAGAAGGACAGGTCAGAGGCGGCGAACTCACACTTCGACGGATTGAGGGTGAGCCCTGCATCCACCAGGCGTCGGAGCACCGCGTAGAGACGACTATCATGCTCGGCACGAGTGCGGCCATGGACGAGGATGTCGTCCATTTGGCAGACCACACCCTCCAGGCCAGCCAGGATCTTCGACATGCGCTGCTGGAATATCTCAGGCGCAGAGGAAATGCCGGACGGCAACTTCGTGTAACAAAACCGACCAGCGGGGGTGATGAAGGTGGTTAGAAGCTGGGAGGGAATGTCCAGCGGGATCTGCCAAAACCCGCTGTTGGCATCGAGCTTCGTGAACACCGTTGAGTCGCCGATTTGGCCAAGAGTTCCGTCTACTGTTGGCAGCTGATGGTGTGACCGTCGGACGGCTTCGTTCAGAGGTTTCAGATCAGCACAGATGCGTACCGTGCCGTTGGACTTAGGTGCGGCCACGATTGCAGCACACTAGTCAGTGGGCTCCACGACAGGGCGGATTACACCAAGCTGTTCCATGCGCTGAAGCTCGGTAGCCACTTTAGAGCGGAGCGGCAGTGCGATGTTTCGCGCAGCGTAGAGACACGATGGCTTGGCATCAGGTGAGAGCTCGATGTTGTACGGCTCGTTGAGTGACCCAAGACCAGAGAAGAGTGACGGAAATTCCTGCCGTATGTCTTGTGGGATAGCGGCGCCAGGTGTCGTCAGAGGCAGAGGTTCTGACCCGGCGGGAGCTGAGGAGTAGCTACCCGGCGCATCGTCCGTGGATTGACTGGACTCCGGAGCGGTCGAAAGTGGTGTAGCGGACGCGGTGTCGCTGGAGAACAAACGTTTGATTAGACCAAGAGCGACGGAGTCAGGGCCCCCTAGGAGACATACACGCAGGCCTCTGGCAACGTACACGGTGCAAGTGTGTGAAGAACCAGAGGTGGGAAAGACGAGCCGCGCGAAGAAGAGGCCCAATGTCTCGAGGTTGGTGTTGGCTGCACTGACGAGAACGTGCCGGCAAGGCTGGAGCTGCGGGGATGTGCTAAGGGAGTTGTAGACCTCCTCGGAGATGACGGACACATCGGCACCGGTGTCGACTTTGAATGGAACGGTGGTGCCATTGATGGTGAGCTGAACCTGCCAGCTGGGAGGGTGCGCGGATACGGCACCAACGTAGATGGGGACCAGATCAATAGATTCCTCAGACACGGAGCTGGGAGAAGCGACGGCATCGGTGCCCGGCGAAGACTCGGCCGATAGCGCACGGGCATAGCGGGATGAGCGGCAGACAGCGCCGTAGTGCCCGCGCTTGTTGCACTTGTTGCACGTTTTTTCGCGTGCCGGGCAGGCTGAGCGTGCGTGGGATTTGCCTCCGCAGTATCCACAGGCGTTAGAGGTGGAACCACGTTCGGAGGACGTAGGTTTGCCAGACGACCCACGATGCTGGACGGCGTGTACTGTTACTGGAGCACCTCCTAGCGGTGGAGCAGTCCGGCTCAGGTCTGACTGCGCGCGCGCAAACGCGTCAGCCAGCTTGGCCGTGTCAGTAGCACTCACTCGTGGTTGCTCCTGTACATGCCGACGCACTTCCGCAGGCAGGGTGGAGAGCAGCTGCTCGCGCACTATCTGGTCAGTCACGAACGGAACATCGATTGTGCCCCCGGACGCACCTGCGTGAGTGATCCATTTTTCGAACAAATCCCTCTGCCGGTGGTGGAGTTCCATGTACGTCTCGCCAGGCGAGGACAAATTTATGGACCTGAACTTCAGGCGATACTCCTCCGCGTCCAATCGGAAACGCGCGAGTACTGCAGTTCTGATGAGAACGAAATCCTTCGAGTCACCCACGGGCAGATTATTGTAAGCACTGCGAGCTTTGCCCTTGAGGTGGGGTACGATCGCCAAGGCTCGCCGATCGGGAGGCACGCCGTAACCAATGAGCAGGCGTTCGGCGGTAAGGAACCAAGCCTCCGCATCGTCGGTGTCCTCCAAAGGCTGTAATTTGGGAAAATTCCCGGGAGAAACCGAAGCCGGAGCGGGAGGCTGACTCGGCTGAGACAGATGCTGAAGTAGAGCAGTCGAAACGGTGGTCTGCTGCTGGAGGTGTTGCTGCTGCTGTTGCTGTTGCTGTATCAGAGCCTGCAGGAGCTGAGGCAGCTGCGAGAACGCGGAGATATCTACGGCCGGACTGGCGGAGGCAGTTGCGGCGGAGGTAGAAGCTTGAGACTCCGAGTTGTCAGAACTCATGGTACCTGGACGAGGTGGATTTACTTTCGTGACGTGAGGCTTGGATTTTTTCGGACCCATCCGCGGAAAACGGAGACAGACAACCGAAAGCTAGCACCGCGAGAACACCGCTGCCACCATGTTTTGGGTGTATCGCACAGCAACCATCCAGGTCCGACAACAACAGAACTACACACACCGAAACAGCTTCTACTTCATTTCATGCAAACAAACTCCGAACTCCCGAAAACCAGAACAAGCATGATCAGTTCCTCGCATGCGTCCCTGAAGGGCCCGCATGCTCGGAGTGTAAAGACCACATGGCGGGCGTGAACACGTGTCGCAACGGCACGTGCATGCATACAAGTAAAGTGCGTAAAAGAGTTCATACTACACAATGTATCTGAAACCAATCCACATGCAGTGGACTATTAATTTTTGTCTCATGATTGGCCATTTTGCAATGAAATTTCTAGTCAAGGGAACTCCGCTTCGTACCTGCCGTTGTGCAGTGTCACATCAGGCCTCAGGAGGCTCAGCACATGATTTGCATCGCACTCCACATGTTTTGTTAGAAACAAAGAATCATACAAACACGCCATTGGTAGAAGCAAGGAAGTAGCAACGCGGTCTATGGCCGGAAAGCACACGTCAGACATAGCAGTTTGTTCTCGCTATGTTTTGTATAATGTTCTCGCTGTTAATTGGTCTCATTGTGGAAAGGCAAAGTTTCTTTCATGCATTGCAAGTGTGGATACAGCAGTAGAAGAGTGAAAGTAACGTTGAAGTGCAGTTTGAGTTTTTGTGGGGAATAATATAGGTTTGATCAAGGATGCCTTACTGCACTATCAAACATGACGAAGGGGAAAAATGGCTCGAGAAATCCCACTTTAAAAGTTCGATGGAGTGAGTGATAATTCTGGAGAAAGCAGCATCCAGGACTTAGTCCATCATTGGTTGGAAGCAGGCCAGAGTGTAGTAAAATACCATAATCATTACTACTCCCTGGTTGGAGATTTGCCATTCACTGATTGATCTTCAGCGTCGACTTAGGGGCGAATTTTGCTTCCCCCCCCCCCCCCCCCAATTCACGGATCGAATAATATGCATGAAAGGACCAACATAAGTGCATGTACTTTTGTGTGGGGAAAGTCGTGGCACCCCCCTTGATCACTATCCTGGCTACGCCCCTGAACTACAAGTTACACTATACTGTCCACTAACACCACCAATTACTAAACAATCAGCTCATGCGATAACATTGCACGACACTGACCTAGTAACTGGTGGTGTTAGTGGACAGTATAGCGTAACTTGTAGTTCCTTGGTCTTTCTCTTTTGTATAAATTAAACCTTGGCTCTCCATCTGAGTACAATTTTTTTTCGTTATTTGAAGAAACGATATCGCGAACCCGGTTTGAGATGTCTGTGTAAAGATGTGCATTCAGATGGGTGGCCAGGTAGCCATCGTTAAACTTTCTGCACGTTTATCATGCCAAAATTACAAAAACGTTTAACTTTTTTTTCACTATCACAAGACCAGTGCGCAACACTAGTAACCACGAGGAAGTAAATTTTAAAATTGACCCATTCTGTTTCAGAACCTAATCAATGTGGAGTCTGCCTGAAAATCTACAAGTGCAAACGGAACTTACGACAGCACTCATGCAGGCCTTCCAATAGCCGGGCAGAAGGAGCGGGGATCAAGAAGAGAGGCAAGTAAATCGATTCAGGCTATGACGATTTATGAAGTCTAGACTTGTTTTATGTGGGTAGAACGAGCTACGAAGACATGACACCACTTGCATCATCCTTTTTGCACGCAGGCACTAGCTTTCTAGCATTGTGCTGGATTGCTTTCATAGGCATGTTCTGGCATGATGTAAATACATGTAGTCCGAATAGAACACGTAGCAGATTTATTGTGCAAGCTATGTTTGAAAACTTTTCAATTGCTCATCACAAGCATCGCGACTCATGATTAGCGCTCGTTCTTCCTCTGTCTTGCCTGCTGCGCACTATTTGCTGTCTTTTAAAATGCAACTCTAGGCGAAGGAGAGCTGCCAACTAAAAGACAATGCAATAACCCCCGGGGCACGCAGCAAGTCAGTGTTGTGCGGGTGTTGAATGCTGCACCCCTTGGTAAACTTGGCACATCATTACTGAATCCTAATGATGACTCTTGGTTGACAGAGGCACGTAAGGGGCAATTGTTTTCTTTTCGCTATTAACTTTAAAAATTGCTGCGGATAGTCCTTTGCTTGACGTCTTGATAGTTTGTGATGGCGTTAGAATTGTCTGGGTGTGCTGCATTTTATTTTTCTATCTTCAATGATTATCTTCCAGGATGGAATTCAATTCCTTCATTGTTCCTCAGTGGTTCAGTCCCTTTATGCGCTCTGAGGCACTCGATGCATACAGAGACTATTGACTATTGGTTAATGGTGTGCCAGCCTATTCTTAGTCCTTTTGGCTTTGGCATTCGCTCCTGTTTGTTACTGCAGGACCGAAGGGTGCACACACAAAGAATGCCACCACTGCAGGGAGTGTGGCTGCAAGCACAGCTAATCAACAGACCCACAGCAAGGAGCAATCCTCTTCCAGCCCTAGTGGCTCTGTTGTTGCCGAATCCTGTCCGGAGGAAGATTGCGATGAGGATCGTCCCATCGACCCAATGCGACCGTATCTGTGGAAGATGTACCAAGATTATGTGAAGAGAACACGGCCAGATGACTGCTCTTTGACCGATGGAGATCACCGAACAGAAACCCATCAGCAAGATTATACGCCACTGGAGGCTCATGCTAAACTTGGCTCTTTATCCTGTTCTTCTAAGCAACACATTGCCTGTGACATGTCCAAAGTCCATGCTCATGTGTCACAGCTAGCTCAATCTGTTTTACCCAGAGAGGGCGAACCTCGGTGTGATTCAATTCAGTTGGCTTGTAGTGCTAGTACAAGGGAGTGCCAACCTGTGCATCAGCTTAGTAGTGTTGCACATGAGAGATCTACCGCTGCTGCTGCTGCTATTACGCCCAGTCCTCAACGGAATGGAGTTGATGATGGTGCTCTACTCTGCTCTTCTATGCAAGGTGGCTCTACAAATTCAGTTCCAGGAAGCTCGTCAGTCGAGTATGGTTTAGCCGAAGATGCTCAGCTGAATGACAGTGTCCAGCAATGCTCGGAGGCACTTCTCGAAGGTGCATGCTCGGCAGCGCCTGGAATAATTCGGGAATTACCCAATGCCGCTGACCCTGTGGTAGTGGAACAACGTAGCATGGATACCGAATGTAATGCTGGGAGAAATGCTTCCCATTGTTCTCCGGGCTCATTGATACGGGACCGTTCAGTTGGGATGGAAGCTGATTATGAAGCAAGCAATCAACAGTACTCTGAAGCTATCCTTGAAGGAGCTTTCTCTACGGGTTTGGACGTTAGTCAACATAGTCCTTGTGTTGTCAGAACTATTGTAAACCAAGTCGAAGCAGAGAGCCATGTGTCAGCAGAAACCACGCTGCATGAAGTTGGTCCATCTTTAGACCCCATCTCATGTGAACTGACTGGCCTTAGCAATGAAAAAAGTGTGCTTGAAGAATTACTTCCAACCATTTGCTCTGATACTCATGAGGTCTCTATTGCTGGGACAAATGCAGCTGCAAGCATGTCAGATTCACATGTAATACAAGCAACCGAAACTCCGGAAGAGATTGGCAGCAGCTGCATAGTGCCTCAATCCCACCATAGCAAATATCAGCACACAGATCACCTTGGTTCGGCATCGGAATGGACATGCCCGCAATCCCCAGCTCGGCTAGTGGAACCATCGTACCAGGCAGACTGTGCAACCAATAGCATACGCACAAACACTGAAGGCAGTCCCAACACGATCTTGAACAGCTATGGTGGTGAAGCGATAACAGATTATGGAACAGGTGGGTCACTTTCCACTCCAGCTGATAACTCCATTGTGCAATGTCCCAGTGATAACAACGTTGTGGAGGCATCCCATACGATGGTCCAGACGCCACACGCAAACCGCGAATTGGATGAAGACCAGTTTACCCAGTCCCAGTCCTTGCTGGCTCCCCTGTTGAGTTTCCAATCCCCCAACATTCTTGGTAGCCAACTTGCCACTGGAACAGGCATTTCGAAAATTCGGGAATTACCCAATGCCGCTGACCCTGTGGTAGTGGAACAACGTAGCATGGATACCGAATGTAATGCTGGGAGAAATGCTTCCCATTGTTCTCCGGGCTCATTGATACGTGACCGTTCAGTTGGGATGGAAGCTGATTATGAAGCAAGCAATCAACAGTACTCTGGAGCTATCCTTGAAGGAGCTTTCTCTACGGGTTTGGACGTTAGTCAACATAGTCCTTGTGTTGTCAGAACTATTGTAAACCAAGTCGAAGCAGAGAGCCATGTGTCAGCAGAAACCACGCTGCATGAAGTTGGTCCATCTTTAGACCCCATCTCATGTGAACTGACTGGCCTTAGCAATGAAAAAAGTGTGCTTGAAGAATCACTTCCAACCATTTGCTCTGATACTCATGAGCACTCTATTGCTGGGACAAATGCAGCTGCAAGCATGTCAGATGCACATGTAATACAAGCAACCGAAACTCCGGAAGAGATTGGCAGCAGCTGCATAGTGCCTCAATCCCACCATAACAAATATCAGCACACAGATCACCTTGGTTCGGCATCGGAATGGACATGCCCGCAATCCCCAGCTCGGCTAGTGGAACCATCGTACCAGGCAGACTGTGCAACCAATAGCATACGCACAAACACTGAAGGCAGTCCCAACATGATCTTGAACAGCTATGGTAGTGAAGCGATAACAGATTATGGAACAGGTGGGTCACTTTCCACTCCAGCTGATAACTCCATTGTGCAATGTCCCAGTGATAACAACGTTGTGGAGGCATCCCATACGATGGTCCAGACGCCACACGCAAACCGCGAATTGGATGAAGACCAGTTTACCCAGTCCCAGTCCTTGCTGGCTCCCCTGTTGAGTTTCCAATCTCCCAACATTCTTGGTAGCCAACTTGCCACTGGAACAGGCATTTCCTCCGAGCCACTGTTCGCTGATGGCATGGATGAGACTGAGCTGGATCCTGATGCCAAGCCACCCTGTTCGCAGTCAGCCTCCGCCAGTGGTCAACTCCAGTTGGACAACTCTAGCAGTCCTGTGCTTTCACCAGACCTTCTAGACTCCCCACATCACGAGCTCCATGCGTCAACACTTGTACAGCCAGTAGAGCGTAAGTAGTCACATGTATGCGGATCTTCTTGGGTAAATTTTGGTATACCTTTCGTGGTACCAGTTGACATCAAGCAGTAGCTTCCATGAGTTACTGGCACTCAAAGACTAAAGCTTTCAAAAGATGGTCTGGAGTTTTGCTACGTTGATTTCGCTATGAATGTGGAGCCCACAGTGAATAGATGTGTGAAGAAAAGGTACAGAAAAAGGAGGAGCGGCAGCATACCAGCCTTGGGGCGACCTTGGTTGGGTATTCACCGTAGTACTTGAGGGTCAATTGTATTGTGTGCTGCTTGGGTTAAAGTAACGTTAGTTGGCTGGCTCACTGTACTGGTATGTACATGTATGCATCCGTGCAAAGTTCTTCTGCTGCTGCATTATTATACCTGCCCAACAAAGAGATGGGTCTTTCAAGCATTGCCGTTGTCAAGTTTCGGTATTTTATTTTATTTTTTCCACCTCAACTCTTTCTTCAGGCATCCCTTCAACAAACACATCCACAACACGACCTCCGACTCCAGGATCAGCAGCCAGTTCTCCACTACTACTAAGCAGTGACAATCCGTGTCATCCTGCCTCCCAGCCGCTGTTCAGTTCTGCAGCTAGGTCTCCTGAATCTCTACCGGACACTGCGAGCTGCATCCCTGCCAGCCCTACCGGTGGTAGTGTGCTCACACCTATAAACCCCACAACCATCTCTGCTGGACTTGCTGGAAACGAGGCTATTGAACCCAGCTATACACATAGCGGGATGCCGTGTACAAACTTAGAAAGCCAGGTTAGAGCTAAGTCAGAATCCAGTAACAGTTACTATGGGTACAGTAGTGTAATGTGAATCCCAGCCTCGTAAACAACGCAGGGCCGCACTCGTAGCACAGCCCAGTGCTCCGGGTGCAAGGGCTATATAGTCCAGGGATGATGTTGATCACATCAGATTTCACTTGCCACCGCTTTAGTTTGATGGGTTGCCGGTATTGCTCTGCTCAAATATTCTTAGTAACGGAAAGCGTTTTGCTCTGCCAGAGTGAAATAAACTATTAGAATTACTTTGAACAGGTTGAGCTGGGTTTTTCTTCTTTGCTTTCTTTTAGTGGTCAAGCGCCTTGTGCAGGCGAAAGTAATGATTGCAATGATGACTTTCTGTGTGGCTGGCTCTTCTGCAGGACATTCAAGCTCTGGAGGGAAACTTGGAACAAATGCGTAAAGATATGGCTGCACTGACTGCTTTGCTCGGTATGTGTTTATTACATAGGAAGAACAACAAAATGCAATGCAAAAAAGATTGCCTGGAGAACCCGGGTATCGATCCCGGTACCTCTCGCATGCTAAGCGAGCGCTCTACCATGTGAGCTAGTCCCCCTGCTTGTGTAGTTGTGTAGATAATGAACTTGATAAGTATGTATGGTCATTACAATGACCTCACCTTGCCTTGTAAAATGTTATTGGATTTAGCTTTCAAGTTGTCATGAGCCCTTGGAGGCTTAGACCCTATCCACCAAACACAGCAGCGAGAAAGACGTTTGCGGCGGTGTGCTCTTGCTTGTGTTTCTTTCAGGTTCCCAACTTCAAGAAGAAGACACTGCCGGCACAAGCTCTGTTAGTAATCGGTACCTACACGTCTTTAAACTTATTTCCACTCCACCTTACTGCTGCCGCAACTGTTTTCACTCTGTTATGACAAATGGAGGTTGGTGTCAGAAGTTACAGGAGATGTTTTGTGCAGAAACAACAGGGTGTGCACATGCCTGCTGTGCCACTCACTGGCTGCGCACCTGTAGTTATTGCACTAACGTATCTTCATGTCTGCTGTTGATCATGAGTTTGGGATTGTGTTGTATTTGGTTTGTGTACATTCCAGGATGAGTCCTTTGCATCTGCTTGCAGCAAGCCAGGTAAGAGCTTACTTGTACTTGATCCGTTTCATCGCAATTGTCGCGTATCTCCCACGCACCTTTTGACAGGTAAAACCCAGCACGATCACGATATCTAACTCACTTTCGTTTGGGAGGTTGTGATGGCAAGATCAAAGGAGACCAGAAAGAATAAAAACCCATCGCGACTAGCGCCAGTGGCATCGCGATTCGTACGCCTTTGATGGGAAAAGCGGGAACTTTTCACTGCAAAGGCAAGCGCAGCTCAAAGACCGGAACTGTAGCAGGGGAAATCGACATCCTGACGTGAAGAGCGTGACAGTCACCATGTACCACTGGTCACGGCAGAGTTATGCTGAAGAAGAACGGTGTTTTCGATGCGATGCGTGAGAAACTTTGGTTGTTCCGTCGCGGCACTAGAACTCCTGAAGCTGGGATGCCCTTGTTCTACCAGCACAATGGTGCAAGGCCTCAAACCACCAAGGCAAACCAGCAGCATTGGGTACGACACAGGGCCAAGACAGAATTTGACATTCGAGTGGTCACCCAGGCCAGCCAGCTCAGTCGCCACATTTGAACTGCAACGACCTGGCATTCTTTGCAAGCCTACAAACTGGTGGCGAGATAGTGGCAAAGAAGACAGTGTCCGACCTGGCAGCGGCAGTACAAGAGTAGTGGTCAGCATATCCAGCAGAGCGTCTGACAGCTGTCTGGAGAGGGATGTGTGCCTGATTCAAAGACATTGTTGAAACACACCGTGGTGAAACATGGGTCACGCTGCCCACGTTCCTCTAAGGCCGAAGTGACAGCCACAACTGTTCCTTTCCCATCGCTGCCATACGCCAGGCAGAGAAAGTAAGAGATACTCTACACCAGCGGCTATACACACCAGAGAATGTCAGTTCAGGTGACAGCAGCTCGGGTGATACAGAGCCAGAGTCGGATAAATTCAGGACATGGTAAAAGCGTGAGTGCAAGAACGCGCTCCGTCGCTGTTTTCTTTTGTACATTTTTTGTAACCTTGCTTCCTTTCTTTGACTTGCTTCATCAGATTCCATTGCTGAAATTGTTTTCTTGTGGCGGAGAGTGTTCATGTATCATGCTTCTTCACTGTGCTTATTGGAAATTTCACAGAGCGGTAAAAAAACACCTGTTCTTAGTGGCGATAGCCTATGATAAGCGACAATTGCGATCAAACGGACCAAGTACATGAACACATGGAGTTGATTACTCACTCTAATATTATAGGTTATATTAACTTAATGACATCATCCTAAGTGCTTTCTTCCCTTCATTGACCCGACATCATCCACAACATTCCCCGCTGGATCCCTCAAGCTTTGCCAACTTGCAAGGAAGTGTATCGCTATTGCAACCGTACATCCTCTACATGCATTCAGAAATGCTCACGCAGACTGCTTTTCATCATGAGTGCGAGGACCGCGCTACCACGGCTACCCTGGGGTAGGTGCCCAACCAGAGTGACGTGTCGTAGAGAGGATATAATCTCTCTGACTGGTTGTGGGCTAGTGTAATGCAATAGACAGCTTTTTCAGCATCTACATTATAGTCGAAAAAGGCCCACGATTGTTCAGCTGGTACATGTACTTTATATTTTCTGTCTGCTGGCTGTATAGTCCTGTGGCTATAATATGCAATGTGTTTCTGTGCCAAACAGATCCAAGTGAGGAATCGGCCGAATCAGACGTGCTATGTGAAAATTCCTGCAGTCAAGCACTGCATTGCTCCCAGTCAAAATTAATCACAGCAACACCTCCTGACTCCGAACCCTGCTTGCAGAGAAATTCTTTGATGGTGTCGGAGGAAAATGTAATATCAGCTGATCTGAACCCCTTTACGTGCCACCAATCTAGTGGCATGTGTACTTCAAGTAACACAGCATCTGGTTTGTCAGGACAGTGTACGTCACCATCACAGATGCCTCCATCGCTTACACCCAGTCTCAACACTCCACACGAAGGTGTGCAACCCTTCAGCCAGCAGATGAAACAGTGTGGGAGCAGACGGCTATCATTTGTGACTCATGACCTAACTCACGACCAAGTGGTAAGAGGAATAAATATCCCCCCCCCCCCCCCACACACACACCCGGCTTAGCCAAACATGTATGACCCTCTATCTAGTAATCACTCAGCTAATGTCCAAGTGAAGAGTGTGATGCCTGGAAAGTGGAGCTGAGAGAACTATCCTACCTTGGCTGTAGAATAATGGTGTGGTATTTTCTATTGTGTCTAGATCGAAAATAGCGGGATGTTTGTTCGAACCTAATTGATAGCTTGCATAGACCTCGGTCCTACCGGTAGGACCTACCGGTAGGACCATCATACACAGACATGCTGCATGGCCTATGTTCTAACATTGACCTAAAACTTGACCCTAAACTGTTGCTAAGGGGCTAATGAAGAAGTCCACAAATTTTAGACATGATCGCACAAGGCATACTACGAAATTCCATGGTAACAACCCATGGTAACCATGGAAACGGAGTATGAAATTATGCATTCCACGGCCTTGGCAAGCTAATAAAAACATTAGGACCTCACCACAATTGATGTGCCATGGTCAAAATTCACTTTGGACAGAGTTGCTAGCGCACCGACAGGATTATGTGCGGCCATTTTGACAATCGGTAAAATTGCGCATACGCAATGCACTGGACATAGCCTTGCATTTTGCGCCATTACTTTGCCTGACAAAGACCTCATCTCAACAATTGTTTTAAAAAATTCTCAACCAAAAGCACTTTTGCAGCTCGATTTCTTGGGTCCTACCGGTAGGACGGTATGCAAGCTATCATAATAGGACCGTGTCATTTCTTATTGCTTTGTCGGCGCTGTATACAGAGGATGGCAAAGACCGTGGCCAAGTATGGAAGTGGGCGGGTTGCTAGCCGGTTCAATGGCTGCACAACGCATGTGATACTGGCAACGTCAGGTAGGGTATTACATGTACAGTATTGTTTTCAATGTGAAGAAGAGGTTGGTGCGACTTCAGCGAACACACAATTCCCCAAGTATTGTTTTCAGCTGGTTTTAACTAGGAACTTTACCTGTTTGCACGGTGTGAGCAGTAGACAAAGTAGAACATTAGAGCAAGCATCACACGGCCTGCCTGATAAGCAGTGTGTACTGGTACCAACGCCGGGTTCAACTTCCTGTTGCTGGTGCTTCTCTCTTTCTTTCTAGATCAAGGTTTGGCTGAGCCATCCCTCAAGTATCTGCAAGGGATCGCGGCAGGTGTCTGGATCGTGTCTATGAACTGTAAGCACAACCAGCCATCCTGCTGCTGGGAACTCACAAGGTAGATGGGTGTACGGCTGGGTAAACCGATCCAGCTCTTCTCGGAGCTGACGATTGGCATCATGTTGGCATGTCTGTAACCTAGCAGCTCTCCAACTGATAGATAGCCCATGTAATTGTGGCACGAATACAATTTTGCACGGTGTCAGCGTTGGTGTCTGCCTCATTCTCTCTTCTTGGTTGTCACAGGGATTGAGGAGTGCTACAAGGCAGGCACACTATTGCCAGAGGTAGGGGAAATTAGGGTTTTTTTAGACAGTATTCCATGAAAAGCAAAGAGGATATGATTCATATCCAATGTGAAGAAACATATATGTAGGTAGGAACAATTGGGTCAACATTGGTGAGATTGTCCTGGTGGTGAGTGAGACTAGACAAAAAAAAACACCAAAAAGAAGGCCTGGAGAACCCGGGTATCGACCCCGGTACCTCTCGCATGCTAAGCGAGCGCTCTACCATGTGAGCTAGTCCCCCTACACATTGCTCCTATGGGACATGTATGCTCATGTAGTGGCATTGGAAATCGATAGAAAGGCAAGAATTTAGAGCTCGAGGACGCACTACTGACTCCTGTTGTGCAACGGTAATGTTCTGGGAACAAGCATTTACCATGGGTCTTTAAAAATAACTCTTTATCAGCATGATGAGAATACGATCTTCAATGAAATTCGGATCAGGAATGAACATCCTGATCGGAATTGTATTGAATCTGCACTCATACATTGCCCGCGAGTCACCACCGGTGCTGTGGGTGTGAAGTTGCCACTGTGATTGACTCATTTTCTTTCATTTTTAACCGCCTTTTTAAAATTGCGTCTGCTCTCCCTTGACTGTGTATGATTGTCAGGAGGAATTCGAAGTGAATGGTGACAGCTCTGTTCAAAGTTGCGCTCCCAGACAATCAAGAATAGCACAGGTATGATGGCGGCATGTTCAGGAAGCTGATACTGAGGTGGAATGGTTGAAATTCTATTGTCTTTATCTGCATGATCTCTGGACACTGGTTCCATTGTGCACGAATCTAATCACTGTCATTGTCCTTGTTGCAATGTGTGGCAGGCGGAAGGTCGCAGGCTCTTCCATGGCACCAATGTTACATTCAGTGAAAGCATTCCAGTAACCACCAGAGGTATGTGCATTGTCAACTTGCAGTCATTTTTGTGCCGGAGATGTGAACGCTCAGTACTGTAGGCTTTGCTTGGCGCCCTGTCTGTATAGCTTTCTACAACTGTTCCGCTCACCTCACCTTCGCCTTGTCACTTTTGTCAACGTTGTTATATTTCCCCGCTTCAATAGCTCAGTCTCACTAGCAATGACAGGCTGGAGGAACACTGGCAAGGACCATCAGAAGAACTGAAAGCAAAGTGGACAGTGCTACATCTACATGTGTACTAACTGGCCACAAGTTCATCTACAATAGATCAATGCACATTTTTTAAATTGTTCTGTTTTGGTAGTCCGGCTTCGCATGCAGAACCGCAAGCTGCACTTTGAAGTAAGGCTTCCATTCGAAACAGTTGTGTTGTGATTACGCCTGCCTTCCTTTCAGATATGCTTGCACAAACAATGGAGCTGGGTGGTGCATGCATTGTATCCAAGGCAGGCTTGACAGCATCACGGCACTTGGTAAGAATACTCCGGCACGGATACAAATCCACGATAGGCTTCCTGTGTAATGCTTTTGGATAGTAGACAATTGTGAAGCATGGTGATCTTGGTTGAACAAGAAGTGTCAAGCACGCAATGCCAGTTGAACTCACTTAGGCTTAGTCAGCATTTAGCTCCCCCCCCCCCGGGAATTTTATCACGGTTGCAACCTACTGTTCTGCTGTACTGCAGGATGGCAATAAGCAACAGCTCCACATCGTCAGAGGTGACACATTTGGTGTGGCATTGAGTCAGCAAGCTGCAAGCAACGAGGAGAATTCGAATCAGATTGTACCTACAGACTGGCCAGTGCAATGCCTTCTTCACTACCGGTGAGTCACGGGGAGGGTCTGTATTGGGCCTAATGACGGTGTCAAAACAAGGCAGTCTCCTATGCTTCCTCGCTGTATAGCCACATTATTGTTAAAGTAGTGTAACCCCTCTTGTACCGGCAAAATAATTGTGCAACTCATGCAAACTCACGCATGGAAGCAGGCCACCCAAACTGTGTAGATAAATCAATTCAAGTTAATCGCAAAAGGAAAGCATTTAGTCATGTAGAGTACTTGTACATGTACCGTGGTCATAGCGTTACTGTGCTAGTCCTGAGTAAATGCACATGCCCTGCATGCATGCGCTCCCCATGTGTTCCTGTTTCTCTGTGGATGTTGCTGTAGGATATTGAACCCACTGGATTTACTTGGAAACTCTATGCCATGACTCTATCCCCACGTGCAAGTTGTGACAGACCGTTCAAATCTCATCGAATCCACCATCTTTGCCTTGCAGCGAGATGATGGTATGATAACAGCAAGCAGTGGCAAGCTTATGGATATCACCGGAACTGTACTGAATTGCTCTGCAAGCATTCATCCATTATTTATCATACAGAATTCTCCATTGTGCGAGATACTTAGTGTAGTTGCATGGAAAACATCCTAGGCTATGCAAACAGAATTCCATGAAGAAAGTCGGTATTTAGTATTTACATACATTGCATATAAGTAAAGTTCTATCAAGAAAAGCACAGATCCATCATTTTTGGAGTTCGTATAGTATTTATAGAAAAGCCTAAAGAAAAAGTCTGTAATTATTCCACAGGGCATTTATATTTGAAGTAGCTCTGACCTTGCATCTTCATTGTATCTTTCCAACCTGTTGTTCTAATAAAAATAATAAAAATTCACGGTTCATGTAAGACTCGCCTGGAGGCCGAGTTTTCCGCATCCGCAGGAACGCCACCACCCTCTAGGATCAAAGCAAAGATGCAGCTCCTAAGCGGTGGGAGGTGAGTAGATCAGACCCACCACAAAGTGGCCAAAGACCGAAAATCCATCCCATCCGCTGCGTCCATGTTTCCCTCGTGCCAGGCCACGAGTTCCCAACTAACTGTGGGTCGCAGCACGGCTGGAGAAATCCTTCCGCTTCCAAGCAGGACTTGAACCTGGTACTCTCTGTTTCTCTCAATCATGGTCTTAGACCGTCCTACTATACTTGCCTCGTTCTAATAGAAATGGTTGAATCACCACTACACAATGCATGTTTTGATTCACGGTACAAATCATGTATTCCATTCAATGCGGACAGGATGTCACATTTCAATGGTTGGCTTCAAACTTTGAATCCCAGCTCTTCATGACAGTAAAATACTTGAAGAAAAACCTGTTCCGGTCATTGACTATCGTTCCTGATGACTTTAGTGAAGAGGTACTGTGTCCCCCATGCTGACTCGTGTTACCATCGAATGCTTTTTAAAAAGCTCTTTTGAGTGCATACATTATACTTGCTGACGGATTCTGCAAGACTGGGCTCATGCGTGGTTGCACGCTCAGCAATCAGCATGCAAATTTCCAAGACTTCTAGGACTCCACAAGTTCGGACTTTCGAGTGGTATTGACTCTTGAGATATCTTCGCCCGAGATGTACTTCGATTAGGCCTTTGCTGATAATGCCGGCAGAAAAATTGGCAGAATTCGGTACTTTTTCTGGTGAGTTTCATGCATGTTTGGTATGTGGATAAAGAAATGGAGCAGAATTCGAGGAGTTGCCCGCCATAAGGTTTGTATAGTTCTGCCAATTTCACTGCTTTTCGAGCAGAATCTGCCACCTTTTCGACGATGATTATCCGCCAATGCCTAACTTCGATGCACTGGGCAATCACAAGCTTTTGTAGACCCACGGAAGAGCATTTTGAGGTAGATGTGAGTATGAGCCCAGCCTGTACTGTGGAACAGTGCATATTTTGTGAACCTTCCAGAAAAGCCTTTACTACATGTAGGTATGTAGGTTCACCATTGCTTGTGTCTACCAGGTGTCCACGGACATGGTACAGTCAGTGGTCAGTGGCACTGAAAATGCTGGACGCATTAATATTATATAATCACCGCTGGGCAGTCGGTTCACCACTGTGACATCAGTATGTATAATGATGTATGAGTGAAACCCGACCCCAGAATATACAATAGTACAATACAGTCATACTAGTACTTCGAGTAGTAGTCAATACTGGTCATTGTATTTTCTGAGGTCGGGTTTCACTTGCCACCATTAATGGTGAACAGGGAGAAATCATGACAATCGTCTTAGAATCGTCTAACTTGTAGTCCTTGTCACATTGACTCACTGAGTGTGGGGACTAGGGAGTCTCTTAAAATGCTGATGACTCAGGAGCAGGTGGCAAGCTGATGCCTTTGCGTGCATGGTGGCATAGCCTAACAGAGCAAGGTCCTGCCTACGGCTATCATCTCAACCCGTCCAAGTCGGTTCTCCTGGTTAAACCGGAGCATTATGATCGAGCAGTGGAGATGTTCGCCGACACTGGAGTTGACATCCGCGTCGATGGTTGCCGGTACCTGGGTTCGGCTATTGGTACGCCTGCGTTCCTGGATAGCTTTGTTGAGCAGAAGGCAACAAGATGGCTCAACCTCGTGGAGAAGTTGTCCTCGTATGCGGAAACGCAACCACAAGCTGCATACGCTGCACTCACCCAAGGCCTGCAGAATAAGTGGTCTTTCCTCTGCCGCACCACACCAACAGCTGCAGCTGCTCTGACGCCTGTGGAGAAGCTGCTAATGGAGAGGCTCATCCCCGCTCTTACCGGCCATATTGTCAACTCGGAGGAAAGGTCAATTCTTGCGCTTCCATGTCGTCACGGAGGGCTCGGGCTGGGCAATCCCGTGGATCTCGCATCCCAGTATGATGCATCGCGAAGGGTGACTGAGTCCTTGCAGACCAACATCAAGCTGCAGACTATGGCGCTCGGCTCTGCAACCAGTCTCGTTCGTACTGCCAAGGCGGAGGTGAGGATAACAGCACGGAATGCTGTCAAAGCCCAAGCCCTGCTGCTCCGCTCCAGTGTGCCGGAGGCCAAGCAGCGTGTAATCGACCTGGCTGCGGAGAAGGGCTCTTCCAGTTGGCTGACCTGCAGGCCCTTGAAGCGCCATGGATTTGCCCTCTCCAAAGCGGAGTTTCGCGATGGAGTGCACCTAAGGTACAACTGGCAACCACAGCGCATGCCATCAGGGTGCGTTTGTGGAAGCCAGTTTACTGTGGCCCATGCCCTCTCGTGCCCCACCGGCGGTTACCCTACCATCAGGCATAACGAGATCCGCGATGTGACCGCTGGTTTCTTGAAGCGTGTTGCCACCAACGTATCTGTAGAGCCTCATCTGGAGCCCCTGAGTGGGGAGCAGCTGCGCTATCGCACCGCCATCCGCGACGACCAGGCTCGCTTGGACGTAGCAGCAAATGGAGTGTGGGGAGGGCGGTTCGAACGCACCTTCTTCGACGTCCGGGTGTTCAACCCTTTTGCGTCTTCGAACCAGTCCTCCTCCATTTCTGCCACCTACGTTCGCCATGAGAAAGCGAAGAAGAGATCGTATGAAGAGAGGCTGCGGGAGATCGAGCATGCTTCATTTGTCCCGTTGGTCTTCTCGACAACCGGTGGCATGGGCAAGCAATCTGCCTCGCTTTACAAGCGAATTGCATCTCTCATTGCTGAGAAAAGCGGCGAACCGTATTCGGTTGTTATGTCATTCATCCGCTGCCGCCTTAGCTTTGCGTTGCTCAGAGCGAGTGTCATGTGCCTGCGTGGTAGCCGCTCTGTTTTCGCTGTACATGCACCTGTCTCTTCTTCTGCCTCCCTAGTTGCTGCCGCAGCTGGCACTTCCCGTCATTAATTTTATAGTCTTTACTTAGTTCTTTAATATTATTATTTGCCATGGCGACCCCCGTAAGCTGGCAGGGCAGGGTTGGGCCTTTTTTTCTTTTACTTCACAGGTGTAGCATTTTATCAGTCATTACGTATGATTTATACAGTGGCAGTACCAGGCGTGGGCCATCCCCTGGATTATCAAAATGGGTGCCTTCTCATTTTTTTCTGCTGTTTGAGGTTCAGCAATGCGAAATGACTTTTCCTGTTAAAAAGGGAGTCTCTAAAAGACTCTAAACCCAACCTCCCTGCACGCTTATCTGTGCTACATGTAAAAATTTTGATTATGTAGCCCGGATATCTCGCGAAGAGCTCCGCCTAGGCGCCTTACCTGTAAACATGACGAGTTGCAGATCTTCGCGGTCACTGAACGGTCTTGTAGTTGTACTGCTTCTGCTTTTACTACTTCAGTTAGCAGGCTAGCTGCAGCTAGTCGAGTCGTCGATTTCCGGCGAAAATTCGAAAAGCGGGGCGACTGGAAACACAATCAATCATCAGTGCACGAGACGTAGACGACGTCAAACTGATCGCCTGTTGACGTCCTGTCCACTGGAAATGGAACGTTTTTGACACGCTGCCAGAAAAGTCAGGCATTGCAACAACAAGCTAACTGCGCTTGGATTCGGAAGGCGTGTGGGAAAGGGGATGACTAGCACTGCACTGGCGCAGTGGCGGAGCGAGTTCAGAATCAGACAGTCGGAGACCAGGCGTACATGCGCGTGGCCTGTGCCGCTGGGGGGTGTGGAACGTTCCTCTCAGTGACACAACACTGCCCCTGGTACCGATAATATCCCGTGATCACACAAGCCATGCAACCGGTACAAAATAGACCTACCGGCGACGAAGATCCGCATGCAAAGGGGCAGAGGCAAGACGTCGATACATTCTCCATCCGGACCGACTTGCTTAGTCTTTACCCGCCGTGGCAGATGATTTTGGATTCAATAAACGTGCTCGCCCAGTCTACCATTCAAAAGTTTCCCTTTTCTTGTGCGTTCGGTCTTTTCGGAGATGTTTCAGTTCGTGGGATAGCGTCAGCAGTGGTACATAGAGAGTGGGAGTGAAAAGCAGAAGCAAATGGTGGCGCGAGGGCTGGATGCACTTCGTTACCACAAAGGGAAGAAGAGGTGAAAATGACGTCCTCGCCGCCGAGAAAGCCACTTGCCGTGTGTGCGACGTGTCGGGATCCCGGCGAAGGCGAGAGCGATGCGCTGGCTGCCGTTCGTCGAGGACACATAGAGTGTTTGCAGGCCGTATGTGCCGAGCGACCAGGTGCTATTCACGACGTCAATTCGCGAGTGCTAGGTGTTGGAGTGCTGCACGTTGCCGCTAGTCAGGGTCACACGGAAGTGCTGCGCTGGTTGTGCGAGGAGGCTGGTGTCGTCGTAGACATATCCGACGTGGACGGTGCTACGCCGACGCACCTGGCAGCGGCCAACGGCAATCTGGGCTGCGTCCGATACCTGATCGGCGTGGCCGGAGCCGACGTTCACGCCCGAATGCGTGACGGAGGCACTCCATTGATGCTCGCGTGCCAAAATGGACACGAGGGAACTGTGGAGTGGTTGATTGGACCGGGACGAGCCTCGTTGCAGAAGACCAACTCCAACAACGCTACAGCCGTGCACCTAGCGGCTGCTAAAGGTATGGACTATGGTAGTATGGATGAAATCCTGCTGGTCTCCACACTGTATTGGCTTCGACACCTCTGCACTGCAGCTTGTAATAGAGAAAATTAATGGTGTAGAGAAATGGAGGTGATGCCACAAGGCATTCTCACCATTATAGAAGATTAGATGGCCATCAACTGTTGCGTGCAATTGTAGTACTTTTGGAGAGTGTGAGCTTCAGATGTTCAGCGGTCACAAGTACAGCTATTCATTCATTCAATAATTCATTAGACTGTATTTCTCAATTTGCATAGACTCCACGGCGTAGCCTTCCTGAAGATGGACCTTGCCCGAAAATCCGAATATATAAACTTCATTGAAAAAACTTCATTATTTTTAATTTTGTATTGATCGGTGTAGCCAAGAGACCGTTTTAAGGGGGTTCGGGACAGTTAGGCCCAACAAATTAATTTCAACATCAGCGCAATCTGACATCAGGTTGGAATAGCTACAGCCTTATATTTTCGCTTAGTAACATCAGTTTTTCAATTGCCTGAATAGGTCTTGCCAAAAACACAATTTTCCATGATAACACAAAATATTGCAAAATCCGAAAATTGATGAGAAATCGTCCATAACACCAGATAGGACCAAAACTATGACATAAAATTATACAGACTGTTAGAGGTATTGACTAAGATGATATCAACACCAAAAATGTACACTTTGGTTGACGATAGGATCCAGGTCGTCATTTCCTGGAGAAGAACAAAAAGACGCAAAAAATGAAACTTTGAATATTTTTTGCAGCTTATTTTTGAGTTCGCCCCATATGTGGATACTTCAAATACGTTCTATAAGTGGGTTGGAACAGGTTTACCGCGGCGAAAATAGGGGTCACCGTGCATATTCTGGAGAAAAATCCAAAAAACTGTGAAAATTTGCCTAAAATTGGTAAATTCACGTATCTATATTGCGTGTACTTCTCTGCTGCTGCTTTGGTCATAACTTATTGGATTTTTGGCTGTTAGGTGTTGCATAAACTCGCTAGAGCCCTCGGCGTTCAGAACAATACAAGGATGGAATAGCTGAACTAGTGAATTTGCCGGGAAACCCTGGGTGCACGCATTATCGATACCGTATTTTTCGGAGTATAGTGCGCACCTTTGTATAACGCGCACCCCCAATCTTCATTGGGGGTGCGCACTTCAATCTTCATTGAAGTACATGCATTTCATATTCGGAGCATAGTGCGCACCTGCGATTTAGGGCCTAAATTAGCACATCTAAAGTGCGCACTATACTCCGGAAAATACGGTAGGTACTTTTCTCCATGATTACTCTCCTGTTGGTACTTGGTTTTGATACATGTACATGTAGCTGTGATAGCACTTAGCACAGCCCCATATCAAACTACAATGAAAGCTGGCATGTTGGAACGAATCAGACAACATTGAGTCCTCTTGTTCTTCAACTATGCGAGCTAGAACGTGTCCCCACGCTGGCAAAAATGATGGTATTTTACGGTGCGCACAAACAAGGGAAGCACTTTGCCACAGGGCGTTACTTACATTTGGGTTGATGCTGGTTCTTGGCTAGGTGTTCAGCCACCACTAATATAATCTTCCTTGAGGCTGTCACCCGCTTCTTACCTCCGACTTGCTCCTTCATCAGTCTGGAAATGGCTGGCTCACCATTTTGTTTGTAGGACAAGACAAAGTGCTTCATCACCAACCCACTAGCAGCTGCCCGCACTGCAACTGATTTAGAGAAGCACGTTGCTTGGACCAACGGTTGAAGGATGGCCAGCCGCTTTTGCTGATGTTCTGCAAACTCCATCGCCGAACATGCTGATGCAAAAGTGACAGAGTGTTACAGGATACTGGCATCAAGGCGAGCTTCGACAATTTCAGCTAGGGCTGCAACCGTGATCCGCAACAGCATCATGAGCAGCGAACTCATTCCCAACGATGAACTATAAATCAATCTGAGGCTGTAGCTTGGGAGCTCCGGTATCGCGGTTTAGGGATCAGAGTGTTCACCCAGCACAACAATGCACACCATCGACACACACATGCGTGCACACATACACATACACACACACACACACACACACCTGTCCTGTCCTGTAGAGCCACTGCCACAGGGGTCACGTGGGCCCCGGAGAGGCATCAGAGAGGAAGATAGAGCACGCAGCCTGATGACGCTGGAGATGGTGGAGCAAACAGAACCGGCGAGAACACACGCATACATGACTGAACGAATTACGCTGCTGGGCAGTCGGGCGCGGGCCAGTCCTCGAGCACCGGTGACGACCGCGGCCTTGCACAGTCCGAAAGCAGCGGGCACACACACACACACACACACACACACACTACTACTACTACTATGTACAGCTACCCTATCGGGCCACGCCGCTCCCAGAAGCGGGAGACAACGACAAGAAGAGAGAAGAGAAGAGAGAGAAATCGCAAAGTCAACAATATTTGGCATGGCGTTGCAAGTCCTGTGGCCTTGAGAACCGTCTTTCGCAATGCTCGCATTCATGACGGCAGTTGTTCCTGGCTGCACGTGATGATCGTGTCATCACTGTGACCGTGCGAAACACACACACACACACACACACACACATGCTCTCACACGCAATAGAACACATGCGCGCGCGTACACACACATATATTCACGCACGTGTACGTACCCACCCACATGCATCTGCAAACTCATGTGCATGAGTGGAGATGCCCGCATACACATGTCACACCAACATGCCCTGGGAGCGGTCATGCACGTGTGTATAGTATGTGTGCGAGGGCACGTCCACATGAGCGCATATGCATGTGCATGCTCCGCGCATGCAGTGTGCTCATACATTTCCATAGCCATCGGGTGCAATGACTCCCAAATATCATGAATAAATCTTATGAGATTGAAAAACACACTTACCCAAAGCAGCTTTGGTGTTGCTTGTGGAAGCATGGGGGCCAGGGTGTTGAGCAGTTACAGGGCTATCTGTATCTATAAAATCAAGTTCTCCAACCCACACTGCTGACACGGAATGACAAGTACGCTGCCCAGGCCGTACCTCTTCTCTTCAACGCAATCAATGAGCGCCAGAGGTTTGCCACATCCAGGATTCTGGCACGCAGACAATCCCACACTGAGCCAGATACCTGAGATGAACGATTCGTCGACCGTGAAGAGGGGCACTGAACGACCTCTTCGCGGGAGTCGAATCCAGTGGCGTTGGTGGTGGAGATCGCCCTTTCGGTTTTTCAGGAACTCGATCGATCGTTTGAGCTTGCGAAGCGTCCCCCTCCTCGGCTTCTTGAATCGTCCAGTACGCACTGAGAATGCGAGGCCGCGTCGTGGGTGACAGATTACTCTCTCGCGTCTTCATCTCCACGACACGTCGGCAGGATACCCAAGCTATCCAAAAACCGCCGATGTCAAAACAAATCCGCAAGTCCACTAGTGGCTGAGCTTGTTCCTCAAATCTTGTCTCCACTCGAGCACGCGCTGCGAAGTCATGGTCAAACTGCTTATTTTTTTACTCGATTGTGCATGATCGCGTCCCATTTTTCCACTCCGAAAAGCATTATTTTTCAGAAAAAAATTCGGAAATCCAACATGGCGCTAACCGTCGCGAACCTCCTTAAAGAGGGTTGTGAGGGGATGTCTGGTCATTCGACTGTAGGTCAGTGTTTGCCACATTTGCCAATTGTAGCAGTTGAGCCTCTAGGCCACATGCACATTGTGACAAGTACAGTCGTCGCCAAAAAAATGCGGCCAATGCCATGGATACAGTGGCACTGGTATGGTACGCGTTCACCGGCTGTTCTTCATGGTGCCATGGTGCCATGCGTGCATTAACAGTACCAGCACAGCACTGAGCAGTCTGCGCTGCACTCTGCCTAGCCTGCAATGCTGCATGCGCGCAGTCGAGCCCAGCACTGCATGCGGTCCATGCACTGAGTCTGTACAGCTACCGGTAGCTTGGCATAACATTGGCCGGATGTTTTTGGCGATGGCTGTAGTGTAGCTTGTGACCAATGAGTCAATGACAACGATGAAGTCGTACCACCAGGTGAGGACTGGTCGGGATATTCTGCAGCTGTCTGGCAATGCCTTCTTCTTACGTGTGGCCTCTGCATGATTGTACAGGTCACTCTGAGTGCTTGAAACTGCTGACAAAGGCCCGGCAATACAAACCGAATGAGCAAACAAAGGATAAAGCCACACCGGTGTACTTTGCAGCGCAGGAAGGACAGTAAGTGGTGTGTTAGATATGAATGCTTCTGTCCCAACAGTCTCCAGTCACAAAGCCACTGAAGTAGAAGAAAAATAAAAGTGCGCACTTGTATGTGTGTGTGTGTGTGTGTGTGTGTGTGTGTGTGTGTGTGTGTGTGTGTGTGTGTGTGTGTGTGTGTGTGTGTGTGTGTGTGTGTGTGTGTGTGTGTGTGTGTGTGTGTGTGTGTGTGTGTGTGTGTGTGTGTGTGTGTGTGTGTGTGTGTGTGTGTGTGTGTGTGTGTGTGTGTGTGTGTGTGTGTGTGTGTGTGTGTGTGTGTGTGTGTGTGTGTGTGTGTGTGTGTGTGTGTGTGTGTGTGTGTGTGTGTGTGTGTGTGTGTGTGTGTGTGTGTGTGTGTGTGTGTGTGTGTGTGTGTGTGTGTGTGTGTGTGTGTGTGTGTGTGTGTGTGTGTGTGTGTGTGTGTGTGTGTGTGTGTGTGTGTGTGTGTGTGTGTGTGTGTGTGTGTGTGTGTGTGTGTGTGTGTGTGTGTGTGTGTGTGTGTGTGTGTGTGTGTGTGTGTGTGTGTGTGTGTGTGTGTGTGTGTGTGTGTGTGTGTGTGTGTGTGTGTGTGTGTGTGTGTGTGTGTGTGTGTGTGTGTGTGTGTGTGTGTGTGTGTGTGTGTGTGTGTGTGTGTGTGTGTGTGTGTGTGTGTGTGTGTGTGTGTGTGTGTGTGTGTGTGTGTGTGTGTGTGTGTGTGTGTGTGTGTGTGTGTGTGTGTGTGTGTGTGTGTGTGTGTGTGTGTGTGTGTGTGTGTGTGTGTGTGTGTGTGTGTGTGTGTGTGTGTGTGTGTGTGTGTGTGTGTGTGTGTGTGTGTGTGTGTGTGTGTGTGTGTGTGTGTGTGTGTGTGTGTGTGTGTGTGTGTGTGTGTGTGTGTGTGTGTGTGTGTGTGTGTGTGTGTGTGTGTGTGTGTGTGTGTGTGTGTGTGTGTGTGTGTGTGTGTGTGTGTGTGTGTGTGTGTGTGTGTGTGTGTGTGTGTGTGTGTGTGTGTGTGTGTGTGTGTGTGTGTGTGTGTGTGTGTGTGTGTGTGTGTGTGTGTGTGTGTGTGTGTGTGTGTGTGTGTGTGTGTGTGTGTGTGTGTGTGTGTGTGTGTGTGTGTGTGTGTGTGTGTGTGTGTGTGTGTGTGTGTGTGTGTGTGTGTGTGTGTGTGTGTGTGTGTGTGTGTGTGTGTGTGTGTGTGTGTGTGTGTGTGTGTGTGTGTGTGTGTGTGTGTGTGTGTGTGTGTGTGTGTGTGTGTGTGTGTGTGTGTGTGTGTGTGTGTGTGTGTGTGTGTGTGTGTGTGTGTGTGTGTGTGTGTGTGTGTGTGTGTGTGTGTGTGTGTGTGTGTGTGTGTGTGTGTGTGTGTGTGTGTGTGTGTGTGTGTGTGTGTGTGTGTGTGTGTGTGTGTGTGTGTGTGTGTGTGTGTGTGTGTGTGTGTGTGTGTGTGTGTGTGTGTGTGTGTGTATGAGTGTGTATGAGTGTGTGTGCTTGAGCATGTCTGCATGTTTATTGCATTAATGATATACTTCGTGCATTACAGTGTATTTAGAGAGGGGACCTGTATATTGCTTTTGTTCTTGTCAAAACTGGGACTCAAATTCCGGCTGCCTATCATATTCTGTTGTTCAATGAGAGGGTAGTAGTCATGAGAACACCCCCCCCCCCCTGTCCCAATCGTGCTGATGTGTCCTTCTTTTCTTGTACCCGGTGCAGCCTGAAATGTCTGAAGTGGCTGTTGGAGCACGGCAAGGCCGACCTGGCGGTGCACAACGACGACGGGCGTGCGCCGATACACGCGGCGGCCACCAGCGGTCACCTGCCCTGTCTCCAGTACCTCTTGGCTGGCGGTGGCGGTGGCCAGAAGAACAAACGCAAGTACCGCAGCGTGGACGGCGCCACCGCTCTGCACTTTGCCGCCGCTGCCGGCCAGATGGCGTGCGTTCGCTGGCTCGTCGAGCAGCAGCAGCAGAGCAAGGCGAACAAGCTGGACAGGGATGATGACGGCGGAACGCCAATGCACGATGCAGCTGAGCACAATCAGGTAGGCGAGGATGATGTACGTGATTGATGCCGCTATGCCTTATAGAAGAAGAAACTAGTAGAGGTTATGTGATTACATCATCAGTTGAGATGCATTGGTTGGAAAGTCGTGGCACAGCGATTCACTGACGACTCGCGCTGTATACACACGCCTGTAAGCGGTTCCGCTGACTCTCCCTGCATATGTAGCGCTCATTAATGGTTTCGCTGACTCACTGCCTGACATCATTTCGATAACCTCTATACCATATCAGAGCGGAGACTGCATGCACTCTTGGAAATGTACACTTTTGGATCTGCCTTTATAGCATTCTGTTCTGTTGGTCTTTGCATCCCTGCGTCAGGTGGAAGTGCTGCGGTACTTCATCGAATGCGGGTTTGACGTGGATGCACGAGATGACCACGGTCGCACGCCAATGCACATAGCCCAGGAGAACGGTCACGACGAGGCAGTGGATCTTATCCTGGAGCACAGTTTGCCCACATTACAGTACCCCGGTGCAATCAACCTGGCGGTAAGGGCACTGGTAATTACACTGTAATGTGAGGAAGCATCCGATTTACTGCTGTTCCTCCACAGTTGTGGACTCATGACTATCGACTTTTGACGGTAATGAAACCTAGCCTGCTATGCAAGGCATTATAGTTCACCCTAGTGACCTTAGCTCATCACCCTTTGTGTGGATCATGATGCTTGACTCTTTTGGTTAGTCTTCTTTTCCATTGTTTCTTACGTATTCCATACAACATGCTGCAGCGTCCTCAATCAGCAATCTACAAAGCCGAAGGCAGGCCGCGGCGACGCAAGTCTACCACTGCAACGGATGTCAATGGCTTAACCATCCTCCAGGAAAAGCTACCACAAGAACATGTAGGGGATATCACTGATAAGCATGTACATGATTGTATTTCCTTTTCCAACGTCAATTCATATTCAGTATGCAACTCCATCATCCTACCCAGGGTTTCTCACTCATTTCTAATCGGAGACTCTTTTGAAGACACACACATGCACAACTATACATACATATGCATACATATACGAGAGAGAAGTCCAATTGGAATCTGTCGTAACTTTTAAAATGAAGTTTCATGCTGAAATAATCATTAGACTACTCGTAATAAATCTGGTGACTGATCATTACCACACCGTCTATGTGGGAGGCGTGATGCTAAGTAGATGGTAAGTCCGGGTAGTCAAAGCTTGCATCAATATGTCCAAAACATGTATCCAGGAATACATAGGTGTAGGGTAGGGAAACACTGTGTGTACAAAAGATCCTGAAATACCCTTGTCACCCAGTGGTAATTGTGCTTGGTCCTCAGGTGTCCATGCCGGGAAGACCAGACACTGTGAAGTGGTAATTGTGTTTGTTTGGTTTCGTGTTTTTATGCTTCAGAACTATGCAGAAGAGGCTATGCCGCCAAAGGCGCTGATTGACACAGTCAATGAAGCTGAGCGACTGGCAGTGTTGGAAGGAGATGGTACCGGCAGTGGCCTGCTTAATCCGGGAGGCCTGCACTTCCGAAAGAATTCTGCTGCAGTTCTTGCAATGGAAAGTGGAGAAACTCCGAAAAAGAAAGACAAGGGCGGCAAGAAATCAAAAAGACGAGATAGTGGACTGTCACAGGTGGATGCCGGTGATGAGGTATTTGATCTCTCTGCTAGCTCTCCAGCAATGATGAGTGACGACGAGAACCGCAGAAGAAAACGTGGTATCTTCAAGTTCTTTGGAAACTTCAAGCGGAAACCCTCCTCTCAGAGTTTGGTGAACCTGTCTATGTTCGACCCAGCCGGTCCAAAGTCACCGTCGGCTGTATCCGAGGGTGGCAAGACGGGTCGGCGAAAGTTTGGCTTCAAACTTTCTGTTGGAAGGCGGCGGCAAAGCAGCACAGCGCTTCCCAGTAGTAGCAATGCCAGTGACAGTACAGATTGTGATTTGACAATCGGGGAGGAATCCACCGATGGTGGAGATGACATGGAGTCGCCCGTGCATGATGGGCGGCGTTTCTTGCGACGAACAGAGAGCGGGACAACAATCATTTCAACTGGAACTGAACGGGAGCAAGCCCTGTCCACTCTGCTGGAGCAGGAGGACAGGGAGGACATGGGCAACTACAAGCGTGAGTGGAAAGTGGACGAAGACCTGCCGGAGGAAACGGAAGAAGAGCGCGCCGACAGAAAACGACGCGAGTTCGAAAGTCTCATGTTTGGCAACTCTACTGAGCCTGAGCCTGGGTCTGTTCAGTCCGATGAAGGTCAAACTGTAAACCATTCTTCTGCCAAGCCAGAACAGTATAGTCACGCCGCAGCTCTGGAATCAGATGGTATTTTAGTTACGGAAAAAGTAACTGCTTCACCGGTGGAGGCTGTTCTGTCAGATTCTTGTGTAGCTGAAAAAGTCAGTCACGGTGGTAATGCAGAAGCCATAGGAGCTCCAATGTTCGACATCACTGAGAGTACTGTCAGCGGCACTGCAGCCACTCATCATTCAGACAGCACGCAGCCCGGTAAGCATTCGCTCAGTGATGACCCCGGCGTGGAGAGAATACTGGGCAGAAATGCACAAGACGGCACAGCTGACCCGGCTCAGCGCAACACTGATGAACATGCGCGTGGGACTGTGGATCATGATAGCAGGTCACTCCATGGTTCTGAATCAAACACAACCAGAGTACCAGCATGCAGTGCAGCACTTGATAGCAGCACTGCAAACAATGAAGCCAGTGGTCAAGGGCAGGATGCTGACAGTGGTGGAGATAGCATGTCCCTAAGCCGTGCTGAGACTTTATCCGAAGGAAATAGACACAATGACGAGGACTGCGCACTTGCCACCGTCCAGAACGAAGTCACCGATGACAAACCAAACTCGCCAGTAATGGCAAGTAGCGAAACAGAACAGGCAAAAACTCCACAGACCAATCCTGGCATGGACAATGCCGTTTCGGAAAGCTCTGCAAATACAACACTTGCCATGACTGCACCAACAGACAGTGCCCAAGACCTAGCAGTAAATCTAGTAACTGATTCCACAGGAGCCTCATGTAACAGAACTAACACAACCAGCAGTCAAGAAGAACCCGTTCCAGGTGCAGCACAGACAACTCCACAGCTTCCCAGCAAGAACGACAGGCTGCCATCCACTGCACCACTTGAAAGCCTTTCAGATGCCGGTGCCGGTGCTACCGGCACCACCCAGGATGAGAGTGATGAGGGTGGCCCGGTAAAACTCTCCAAGCAAGAGGAGGCGCAGTACGTGCTGCAAGCATTCAAGGCACGGAAGGAAGCGGAGCGCAAGGCAAAGCTGCAACAGGGCTCCACTGTGACAACTCCGAACGCAGCTGAGAGCACTTCGGTGCAGAACGTCGTCAAGCGCCAGTCACCTGGTGCCAGTGAGGAGACAGGGAAGCGACGCTCATCCATGTCAAAGCGTCTCAGCACTTACTTGAAACGTCGTCGCTCCGGCGGTAGTAGCAGCTCATCGTCGTTGCAATCCTTGGTCAATGAGAATGAGACCACAACACGCAACCGTACGGGCACAGTGGTTACGCGAGGCTCGGATGGTGTGTTTGACAATGATGATGATATGGACTCCGGGCATATGTCTGACAGTGATGGTACAACAGGAAATGGCGAGATGACCGCATTCATGGCTGTCAACCAGGAGCACCTCGAAGCCCTGGAAGAAGTGGAGAGTGCACAGCTGGATTTGGCACGGCGCGCAGCCCTATCTCTCACCAGCACTCCCATACTACCCAGCAAGGCTGTACCGGAGCTGCTGCAAGGCATTGGGCTGCTGTCCGGTCTGGAACTGTGGACACTTTCGGTATGTGTATATTTGCAATCTTAATTATCTCACTGCGTGTTGCCTAGTACACCTGCTGTGAATGGAGCACATGCAATTGAGCCGCGCTACTGCTATATCAGGGCTCTTCTTATTTCAGCAATTTGGTGATTGAACCGTTTACATTTATATTCATGCCAATCAGAAGAGAGCATTTGTGCCTTCTGTGACTAATGGCATGTCCTGGTTGCTTTCTAACCCGATGCCCTGCAGAAGAGCGATACACTGACGCCGTTGCCAGTCACAGACGACACAATCCTAACTGCAGGAGAGCTCTACATCTGTCTGCGGGTAAGACTCCCCGGGGTACCATGACAGGAAATGTACATCACCGATGCCATGTAGGCCGGCACTGTGTTTGTATGTGTACGGTGTGACCACTGGGTATGCTTCCGGTACACTTGGATTGCACCTTACTGCATCTGCATGAGCATTGCCAAGTTTGCTCACGATCATTGCTGACACTAGGCTCCTCATACGATGCTCAGATGCAACCTTTGGACGAGACAAAACTGATTCACAGAATATGGCAAGATACCATTTAGCATACTGATCATAATCTGGAACTTGAATAGAGGTCAAGCAGTTAGGATTCTTTGACTACTATCCCTTTTTCTTCATATTCTGTCGCTGTCATTTTTTGTGTGCACAGACCCGGGCTGCTGTGGATGTAAAGCATGTCATTCACTTGTGGATTGGCAAGGAAGTGGACACGGTTAGTGTGTATGACAACATTCTGGTCTCTCTGAGCAAATCTCAATTGGATCTTCATTTCGAAGGTCTCTGTACATGCATTGCAATGCAGGACGCAGTGTGCCATATTCAACTTAAAACACCGCACGTTTCTTTGTTTGCTGTAGGATCGATACCAGGCTCTGCTGGAGCATGCCCATGCCATGGAGAAATGCTTGCCTGGTCTTGTTATCATGCAGCGCGAGGTAAGTGCATGGAAAAGACATTTTGCCAATCTACGTCTCGGGGACTTTCCCATACTGAATTTAATGGTCCCTGTGAGATGTCTGCCTTCAGACGCACAAACACTCAAGACAACGGTTTGAGGTTGTGGGAGAATAAAATTGGACAGGTGTGAAGAAAGTAAGTAGGTGTGAAGAAGACGAGTAAAAGAACAGATGACAAGATCATCATAGTGTAACTGCTAAACTGGGAGGAATATTGCCAGGGTTTGTCAAGCCTCGGAACGGTTATTCAATTGCCGGGTACTGGTCATTCATCCTTGATTCTTGCATCTCTTTCCTATCCAACAGACGCAAGGCTACGAATCCGCCCTGTTTCTATCCTATTTCAAACATGGCCTCATGTAAGTAGTTCTTTGTGAGTGAGTGGTTGGTCGTTTTCTGCGAGTGAGTTAGCGGCTGTTCTCCACGAGTAAGTGAGTGGTTGTTTTTTCGGCCTGTCAGTTGTCTTCGTGAGTAAGTGAGTGAGGGGTGGCATAAAGCGGTACTACTGTTATCATAATGTTGAGCAGTGTTCTTTTAAAAGTTATAGCTCTGTTACAATCATTTTATGCACCTACCTGCCATAGGGATCCTGAGAAAGGGGAGACACCTTAGCTGCTGGCCAATCTGCACTCATTCATGAGGTTCAATGTGGTATATCTCTAGGGGAGAGCTGAGAAAGAGTCCTCATTTTCCAGGTGTCCTCGTTATTGGGTGTTTTACTGTGTTGCTTATGACTATAAATTTCTCTTGTTGGCCTGCTCTAAACTAGCTGCTTCATGCAAAACAACGCTGACGTCCGAAACCGCCTGTTTCACATTCAGGGTCTTCGCCATATGTCACTATCTGAAGTAAGCCGTTGCAGGTGGACGCACTACTCAACCAAATCTGCAGCAAAATATGTGCCTGTACCCGTATGCTGGGCTGCTTGGGTGGGCAGCAACACCCCCCCCCCCCCCCCCCCACCCCCCATCCATACACATGGTGCCAACGGGTTTAAAACACCGCACAGTTTTCGCATCTCACTATTTGATTTCAATTTACGAAGCCAGCCAGAAAGTGCCACGATTATGCACCGACTGACAAGGAGTAGTGAGACATTCAACATCCTGACACCTACCTAGCTACTTGTAGAAGACATCTCCAATGTGTGAACAGCCTTCCTAACTGACTAGTTTGTGCGTTTGATTGCTAGTGAATACGAAGACAAATTCCACCCCTGGGGTTAGGTACCTGAATCCAGTTCCCGGGGGACAAAGGTGACAAGGTATAGCGGACGCGAGCCTCGCTAAGCATGCCAAGTCTGTTGAAACAAAAGACCTCGTACACCTTCTGTCCGTACAGTCAGAGTTGATTATGGGCCACCTTGACCCTTTCTTTCCGCTGTATTGAAATATGTCCTCATCATTTAGGTGCAGTGCAACAGCAAATCTCTAAACAAGGGTGACACATTCCTACTGAAAGTGCGGGGCAAGATTCTGGTTTGGTTTGGCCCAAACAGCGAGGAGAAGCAACAGAAGAAGGTATGATAACAGGGTACACTCTCAACTGTGCCACTAACCATCAAACTCACTGTACATGTAATTCCCTACCCAAGTGGGCATCAAGAGAATGGGCTGGGCAGCTCATCATGTTTATAACATTTGACCCGAAGAGTGCCAGTGATGGGCTAGACATCTACTGTGAAGCAACTCCTGTGGGTAGTATCTTTGTTTGGAAATCATCCCGTGGCACTTGTCAGTACACCAAGCAGATGTTACCACCGGCAAATGGAAAGTGATCCCCTTCTACCTTAGCTTTAAGGGTAAGCCCTTACCCGTCACGTTTTCTACCATAGCTGCATGTCAACTTTCCATTTTTCGTTAGTTGGTAGCTCACGACATCTTTTTCTTCTTGGAAGGACAGTGGGCGTGTGGCTGGCAAAGTGGTTAGAGCACTGGCCTTCCAAACATGAGGTTGTGGGTTCAATTTCCGGCGCGAGTGAAGATTATTTTCCACCCCCAGCAGACCCATCTGGGATTGGGTGCCTGGCTTCGGTTGGGGAGGCAATGGCGGTGAGGGAGAGGAGATGAGCACCACCCTCGCTCTGTTGAGCTCTGTGAAACAGGATGTCTCTAACACCTCCTGCCTCTACGGTCAGAATTGACTGTGGGCTACCTTTAGCAAAAAGGCTTTACCTTTAGGACTCCATGGGGCTGTTAAGTGATGACGTCACAGTTCCTTCGATACGCATAGCAACGATCCCACTGGGGACAAACAAAAGTAGCGTCGTCTCCACCGAACCAGTTGTCAGTGGCAACATATAGGAATCGTGTACATTTCTTCGTTTCTTCTTTGCTGTTTTCAGTGAGTGTTTTGTTTTCTCTTTGTCCTTGATCTCGACGGCGTTGTCGTGCTCATTACCTTACTGAGACGTCTCTTGTGACTGTAGCCAGTGTCACGGAGGATTTTATTGGCGTGACGAGGTAGATCGCCGAGATCGAGCGTGAAAACGCTCTGCATTAGTAGCTCCTGTAGAATGTCTTCTGGGATGGCGTATCCATGGTCAACAAAGCCAAGGTGCAAGACAGCATAAGAGATCATGTAAACGATGTGAACTCCAAAAGGTAAGCTCCTGAACAAGTGGAAAGATATGTGTATTTACAAACTCTCTCTTCATCCATCGATTGCCGCTATGCATTGCATTTTGTCTTCACAGATAATCTGGACAAATAAATTATATTGTAACTGGAGAGTGCAATCGTGCTTGGGACCCATCCCAATGTCATCACATGGCTGTGGTGACTAGTGTATACCTGGGAGAATTTTTCCTCAACTGAGACGGAGTGTAGATGGATGGATTATGAGAAATGCGAAGATGTGGAGTAAGTTGTGTCGAAGAAATGTGTAATAAAATAAAATTTACTTTACACTCAAACATACACTGTACATGTAACATCATGATAATGATTCCATCTTCATTATCTCCGCAACAGGTACGCCATACGCACCGAATACATGGTGTGTGTGTGCACGTGCGCGCTTGCGTGCGCGCGTACATGCACACACTCTCATGCGTGGCCGAGTTGGCCGGATGAACAGACCACGCATTTGCACGAGGTGTCCGTCATGTCATTGGAGTGCTGTACTTTATGACTCAGGGGCGTAGGAGGGGTTTTGGAAGTGGTACGACCGAAGGTCGGTGCGGCGGAAGGCCGTGTTGGAGGGGGTCCGCCCCCCCCCCCCCGGGAAAATTTTGTAAAAAAGACACAAAATCCTGCGTTCTGGGAACTTCTGGCGCAGTGTGCAGTCGAGTCGAGTACAGTACTCAGTACGACTGCAGATGCATAACAGATCTACGAGTACGAGTCTAGAAAAAGGTCTGATGCGCATATGCAAATATCGATGGATCCTGATTTTTTATTATGGTTTTGCACGTTCCAGACGGACCACACTTTTCGAAAAGTGGTGCGGCCATGGTCGTACCAGTCGTAGCGGGTGCTACACCCCTGTGACTTTAATCCAAAATAGTATGTCGTGCCCCTGTCAAATGGAGTTTGTGTCTATGCTCAGCGGGTATCGGGCCATGACGCCACACTGCAGTCAGCGCTGGAATTAAAATAGCACTTCATGGATTATTTTAACTAACTTCCTTTGCGTTTACTTTGTTGAGCCCGTGGTTTCATTTCTGTGTTCTGTTATGACTGGCCTCTGGAAATAATCGGAGTGGATGTCATTTTTTGTCATATGTGTGTGCCTTGTGCAACAGGTTCAAGGCTAGATGCACTTCACATTCGGCGTGGGATCTCGGCGTCTCGGACCTGATAACGTCTTGGTTGGATGGGTGATCAAGGATGATACTACTCGGCACACCAATGTACATGTCAATGTAGTTTTTACTTTTTCAGAGCTGCACTATTTACGTCTTGATGCTTACTTCGGTGCTAGTGTCGTGTCCGTGTGTTGCTACAATGTCATTATCTGTATTGTATTCCGTCTGCTTATACATGTGTCTTTATGAAGTGTTTGCCGTGGCGGCGATGTGTCTTGTCGATCAATAGTGTTGTGAAACCTATCACTATTCATGCTTTGCTGGCTACTCGCTCGCTCCGCGCCGTGCACGCTACTAGGTCTTGTAGTATATAGCTCGATGCTTTGCATCGATCGCTTCTCTGTTGTTTGAGCTTGGTCCTAGAGTGAAGCTTTGGTCTTCTTGTGTGGTGAGGGTGAGGAATGGGTATCTGGACTCCTGGTATATTTCCGTAAAGAACCTGGAATTGTAGAATCCTGAGAGTATGTCTGGCCCACTCCCCGGTCATGACATTAGCGTGTTCCCCCCGGATTATTTCTATCATCCTGCGTGTTCTTGGGCTGAGCGAGCACATGCACGAGTGTGCAGCTATAACCCTGTGTATCTTTGGTTACACTTTGTTCTGCAATGCATGTACCTTGTAACAGTCTGTGCTTGCACTGCTTTGTGTGGCCTGCGTATTTCAGGACTATTCAGTGCATCAGACCCAGGTTGGTTTGGTTGCCGGATGATCTCTTGTTGCGTCGCTCTGTGTTTTGTATTAATCAATTTTTGGGCTTGAGAATTGAGCTGGTGTGTGGTTCCCAATATGAAAACATCATGCTGGTGCTCTGTGTTTCGATTATCGACTGTCCGAGCAGTCACGATTCATTACCAGAACGGTCAATACTGTAGTCTCTTCACGTGTTTGTGTTTTCGCCGGGGGAATTAGCGGTGACGTTGCACATAGAACGGCAGTGTTGCATCACTGGACGACCCTGCCTCTGCATCTGACTTCATTTCCCCAGGATCTGGTGCAGATACACCAGACAGTCACTTCCTGTAAACACGCAAACAGCAAAAGAAGAGATCCCGCAAATCAGGAAAAACCATTGCGGAAAATATCGAGTAGATCATACACCATTCAATAATCTGGAGTAATTACAGTGAGACAAACACTTCAAACAGTGCTCTCTCTCTCTCTCTCTCCATCCTTCCAAAATACCCTGTAACAATTCCCTGGAATTATTTTATTTTATATCCTCAGGACATCATTCTGAACAACTTCTTCCATGGGTCTTCAATCACCACGGAGGGCGAGAATACAGCTAAGGCATGCAGTCTACGGGAGGTGCGGGCTGTCATGGATATAGAGGCTGATATTGTGCCAGCGTGAGGGCAGAGACAGAAAGAAGACACTGATTTCTTGAACAACTCACCTACATATAATCGAATCCACAGGGAGCGCTCGTACTTTGATCCATCAGGAGGCGAAGAATCTTCAAAGCACTCTCAAACACGGAGTTTTACAGTGGGCAGCCAATTTCACAGCCATTATGAAGGCCCTCGACGACTACAGGAGATTTGTAGAGGAAATAACAAGGAGTAAAGAGCGACAACAATCGCTTGACGAAAAAGCAAAGAAAAACTGCTCTCTCTCCAGTCATTTAGATGCTGTTGCCCTTCACAACTGGTTCCATCCAGAGGACGCGACTTTTGTTTGTCCCCAGTGCTCTCCGTTGCTATGCGTATCGAAGGGGCCGTGACGTCACACTTAACAGCCCCGGAGTCTCTCATTTCAGCTCATGATTCTGTATGTTGATTTGCAGGCACTGGCAATGGCAGATTGGCTGGCTGAGAGGAAAGGTGGATTGCCTGTGAGAAAAGTTGGTAAGGCAAAGAGAACGTGCTGCCTGGCCTGTGAACTTTAGTAAGAGTATTGGGTTGCCGATCTAGCTTACAGAGTATCTGCTATATTTGCTGTGTTCAATGCTAATCATAGTAATAGCACAGAGCTGTTCACATGAAGTGCGCAAACAGAGAAAGTCATTTTTATTGCGGTTTGTTGGACGATTGTGCCAGCATGAAGCACGGAATGGTCGCACAGGATTGCACTCCCCCCCCCCCCTCCATGTAAGTTGTCTGTGTGAAGACATGAGATGTATATAAGGATCCCAACCTGTAAAGCCATGTTGTATTTGGTCATACATGGTCACAGTGATACTGAGATCAACACAAGCGGATAGTCGAGAGTTCTGTGTCATTCCAATACAGATGACAATGTTGACAATGATGCTAAGAAGACATTCTGGCAGGTGCTTGGCTCAAAGACAGCTGTCCGTCCAGCCATGCTCGGAAGAGGAGTGCATCGCGTCGACAGGAAGAAGCAGAAGCTCCGACTCTTCAAGTAAGTTCTGGTCTGAATTGGTTTCCGGTATGGGAAGCTGAATGGTTAGCATTCGAATTTGGTGTTTCAACCATCAGACCACGCCAGCCACGCATCCCTGGTTAGAGCACTGTCACAGTGTGGGTAGAGCATTGGCCTTGAATTCGAAACAGGAGGTTGTGGGCTCAATTCCCTGTTTGCGCGAAGACTATTTCCACCCCCAGGAAACCTATCTAAGATCTAAGATTGGATACCTGACTTCAGCCGGGGAGGTGAAGGTGACGAAGGAGAGAAGATGAGCACTGCCCTCGTTATGTTGAGCTCATTGAAACAGGAGGTCTCTAGCACCTCCTGCTCCTATGGTCGATTGACTTTGGGCTACCTTTAGTAGTAGTACTCTCTTTTGCCTTACCCTCAGAGCAAGTATACGCAGTCGGTCTGACTTGCCTACACTTGCGTCTGACTATGAGTTTTGTGTTCATGATAATGGAACTTGGTATCATTCTATTGTAAAATGTTGAAAATGCAAAACATGGTTCTGAAATTGCAGAGCGAGCAAGACTGGCTGAGTACTCTGCCATGCCAGTAGCGACCTAGGATTGCTGCATGTTCACATGCTTCTCTCTTGCTGCACTAAATACCTGCAGTGTCTTGGGTTCTGGTGAGAAAGGCAAGCTGAAGATAATGGAGGTCAAGACCAAGTCACTGCACTGGTCCATGCTACCGGCTGACAGCACTGCTGTCATGGAGACAGACAGCTGCATGTACGTGTGGAGCGGTGCGAAGGTGATGCCGCGCGACCTCCAGTACAACTTCCAGCGATGTGATGTAAGCGGTAGTCCCGTGTGTGAGAGAAAGCCAGTCTTTCATGCTGATCTTCCCCCCCCCCCCCCCCCCCCCCCGACAGTGCACTGACAATGGTCTTTGTAGACACAGGTTTGATGTGTGTCACTGTCACATGCATGCTGTGGTGTTAGACCGTGTTCCCTTTTATATTCCGAAGTTATTCACGGTCATAGCAAATTGCTAGGTGGGTAAGGATTTTGTTCTGTTGCCCCGTATTGAATATTGAACCATATTTGACATGTGAAAACTAGTATTGAAACGATCTCACCGGATACTCGTTAGCTCGCTCACCAGAAACTCGGCTCGTTTGTGCGGCCAGCTCGTTTGCACTAACGATCACCGTACACCGTACTCCGTACACATGGCAGTACATGTCGACCGGGGAGTCGTAAACTATTTTACGACTCCCTGGTGGATCGAGAATCCAGTCCCGCGCAAAGTGAAAATCACTCGCAGTTACAGTGACTGTATGCCTGCACGACACTTGAGTTGTTTCAGTTGTCGTTGCAGCTTTGGTGGACTCTACTGATGTCTTGTTCCGCATCTGCTGACCTGTCGCAGGATATGCTTCGGTCACCTCTCCATTCGAGTGAAAGTTACGCTCAGTCGTTTGGAAGTTTTCTCCCGCGATGCAGCGAAGACCAGGGCTACTTGCAATCTTTGCAAAACGGTCTATTCTTACAAAGGCTACTCGACGACGGCACTGAAAAGACATCTCGACACCAAACAGCAGTCCGAAGTGAAGCAGCAGCAACCCCAAATGCCGGCGGTGATAATTTGAACCAGCTGAAAAAATCGAACTTAGAAAAAACACATCAATGAAACTCGATAGCTCGCTCGATAGCTTGCTCGTTAGTGGAACTGATCGCTCGTTTGTTATAGATACGCTCGTTTCAACACTAGTGAAAACTACAGCCAGCACGTGTATGGTAACGTTTTGCAGCTGAACACATTATGCTAAAACTGATCAGGAATTTAAGCATAGTGGAGGTGTGGTGGGAATCCGGAGACACTCTGCCGTAATGTATGCTGTTCCGTGCGTGTTCCACTAGATTGTGGTACGCAGTCGTGGCATGTCATCGTGGCTGCCTGTTGTTCGAATCCGTCAGCACGGAGAGCCGTCGCACTTTAGGCAGTTCTTCCTTGGCTGGCCGTCAATCGATCTTGTCACGCTTGCCAAGTTCTGCGGTAAGCCCAGTCAGCGATCACCAATGCGAGAAGCAGATGAATGGATGCTGTCTGTATACTTGCATAATTATATGGTTTGTCCTCACTGGCAGAGGTAAAGACTCTACTAAAGAGTTTCCAATGGTAATGGCATAGTGCTACGATGTACACGGACACATGCTGATTATCCATCCCGGCTTGATAGTGTTCCAGCAGTGAGTGAGCATTTCAATAGAAACTCTCATTGCTAACCCTAAACACTCCACTTTCTGAAGTGTTCTATAAAGGTAAATGCAGCCCATAATCACTTCTGAATGGGCAGTTCTGACCAAACTGCTGTACGTATTAAAATAATGGCATCGCGACAACCAACCCGGAGGGTATTGGTAAGGCATCAATCCAACTGCTCTTTGAGCATGCGTATGCAGTACATAGTGCTCTACCTACCTGTACACTGCTCTCTCACTTCAACCCTTGAAGCTCATCACTGCTAGTTGGTCTTATGACGTTACCAGTTGGTTGTTTAGACGGATGCCTGTTCTGCGCTATCCTAAACCTCTACTATGATCTTCTTCTTCTATCCATCTTCAGGTACACTGTCCCAGCTACCCAAACCTGAATACATGATTGACAGAGCTAACGGCCATTCTAAGGTTTGTTTTGACTCGAGGCTCAATTGTTCTTACACCTTGGTTATGAGAACAACTAGGTGCAGCCGTTAGCAACGAAACCTGGCTGCCGCCGGCACTCTTACCCTGCACCCCATCCAACCAAGGGCACTCTTACCCTGCACCCCATCCAACCAAGGGCACTCTTACCCTGCACCCCATCCAACCAAGGGCACTCTTACCCTGCACCCCATCCAACCAAGGGCACTCTTACCCTGCACCCCATCCAACCAAGGGCACTCTTACCCTGCACCCCATCCAACCAAGGGCACTCTTACCCTGCACCCCATCCAACCAAGGGCACTCTTACCCTGCACCCCATCCAACCAAGGGCACTCTTACCCTGCACCCCATCCAACCAAGCTATCTAATATATCTGTGTGTATTTGTATCTTTGTCAGGTGTACACGACGCACAGTGCACGGCCCAAAGCCGTCCAGCTGCGTCAACAGGGCCAGTTCTCCTCCACCGAGTCTTATGTGGTGGAGTACCGGTATCGCCACGGCAGCGGCAGTGGCGGCGGTGGCGGTACCAACACCATCCTGTACGCGTGGCACGGCCGTGACTGCTCTGCGCAACGCTCCGGCCAGACCATGGCAGTGCAGGCACAGATGGCGAGGGCACTGGAGCTGCCGCCTGTTCAGGTAGGTGTGCACGGCTGCCTGATGCCTCATGATGCACACATTGACTGGTGAATATCATTGATTGGTGCATATCATTGGCAAACGTGACTGGTGCAACTAAAATTTAAGTCACCACGATGCACAGTATTCAACAGAGGCTATCCTGTATGTTGCCTTCAACTGCAAATCCTCAACTGTGCGCTGTTCATTTTGGAACTTATAGCCGGGTGTCATTCTCCTCCTTGTCTCTTTTTGTGTTATAGACACGACTATCTCAGGGCCATGAAAGCGATCACTTCCTGAGTGTGTTCAGAGGCCAGCTTGTCATCTATCTGGTACGTTGCTGGGATCACTCTTCTATATCATCACATTGTGTGGTTGTTCACCTCTGCAACCTGTAAATAATATATTCCATTTTTCTTGTCCAGGTTGATATGTAGCCACGAGGTAACCCCTGCTCCAATGTGCAGCTCAGCGTGGCATTGCTGTCGTAGGCGAGGCTTTAGAATGTGGTTTTGCTTCTTTGTGCTTTGTTCAGGGAACACAAAAATCGTCGCAACAGGGCAAAGAGCCAAGGCTGTTCTGTGTGAGTGGAAAGTCACAACTCAGGACATCAAGTACACAGGTAGGAGAAGTCTTCTGATCGATATAGAACAGTTGCATGTTAAGGGAGGGAAGGCGTGTAACGTTAACAAGTGGTCGGGTGTTGCTAAAATAAGCTAGGCTGTGGAATGAAATGCAAAATTAAAAACCAGATTAATGACGAATTCTCTGCCCTCTCAATAGGTTCTGTTACTCACGGCCGAACTCAGTTTGACCAAATACATTACATAACTGTAAAACATGGTCACCGTGTTCTCCCGGAATAGTATTTTCTTCCCGTGTAGCATCCTCTCCATGTTTTGCCCTCAGCATGTCACAATGCTGTCACTCAATCTCTGTAGTTCTCTTTGGGATTCCTCAGCTGAAGCACATCGTACCGTTCTCTCGCTTACCAACTGCTTCGTTCCACTCCACTGATTTCCTGTCCAGGTGAAGTGTCATTACTCTTCGCTCACTAGCCGAAGTGCATTCTGTCTTGTCACGCCGGAAGTGTCATATGCCTGGGCCGGAAAGGTAAGAGACTTTACAAGCAAGACCATCTTACTCACTGTAAAAGTTAGTACTATACGTAGTGCAGGCCTGTTGCACCGACTTTGGAGGTGGGGTGGCCGTGGGGTCCTCCCCGGGCAAAATTTTCAAAAATTGAAGCCAATTGCAAGCATTTCCGGGCATTTGGTGCCATTTCAGTGTAACTACAATGAAAGACTTTTTGATTCTGCAACAAACCAAGAAGACGCTACAATTGGGGACATGGGTTCTTCATTATCTTCCCACGGGAAAAAACTCCAAAAATTGAAGCCAATTTGCAAGCATTTCCAGGCATTTGGTGCCATTTCAGTGTGTTGTGTGCAATGAAAGACTGTTTTGATTCTGCAATAAACCACGATCGGGGACAAGGATTCTTCATTATTTGCCACGTTTGGGCTGAGCTGCGATCATGGAGTCGAGTGTGCTCCAAAAAAACAAAAACAAAAAAAACAAAAAACGCCGAAAAAGTGAGGCGGCCTCAGCCGCCCCAGCTGTGACGGCCTTGTAGTGTGTGAGCATCTTCCTACCATTGTCATAGATTTGTAGGAGCAGTTTGACCTTAAAAAGAGTGTGCTCTCTGTGGCATGCTGTCCAAACAGGGATCGACTCAGGTGGAGCGCCGTGCAGCGGCAGCAGCAGCAAGGCTTCTCAGCTCGCCATCGTCAACATCAATGTATGTTCCATGTGTGTGTGTGTGTGTGTGTGTGTGTGTGTGTGTGTGTGTGTGTGTGTGTGTGTGTGTGTGTGTGTGTTTGTATGTGTGTGCGTGCGTGCATGCATGTGTTTGATTGTATAATTGTGTGTGCATTCTCGTATGTGCGTACACGCATGTCACTAGGCCTAAACCTAGCTTATAGAGAGCTGTGACGTGCCTTCTGTGACGTGCCGTGTGTATTTTCTCTCTACAAGGTTGTTTCTCTGCAAGATTGTAAATTAAACGTGCATTGCAAATCTCAACCCGAATCATGTATCCCTGTCTCTTTGTTCATGTTGCATTTAATGCCTCTGTTGTTTCAATCCAGATCTGTGGTGCGCTGTGTTGAGGGTGATGAGCCAGAGGCATTCTGGCAGCTACTGGGCAGTGGCACTGGTAGGGTGAAGTATGACACGGAGCTGCTGAGTCCAGAGATAGCCGGTCAGCAGCCCCGACTCTTCCACTGCAGTCTGCTTGGCTGGCGCCTGGTGACAGAGGAGATCTTCCACTTCACGCAGCTGTCGCTGACCAGGGAAGACGTTCTGCTTCTGGACACCGGTAACCAGGTAGGGGCCTAGCTAGCTGTGTGATGATGACTGTCGCTGTGCCATGCCTTGCAAGGGTGTGGGGACTGTGTGCTAGTGCTAGCATTAGAGCCATACCTTGCGGTGGGGGTAGTGGAATGTGAGAAATGGGCAAACAGCCAAGGGTCTAGCCAAAACTGGCCTCTCTTCAAAGATGCTGTCATGTTCGAGGTTCTAGTGTGCAAATTTGTACCTTGGCATCGTCACTGGTAATACCGTAAAGTACCGTTGATCTGCCCCCTCTCTAATTCCCGCCCCCTGTCGATTTTCTACCTGTGAAGCGATTTCGGCGTATACAACGAAATACGATGTCGAATCGACGCTTGCACTGCTGTACACAATATGTGCCAATCCAGGATGAACATGTGCACAATTTAGCACATCAAGTCTGATCCTCCAAATTGTTGTACATCGTACTGCACTTGACAGCCTTGATCTAATTCCCGCCCCCTGCTGAAAAACCAGCTGGGAAGCGACATGGCGTGGGGGGGGGGGGGGCGGATCAACGGTACTTTACGGTACTAATAGCCGGATCAACGGTACTTTACGGTACTAATAGCCTCTCAGTGGTTGCGTATGAGGAGTAGTATGCTATGAGTGACCATTGAGCGCTTTGTTCATTGTAAGCTACTGTGCTCCCTCCCTGATCTGTGCGCCATGCCATGGTGTGTTGTTTGATGATACGGTCTGCAGGTTTTCATGTGGATCGGAGAGGCAGCACTACAGAATGAAAGCCAGGGCGCAAACAAGATGGCACTGGTAAGACAGGATATACGGGAGGAAGCAGGAGGGGGGGGGGGGGGCTCCTTTTGACACGTTATGGCCAATACCAAGAGTACATAACCCCCCAGAGTGTGCAACGCCTGATCCAGCTCTGCATAGGGTCTTGGTCGAGCGTAATCGGATCTTTGCGTCATAATACCGTACACATCTGAGGGGAACCCGGGGAGTCACGGGTACTCTTGGATCAAAAACAATGGTGCCCTGCCTCGAGACCGGTCTTGCGCTGGTGTGGAGTGTACGCATGGCATCAGAAGATCCGATTCCGCTCGACCAAGACCCTATGCAGAGCTGGATCAGGTGTTGCACACTCTGGGGGGTTATGTACTCTTGCCAATACTGGTATATGAAATTGATACCCGATAATATGCGATCCAGCTTATATAGCATCAAGAGTACATAACCCCCCCCCCCCCCAGAGTGTGCAACTCCCACATACCCTGCTGTCCCGACAGAATTTCAAGTTGACGTCATTATTTATGACGCAATGCTCCTTGCACCAGTGATTTACAACATGTGTACGGGTGTCAACGCATCACACGTTTTTCTTTGCAATACTTTGTACAGGATCGATCGGCTTCGGTCAACCACAGGTTCCGGATTCGTCTGATAATCCGTGTACAGTGCGCATTGCATCATCAAAATGACGTCAACTTGAAATTCTGTCGGGACAGCACCCATAGTGGAGTTGCACACTTGGGGGGTTATATACTCTTGATAGCATAGAGGGAAAAAAGAGACAAAGTGAAGAAAAAAATGAGCTCAGGTTCCTCCGGGGTTCGAACCCGGGACCCTTTGCGTGTAAAGCAAATGTGATAACCACTACACCAAGGAACCATCGCTGACATGTCTGGCCTTGGAAATGAGAGCTGAAGGAGAGGTGCGGATGGTGGCATGCGAATGTGATTACTGCAAATCAACAAGTTGTGGCCGGTGAGAAACTTTTGACCGATCTCGAAATGAAACTTTTGACCATCATTAAACTTTGGCCGATTAGGGTTTTCGAAAAAGAAATTGATCAATAGTTGTTGCTCTCACATGCAGCGGCCATGATTATATCATGCATCATTTGCCTCTATGACAAACTTTGGCCTGCGCTTTACTTTGGCCGGTTGGTACCAAGCGGCAAAACCAGCGAAATTAAATCCCCAGCGAAAATTAGGTGATTTACAGTATGCTTCAGTGCACGGCATACTGCGGCCCTCATTCATTATCATTAGCACTAAAAAAAGCCACCTCTCTCATGCCAGCATGCTCATTTTTTTGCAAGATTTGTTCCAGCCTTGGAAGTTGGAACGATTTGCAGATTCTGAGCGCACACGCGTCATTGCTCATTCTGAAAGCTAGCTTCAACCCGTAGGGAAAGTGTGTTTCTTCATTTCCCGCAGAGCACGGACAAAGTTGTATCACGTAATCTGTACTGAGAGCAGTATGATCGGACGGAGATAACAAACATGTGCATACCCTTGGTTACGGAATCCTGTCTCTGTGTGAATCCTGTCTCCGTGTGAATCACATGCCATGTGAATTTTGTATGAACTACATGTACAAAAGAAAACGGGATCATCATTCCTGCAAAGTGACGAAAAAAAATGAGCTCAGGTTCCTCCGGGTTTCGAACCCGGGACCCTTTGCGTGTAAAGCAAATGTGATAACCACTACACCAAGGAACCATCGCTGACGTGAACTTGGAGGATGGAGGTCAAGAGGAATGTGATTGTGAAGCTCCGAGTTAGAAATTGGTGAGGAAAACTTTGAATGGAGCTTGTCATAACCAAACGTCTGCCAACATGCATTGGTCCCTAAGCTCTACTGCAATGAAACCGACCCTGCCAGGTCTCTGCTGACTATAGTTGCCAAGTCATGGAACTGGGGTTTGTCTGTACATCTGTATGGAGTTAGGGACGGTGTGTACTGCACTCCGGGATTCATGATCAGCCAACCCGGTCTGGTCCATACATGTAGTTACGGTTTGAAAGTTCTCATGAAGAGTACGGAAGTGCCCAGAGTACAGACTAATGTGCACATCCCATTTCAAGGTACCGGTAGAGGTATGTAGTACGTTGACACCTCTGTCTGTGTGCCGTGTGTGGTGCGCAAAATGAAAAAGACCAAAAAGTAGGGATTCACTGGCCAGAAAACACGGCTGTCAAGAAGCGGCAACTTAGAAAGATGGCGTCGGTTCGAGATGGCATGGTAACCGCGCACGTGCCGTGATCCGTGACTTGCTCATGTATGCACGCAAATGCAAGTCACAAACTCACAAAGATCGTCTTTGCATTTGGAGAAAATATCTCCGACTCACTTTGGAGGTTGGCGAGGTTTGCCTAATCTTTACTTGATTGCGATGCCGATATGTCCTCTCAATAATTGGAACAAAGAGAGCTGATGATCGCTTCATTGCTGAGCAGAAGTAACAATCAACTCTCCTCATGTCCTCAGTGCCAAAGGCAGACGACTGCAATTCCACAACGCTCATATCACGACATAGCCAGCAATCGCATGTCACCATGTACATTCAAAATCAACATAATTTTGCGAATCGACCTTTTTTTCAGGATCACTTTTCAACGAGGACGAAGCAAAGTCGGCCGAACGAAGCCTAGAGGAAGAAGATCACCCTCTCCACTTCACCATCACGATACTGACATAGATACGAGATGAAACAACTAAAACATCCACAAGAAAACTGTACGGCCATCGTCGCGCTGACTTTGGTCTGACTTTGGTCTGACTTTGGTCTGAGAATTTCTATCACGATCAAAAATGTACGAGGAGCACTCAAAAATAAGCCACAGACGTACCTTTATCGCTCTCTACTCCTTCTTCAAGGCACAAAAGTCGACTCTCCACTTTCAAACCAGGAACCAGACATACCAGTGGTCCTTTTCAGCTGCTCCACGAGCGCAGGAAATGTTCACCAAGGGGCGCAGAGCAGCATCCATTCCAGAAAAAGAGCTAAAATACGAGTGAGACTGCATGACTGAGTACATGAGTACATGTATGAGTACATGCAGAAAATAGTCAATTTCAGCGTTTCTGCTCCAAACAGCAACTAGCTTCGACTAGAAACAAAGATTACACCAAAGGATCAAACAACAACCATTTTCTGCAGTTTTTTTGCAGATGGCTTCCTTGTGCTTGGCCCAGCACACCAAAATTCACACCTCGGAGGAGTACAAAAATTGCAACTCTCAGATGTCCTCGATTGCTGGCCATGTGATGGAAACAATAATCGTGTACTGGTACACACTTGGACCATTTGGTCATCCCTATTCTAGCCGCTAGTCCGTCCAGCAAGCAGATATTGACTATTACGATAAGGACAACTGCGTGAACGAGGGCTCGCCCAGCAAATACAATTCAAGTCGTGACTCCAGTCAAGAGTTAGGGTCTTTACTCGAGAACTTCACAAAATACAGGCCAAGGCACCCCACAAAACTGATAGATGTCACGAACGAAAGACAAATAGGCTAGACAAAGTGTCCCAAGTGATTGAAAACAGCAGATCTACCAAATAAGACGGCTACATGTGCCTAAACAACGATTCCCATACAGTAGAGAGTAGTATCAGGCAGAATGAAAGCCTTGGAAGTGCACAAATACAGCCACGACCGCCACAAAAATTGGACGACCGCCACAAAAAAATTCTCATTGCTCTACCTCCTTGAAGGGTGAAAGTTACCAGTTATCCTATAGCGATGTCAGTTTATGCCTGTTGGAACCCCCCACAGCCCACACGAAATACCTTTCAAATAATTCCAGGATGCAATTGCAGCTCCAGACAGGAGGAAGAAGAACACCGTGAAAAATAACGGCAACGATGCCCAAACTCTCGGGAAACGGCTGAAGTCTTCCTGAAGATGTTAACATTGAATAGCCATCGATTACCAGCGTGGTTTGGTGACTTTAGAACTGTTTTGAGACTTAGAACGAAGCGATATCTCAAATTTGATGGAATTGTTACCTGTCAAATGCGTGGGCGAGCAGCCCAGCTGACTGGTTATGCATGAGCATGCATTGATTTTTCATGGTTCACGTGCAGAAAACTAAGTTGCCGCGATCCAAGTGCAGCTAACAGCCGTGAAAAAGCCATTTCATAGCTGTGTGGTGTAGACCAGGCGGAATAGTGGAAGCTGTTGAATGGTGCAATCGCAGCACAAGTTGCTATGGCTTCTGCCGTAGCATCGCTATCATCGCCCCCGGCGATGGGCGTCAAAAGGTCAAAAAGGTGTGTGGGTGGTATGCGTGTGTGTGGGGGGGGGGGGGGGGAGGGGGTTGATGGACATCTGAAAATATGTACACACCAAGCATGTCCTCTCTTGGTCACCACTCTCCCTATTACCTATATTGTAATTACCATTCATGTATTGCGCTTCAGATTTTCTTCCGTTTTTGTCTCTTGGTGCGTTACCGGCATGGCGATACTGAGACCTAATGGTCAGTGGAGTGCCTGTAGCCTCACCAGCACTGCTACTATCTGTGACTGTGGCGACCACCATTCAATGTCTCGTCCTCCCCTAACCGTACCCCAACTCTCTCTCTCTCTCTCTCTCTCTCTCTCAGCTCTCTTTTTATCTCTCTTTTCTTACTCTTTTTTCTTTGTCAGCTTTCCTGGTGGTTATGTGCTTTTTCAAGTAAATAAAAAAAAATAAAAAATAAAAATAAAAAAAATCGCCACAGCGCCGGCATCCAGAAATGCCAGCTTCAAATATAACTCAGTGAGAGCTGCACGGTGCAAGGAAGTTAGCCTTCGTGAATCCATTTGATGCCTGGGAAGTTGCCGCATAAAAGGCAAAAAGAGGAACTTGAAACTACCATGACAAAACTCCAAACTGTCCGAAGCAGGCCATGACAAGCAGGCCATGACAAGCAGGCCATGACAAGCAGGCAAAAGAAGAAAAAAATGAGCTCAGGTTCCTCCGGGTTTCGAACCCGGGACCCTTTGCGTGTAAAGCAAATGTGATAACCACTACACCAAGGAACCATCGCTGGGAAGCTGAGGGCTGGAGGAATGGGATAGATGCGAACCAGAGAACATGAAACCAAGAATATGCAGATCGGTTGGCGTCACGGCGAAATTCCTGGATGCAATGCTCCTCGCATGAGTAATTCATGCTGTTTGTACAGGGTCTCAGCACATCACACGTTTTTGCTTACACTAGTTGGTACAGGATCAACTGGGGATGTGTCTATACACCGCACATTGCATCGTAAACATTATAAAAAATGATGTCAACTTGACGTGCAATCGGGGCGGTGCTGCACGCTCTTGGGGGTCGCGTGCTCCTGAGTGGGTGCGTGGCGACCAAAGAAAGAAAAAGACGAAAAAATATAAGCTCAGGTTCCTCCGGGGTTCGAACCCGGGACCCTTTGCGTGTAAAGCAAATGTGATAACCACTACACCAAGGAACCATCGCTGAACAGCAGAGAAGAGATCAAGCAGATTGTACTGATTACCACTACTGCCACAGCTCTCACAATTGTACTTCCCAGTCCCCCCCCCCTCCCCCCTCCCCCCCCTCCCCCCTCCCCCCCCTCCCCCCTCCCTCCCCCTCCCCCCCCCCCCCCGCACCCACACCACTGTAGTGGATCCACATTCCACTGTTTCTCATTGTATCCTTTTATATGACATGTATGCATTCATCCGGCCGCGCTGTCCGGCATGCCACTGAGTTGTACTGTACGCACTTTAGCTATACCTGCCTGCCTGGCTTTTCCTTTCATCTCTATGTCGTTCTCTGTGTTTCCACACACACACCAAAAGACCAACATTGTACAGTGTAGACCAGGATTGACTTCTCCTCAGACTTACATGTCGACTGAGTAGGAGGTCGGCTAAAGAGGTACATGTACATGCAATGCTCAAATCTGTAGACAGCAACTGTTTCGCTCTGTTAGAGCTCCTCAGCACAGCAATGCACACTTCTTTACTGCAGGACTACCTTGCCAGTGATCAGACAGGACGCAAGCCGGAAACGACGGCCATTCACGTTGTGCTGCAGCGCTATGAGCCCATCACGTTCACCAGCCATTTCCTGCACTGGGATGCCGGCCTCTGGGATCAGGTAAGCCTCTGGTTAGACTGGGGGAGACTGCAGGCCCGGCGGAACCGGTCCGGTTGGTCAGGCCATGGCTGGACCAACATGTTAGCCACCAACGTGTGTTTACTGCTGAGGAAGTCATGTGTATACCCTCCACATCATTCACAAAGTATAAACGACTCAGTAGGGTATGTCCGGATCAATCAAAAACTGCTCCCGCCCGTCCTGGACTGGCATGATTGTTCTGCTTATGCTATGCTTGGTAGACCAACTGGCACTGCTATACGTCAAGGGGAGCACCTGTACTTGTACTTGGACGTGTACTTGCAGATAGCCATGTACCATGTGCACTTGTTCAGTGCATGCACCCGGTGGTTTGCGTTGAGACCTACATAGCAAGACTACTTCTAAGTTGTTGATAAGCCATTCGTGTTGCTAACTTACTGGATAACTATGTGGAACGATACGCTGTGCTGTCCAGGAACAATCATCACTGGAGGCCGTGGAGAAGGAAGTCACCACCAAGAGAGCCAGTATGCGCAGGGCGTCCACTTTGGTACGTGATAACTTATTAAAAGTCACAGATATAATATAGACGTGTGTGTGTGGGGGGGGGGGGGGAGTAGTGACACCGTGTTCACAGTCCAAATGCCACTCTTTTTTTTAAATGTGCATGATAGCCATACTGCCGCGGTGGCTCGCTGATTACTTATCTCCAGTGTTGTATTCTGGAACGCATTGGAATTGAATAAGAGGTTTGAAAAAATTCAAAGCAGTACATGTTTGGAGGTACAACAGCTGGATAGCCGAATCTCTGAGATCTGTGTATACATCAGAAGCTGTGCATGTTCCCCTCGGAAACATGTTCATCATGCATACAGACAAGATACACTGAGTGGAACAGTGCTTTATGTTCATTGTGCATACAGAGTCAGAGCTCATCGGGAAGTGGGCTTTCCAGTTCACATCTACAAGTCGCGTCCGACCTGCCTGAGATTGCATCCGGTGTGGAACTGCTACTGGACGATCCGCCGGTGAGAGGTTCCAGAGGAGCGGAGCCACAGACGCATACACATGAATTACCTACAGATCATGCCCAGCAAGTAGGAATTCAGCAGCACCATGGTGAAAGTGCCCACAGCGATCCAATGGGCATGGCTGCACCTGCTACCTCCGCGCAGCCCACCCATCCTGACAACGTGACACTTTCCACTCCGAACACCACTGAGGTACAGGAAGAACCCAGTCTGTCCACAGCCGCCGTAGCCAATGACTACAAGCCTGACGGTGCTGACAAGGACCAAACAATGGGTCAGCAGCAACTCGCAACTGCAAGCTCTGAGAGTGACAATGTGAGAGAAAGCGAATCAGTAGAAGCAGAGCAGGCTGAACAACGCAATCACATTACAGAGCCAACAACAGCAACGGCACACACTGCTCACCCTGGTCAAGATGACAGCGAGGAGCAAAGTAAAGAAGCAGAAGAACTTCAAGATGACACTGAAATTGTAGATGAGATGGTGGCTGATGCGGGTGAAGTAGATGATGTGGATGGGAAGGAATGTACTGTTGACGAACTAGATGGCAACAGCGTAAAAGCAGATGAACACCCAGCAACCACTGCAGAAGATCCGAGTACTGAGGACGAACCAGAACAATTGCCATGTGGGTCTTCCAGTGATTCATCTTCGATCCCTCCTGCAGAACAGCTGTCTCCATCGCCTGGATGTGAAGAGGAGCAGGAAGTGAGCAGTCCTGCAGCCACTGCCGACAGCTATGGCCTTGATAATAAACAGCCGGAAACTCACGATCTCATCAACAATGTTCCTAGTGCACCTAATGCGGGCCAAGCTGGCATGTCTGCACCGTCCCCAGATGTGTCACCTGCAGCACAAGCAATCCAATCTACTGCTACCGATGTAGATGAGACCTGCACCCAGGCATCACAGAGTGGAGTAGAAGCTGGCGTCTGTGACAATGATATTGGCACCGTTGCAACTCCGGGTCACAGTTTAGAAGGACACCGACCCGAGGAACTAAGTCTCCAGGCTGAGGTGTCCTGCCCAGTGCCAGTTCCAGAGGCCGTTCCCGATCCCGTTATGATCAGTACCCCGGCATCGACAGATTCTACATCACCAACACCGCAGTCGCCTATTTCACCCGGTGATCTTGAAGCCAGTCTTAGCAGCATCAGCCTCTCGGCATCAAACCTACTGTCCGGCTCATCTGCTGCCAATCTCTTGTTCAACTGTAAGTGAGACGTAGAGTAGTACTTGACGTACATGCACAACGCACACGTGTTCCCCAATCTGATCAGTCTGAACTAGTGCATTTGCTATTTACAGTGGTCTTGGCCAGCCAAACATGGATCCGCACCATGGATGACCAACATTGCTGCAGACCCCTCGTACGTGGGAACATGCTTCTAACATATTATTCTACCTGCTACCAGATGCCTTGAAAATGTCGCCAAGGAGAGTGATTCGTGTTGATACTCCTGCTGCAAAACCTTTTTTTTCTAAATATTTTCTGACACCTCTGCACTCTGTAGCATCGTTTGATCTTGACAACCTGGACACGATTCCTGAAGTGAGGAGCCGACCAGCTACGCTTGAGCGCAAGGCCAGTGGCAGCAGTCCCAAAAAGGAAGCACTTGTGCCACGTCCAAAGTCCACCGCATCGCCATCGGAAAAGGTGAGTGCCTTGCGGGATAGTATCGGGATGCCATTGCAGTATGGGTGAGATGTGTAAGACTTTCTACAAGGAAAATTGTAACAATACTTCCATACCGAGTCAGTGATGAAATAATTACAAGATGCATTACACGAGAAGAAGCCGGCAATTAAAGAGGTGTCCACTGGTAAAAGCGAGTGGTCTTAGGAATACTTCAGCTTAGCTAAGGAATGAGCATTTGACTCGGTGTGCTCATCTCATTCTCGTATGACAGTGTAAACTGATCTCTAATATGATTTTGCTCTACCTTTGCTGCATCACCGCGTAGAACAGTAACACATAGTGATATATTCACAGTAAAAGCCTCTTGATCTGTGAACACATTTGACCTATGTTGGCCGGCTGCTGGCTGCTGTTGCTGCTGTCACCATCACTGCTTCTTCTGCCACTGCCTCTGCTGCAGTCTGTGATAACCGTCCTCAGCACTGACAAGACAGCACATCAGGTGGAGGTGACTGAGAAGTCCAATGCACAGCACTTGGTCTACAAAATGGTGGACAAAGCCCAGGTCAAGCTGACCCTGACCCTGTCCATTGTGGAGTCGCTGGCAGACTTGAAGCTAGGTACAGTCCATGCACTGATAACAGAGACCCAGCTAGAACACTGCAAATATATGAACTGTGTAGAATGCCACAGGTTTGAGTGCCAGTGTGGATACTAGAGAAGGTATGTCGGGATTGCCTTGAGTATCACTGTACATGTACGCGGGCAATAGGCAAAGCTTGCCTGTGGCTGTGGCTTCGCAAGGCAGCTCAGTAGACATAAATCCAAGGAGGCACCAATCATCATCTATGAAAATGAATATACGATTCTCTATTATCCCAGGATGACTTGTGTAGTGTCTACTACATCTAGGCTTGCATTACTGAAGTAACCCTCGGCTAGACCAGATCCATTCATGAGTGTACGGCACGGAGAGCCGTTTAACAATTGGTAGTAAATCAACGCATGCCACGCTGACATACAGCCCCACATATACATATGTGTACTTCGAAGTATCGCCTAGAGAGTGGCTTACAAGAAAGGAAAGAGGAACGGAGGTTGTGCAATAGTATGGCCTACTCATCAGAAACTCATTGCGGTTTCTACGCAATCATTGGTAAGGTTCTGTGACACCAGCCTCATTGGTTGGCAAGTTCAAGAGTCCCCAAAACACATCCGGGAACCAGTATAGCAGATGCAATGAGAGTGCACCGGCTTACAACTCTTATTCGAAGTACTACGGTTCTTCACTTGGCCTGCAGGCAGATGCTGTATTCACCTGAACGCTGCAAGATAGAAATGGTTGGTAAGCAGTGTCCCCCACACCTGGCCTGTTGAACTACAAATACATGTACTTGTGATCTGACTGTGCACTCATCAGTGTAATGTGCCTGGCTCTGCTACTGCACAGAGCGTCGACTGGAGGACCATGAGAGGGTCCTTGACGTCATGGGACGATGGCCGCTCAAGCACAGCAACACTCTTCAACTTCGCAACGCACCATCGAAATATGCTCTGTTTGAAAAGCCACAGGTCAGTGCAGTTTCCGGAAAATATCTTCTCAGTAAAGGATTAACTTAGAACCTTCCAAGCTGGAAGGTTGTTGGAGTGCGCACCCAAGATGTGCTGGAGCTGATGGCTAGTTAGTTGTAGAACGTCAGTACTGTTGGTCAGTTTTGTGCAATGTTATTGCTTGAGCTGATTGTCAAGTAACTCGTGGTGTTAGTGGGCATTATAGCGCAACTTGTAGTTCCTTGGTCCTTTTTCTTTGCTATAAAAGATCAGCACAAGAACCATGCAACGATCAGTAATTTTGTGTGTATACGCGAGTGCTTGTTGTAAGAAAAATGCAAGCTCGGTTAGTATTAAATACTAACCGAGCTTGCATTTTTCTTACAACCAAATTTTGGTTAAACTTGTAATTCTCATTCTTGGACTGCAGCTGCCAAGACCAGTACTGCTTGCAGCGTGTGATCGCGGCACAGTGCCGGATGTTTCTGGCAATCTCTGGGTGAAGATGTCATCACAGATGCCCTGGCAGCAACATGTGCTCTCCCTCCGCTCCACCGGAATAGCATTCACCACTATTGCAGAGGTAAGCCTGTAAGCCGAGTGGTGGCATTGGTTCGAACGTCAGGAGTGGGGAATTGTCACACCGTAGACGACCCCCTCCCCACACACACACCAGCTGTAAAATTGACGTTGATGCAATTGTCCTTCCGTTACGTGGCGCCTAGACTGGACAGCCCGGCATACATGATGGGCACATGTGTGTGTGTGTGTGTGTGTGTGTGTGTGTGTGTGTGTGTGTTTGTGTGTGTATGTACGTGTGTGTGTATGTGTGTGTGTGTGTGTGTGTACATGTACATGTGTGTGTGTGTGTGTGTGTGTGTGTGTGTGTGTGTGTGTGTGTGTGTGTGTGTGTGTGTGTGTACATGTGCATGTGCATGTGCATATGTGTGCATGCGTGCGCCTGTGTGTGCATGCTGGGTACCCTACCTTACTGGAATTCACTACTAGGCTAGCCTTACGCAGATGAACTACCATTATTTGCTAGTACATGTTGTCCTGAACGGAGTATGGTTGATTTTGTGACCGGAACTTAAAGCAGCCTGAAAGTATCCGAACAGTATAGTGTGCAATGCTTCATTGCTGTGGTGGCGCATGCCATGTGTGTATGTATTTGCAGTCTGCAGAGGAGGAGAATGAGGAGCCTACCATGGCAGTGTACTTCTACCGGAGCAGTGTCTACATTCCGACTGGTGCTGCCAAGGCTAGTGGAGCGCCAACAAAATTTGCTTTTGTTGTCAAGGTAACGGCATAATGCTATGACCAGTATCCTCAGCCACAAGTGGCATACCGTTCAACAACGGTTTGAAGCTTGACCTTTGAACATTGTAAGATTTCCGTAAACGTTTGCAACGCAACCGTGTGCATTAGATCATACATCCAGCGGGCCCGCCAGAACCGGTCCGGTTGGTCAGGTTATCACCGGACCAGCTTTTTGGCCACCAACATATGTTTACTACAGTGGAGGGCATGGCATGTGTATCCACCATATCAATACACAAACTGTATGAAAGGCCACACTACTACCGGAACAATCAAAAACTGCTTCCGCCGGCATCAAGACCTTGCAGGCTTGACCACTAATCAGTGTATGCGGTGGACCGTAATTTTTCGCAGAGCTTCTACACGTAGTTAGGTGCAAGATATGTTTGTATCTTGTGTAAGGCCCATACGCATGTGGATAAGTTTCAACAAGAACTGGTTTCTGCCATGTCTGGAGGCTAAGTTAGTGGATCACTCTGTCTTCGGTGTTTTCAGTGGTTGATACCACACGTCACATGCCGCGCTTCTTTGTGTGTGTTGCTTTCAGAGCAATGGATCTTACGACCCGGACAACATGGTGTCGTTTTGCGCCCAGTCTGCGCAGGACTTCATTCAATGGGTAGCTGCAATACGCCTGGTGATGGTATGTACTACCTACATGTACAATTCTAGAATTGCTGCCAGTAGCATGTGTGCGTATGTGAGTGAATGTGTGGTTAGTGCTTGTGCCAGTGTGCATGAGTGTGCGTGCGTGTGTGCGTGTGTATGTGTGTTTGTTTGTTTGTCTTCCTGTCCATCTGTTTCTCTGTCGTTGTCTGTGTGTGCGTGTACATAACAGTTAGATATTCGTATGATTTGATTTGCGTAGTCGCTAGTGACATGCAGCCAGACATGGTTGTGCTGTGATAAAGATGTGTCACTTACTAGGGCCTTGCATACAATAATACTGTGTCACCGGATTTGACTGGTGTCTCTCTGTGCTTTATGCTGTGCTCCGTATCAGTTTGGTGCACAGCTGCGGCGTAACCATGGTGTAGTGCGCCGGCAGTTCTCCATGCTGGCCAGGGTCAAGAAGGCGAGGAGAGCGTCGTCACAGCAGACGTAACATAGCAGGACGGTGATTGCTGCCTTGCGCTTTACTGTGTTGGCGTGCAGTAATGTCAGTTCACGTTCAACCACTTGAGAATGTAGCGGTGTTCAGTTGCAAGCATCTCGGGGTTGTTTCTATCCTCGATGCTCCCACCGAATGGCTTGGAGTCTTCGTCTTGCCGCAGTACAACCACAATGCTGCTGAACAGTGAGGCAGGCTTGTTCTAAATCATGTGACAGTTGCCAAGTTAAGTCATTGGCGGAGGCTGCGCATGACCCTCTGGGTCTAGACTAAGCTGATCATCAATTAGCTATCACAACAGATCTCTTAGCACACTGAACAGACAGTACATGCAGTCTCAGTGAGACAGTGCCTTGAAAACTACTAGTAGGACTCAGATACATATATTTCTTCAAAGTAGGAACATTTAGTTGAGCTACACTTAGAAGTGATATATCGCTGCTTTTGCCGGCCCCGGGTACACATGTTGACCATTGTTCTTTAGAATTAGGTTTCATTCACTAACCTGCCAACAAGACTAGGACATAACCCCCTGCAGCATGCAACCCCACTGTGGGCGGCGGTGTCCCGACGGAATTTTCAAGTTGACGTCTTTTTTATGATGCAATGCGTACTGTACTTGTATTACCAGACGTATCCTGAACCTGTGGTGGACAAAGCCCCACTTGGCCATGTACAAACTAGTTCGAGGAAACACGTGTGGTGCGTTGACACCACGTACAAATGTGGTGAATCACTGGTGCAAGTAGCATGGCATCATAACAACGATGTTGACTTGAAAGTCTCGGGTGGGACATCAGCGTATGTGGGAGCTGCACACTCTTGAAGGTACTCCAGGGATGCTGCTTCCCTTAAAAACATTCTTTTCAAGTGTCTTGAGAGACTGAGCTTGGCCCAGGATGATGACAATGATCATTGAGCTGAGATTTCAGTGCACCACGAAATTGTGACCTTTTTGAGTGTAGGAAATGGGTAGCGAAAATGTTTAGCAGGCATGGCTAAAGAAATACGGAATCACAAGGGCGATTCCGTATTTCTTCACATCGGGCCACGACCATTACCGTCGATTCGCGTATTAGCTACCCATTTCCAACGTCATATTTAAACTAGTGACTTCACGCGTGTGAACATATTGAACGCATGCTATACTACAATGTAATTGCCTGCAAGATGTCGGTTACTGTTTCCGAGGATCATCACTTCTGTATTTCCACAGAAGAGCACTGAGTGACAATCGTGGCCATTTTTTGTGTTTCACCTACTTCCTGTTGTCCGCGCTCGGTGGAGGCTGCCACCTGCAGTGTTCCCGTATACGTGTACATGTACGTCTGACATGATACACTGTGACACAGCCGTAACTCACCCGGTCCGGCCGGTCAGGTCATGGCCTGACCATTTTTTGGAAGAAAAAAAGTTGATCTACCCGAGAAAGCTGATAACTTACCCGTTCAAAACTGGGTAGTCACACTGAGTAAATTAATAGGGTCGTGATAACACGCGAGCATGCAATGACTATGCACAATCATGAGGTGCACATACATACATGTATGTACATATTAGATAAACCTTGTTTTGTTCAAACATGTTGTTGGTTGACAGCATGTAACAAGGTGGAGGTCACTGTGTTCGGAAACAGTGACCTGTCTACAACCATCCACGGTTGGTAGAGCCCCGGTCGGTTGCGACCATCTGAACCGGATGGGTGTTAGACCCGGTTCTGACCCTCTCCGCTATTCTAGGGGAGTTGTCTTATACTTCTCGTACCGTCAGTCTTGTACATGTATTCTTTGTTCACTCCTGGATGTCTTCTCGATACTCGTAAACTTAGTAGCGAGTATTATTCTGAATTGTTCTTCTTTCTTCTTAAAAAAAAACCCCGAATCCATTCTTGTGCTAAACAAACTCCTAATATCATCGTTTGTAAGAATGGACTCGGTCTTTCTTTTCTAAGAAGAAAGAAGAACAATTGAGAATAATACTCGCCACTAAGTTTACGAGTATCAAGAAGACATCCAGGAGTGAACAAAGAATACAGGACTGACGGTTCGAGAAGTATAAGACAACTCCCCTAGAATAGAGAGGGTCAGAACCGGGTTTAATTAACACCCATCCGGTTCAGATGGTCGCAACCGACCGGGGCTCTACCAACCGTGGATGGTACTAGTAAGGTCACTGTTTCCGAACACGGTGTCCTCCACCTTGTTACATGCTGTCAACCAACAACATGCAGTATGTTCATGACTGTATGCATAGCGAAGAGAGACTTAGACTTGTACCTTTGCTGTGTGCAGGCTATTGTCCACAGTCAGGACCGTCATCCAGCGCTCTATGCCTCCCGAGGTTTTAAAATGTCACCAATCTGCAATGTAGGAGTATCAAGAGCAATGATTATGATAAGCAGTAAAGCTCCCCACTCAGGCCCACCATCTCCGGCCAAGACTCACCCACCATCATGGCAGACAGTATGAAGAGAACAATGACACCCCCAAGGGCCATCATCTGATCATTGTGTGTACACACTTACACACAGTACACTGGCTGAGTCATGTAACTCAAACTCTCCATCTATCTGACAGTAGGTCTATGAGAGCAGCATTCATCAGGCCTGGCCCTGGGAGCCATACATTATCATAATAATTATGATACAAGTAATGTATGATTGTATATCATGTAGCCTACAATTAGTACGTGTACTTGACAAGTACAAAAATTAATATTGAATACTTTCAGAATAGGCTCAGCATACCATCATCATGCATACTGACATATCTGTCATGATCTGAACTGCATGCATGCGTGTGCACAGACTCAGTGCACTAGTACATATGGTACATGAGTACATGTATACAGTACAGTGTGCATGCACGTGCGTGCGCACGTGCCTCATGCTCATGATCATCAAACAAACATGGCGCCACGGCTGTTTCGCGGCCACCACTTAAGGTGGCTCCTACCCCTCGGGTCCAAATTCTTTTTGTTTGAAACGTGGCTACAAACGATTGTACTCTGTTCCGCAGGATATCTAGTGTACGGAGACAAAATTTTATCAAGTTCTACCGGCCGGTTTCACTCGGGGGAGGGGCCAAACATAGCATACTCACAATTGCCAATTTAGGCCAAAAAACACCGGAAAATCACTTTTTTGGCCGTAGCACTCGTAGTTACCCCATTTTTCTTGATGTCCAACATCAGGACAGTAGTATACTTGCTAAATACCAGCATAAGCTTAAGAAGTGGGTAGAATTCTGCTAGAAGGTGACCTTTTTCTCTTTTCGGAATCATCCCATTTCAGCGCACACGTCCCACATATTAGCCCCGCCCACAAGTATTTGACACTGGACTTGCCCTGTATTCGATGGTTATGCTATCATAACCTAATAATGCTACTGTGTAGCAAGTCTGAGCAGGTTCTACCGAAGGTAACTCTTGAAATAAAACTTTGAAGTGTCAAGTGATGCCATATTTTCAAGAATCAGCACATTGCACTGGGACATTGTCCAACGCCTTAGAACCCCTGACTCCACCATATGACAGATACGTATCTTGCGATAATTGATTGCAACATCTTCAGAACATAGTAGTAGAGCTTTGGATCAAGTTTTAGCAGTTTCCACCGAAGCTAACTACCGAAATAGAACTTTGAAGTCGCCCACATACTAAATGCCATAGCTGAGCATGTGCATTGTGTGTATGGTCTAAAGGTTTTCACAACTAGCTCCAATGCGGCAGATACGTGTCTTACATTACTTGATTGCAACATCTTCAGAACATAGTAGTAGAGCTTTGGATCAAGTTTAGACAGTTTCTACCGAAGCTAACTACCAAAATAGAACTTTGAAGTCGCCCACATACTAAATGCCATACATGTAGCCGAGCATGTGTATCGAGTGTACATGTATGCTCTAGTGTTTTTCACAACTTTCTCCAACATGAAGCCAATACTGATGTGGAATTTGTTGACTGCTTTGCCCAAAACACAGTACTGAAGCAATGCACATTGGGCACATTCTACTGGTAATGCAATTATTATTATACAGTGTTTGCTGCCAACATAGCAAGCAATACTGCTATACTAAATGCGTATTCCATTGGGTACGGTCCAATGGCTTTTCACTTCGCATCTAGCCACTGTTCTTCGTGCATTTCTTGAATGCTAAGTCTCCGTGGTAATGAAGCTAAGAGCCACACTGGAGAAGTTTCTACTGAAGCTAACTATCAAAAATATAAAATTTCCAAGATGCTACTATAAAGTCTATTACATAAAGTAGCTGTGTGCAATGCCACTCTGTTGAACACAGTAAGCAAAATTGAGTCACTAAAACCCTATTTGCCAGATATAAGCTGTTGAGACTGATAGCAGCTAAGCTGTATGATCTGATATGGATGGCGGTTCCACACTGACCAGCACATGTACATGTGCACAGGCAGAAGAACATACAAGTAATACACCTAACGTTACTTCGAAGTCCATCATGTAAATACAAGCGTATATACAAGCATCACTCCTGTTCTCCAAAACCTGCAGTCCTGGGCCACTCCAGCTGGTCAGAGTGCAATAATTTCTGCAGCAGGCTTGACTTGGAAAGCTAATCACAACTGCCATGGCTGCAACATGAGTATTACCAGCGCTTTTACAGTGCTACTTGTATTATATTATTGTCAATCCATTGTGGTGCATGGCACTCGTTTTCAACAACCAAGTTTATGTCATTAGTTGCATATCCAACGCCAATAGAAAAAAGAAGGGGTTGGGCAAATTACCACGGTTCAACACTAGTCATATTGAACGGCGTTATGCCATGCCAGGCGCGCACACAAAACGCCCGCGCGAGTGCGCATGCATGTACACACCCGGGTAACACACATTCCTGCGACTTTACATAGCCTGCACTGTCGTTCTATGTCATAGGAGGGAGTGCACACACATACGTACATGTAGATTGCCTAATTTTGCATACGTAATAAAATTGTGTAAGTATACACACATGTGCGTGAAAATATAGATAGACTCAGCGGCATATGCATGAGTGTGTGCCGATAGGGCCACATGCCAATTATCGGATTAGTCTGTGAAAGCTGCACGGCACGACAAACTTTTGGAGTCTAAAGATATGACACAATGAATGTGGAATACCCACCAGTGTGTAAGACCATTTCATACCTATTTCGCAGCGTTTGTGATTTTCGGAGCGTCCCTGTTGATATTTGATGTCCTCACCGTAAGTTGGTTGATGACACAGTCACAAATTATCAAATTCACCTCCAATGCCATCCAATCTACGTTCCGCGATACATGTACAGTGAACGGTGTTGAGGAAAGCCATGCAGCAATAAAACAGTCGAGACTCCCAAGCAGAGGATACAATTCAACAGCGTATTGAAGTACGAATTGTTGTAAACAATTTTCAAGACACAATTACAAAATTTGAAGTGCGTCTTGAAACGTGTTTGAAGTGCTTCGATGTATTTACCTTCGATCTCCCTGAATCGATCCATCCACAGCTACCCGACGAATTTACCAGTCAGTGCGGGAGATGATCGAGCAAGTTATATTTGAAGGTCGCGAGATGTCAGTGGCACTGGCAGGAAATCTACACAAGCGTATTCTGAAATAATTTTCTAAGACTCAGGCGTGATTCAAGAGCGGACTTTGATTTCTCCCTTCTTATAGTACGAGCACCAGTCGACATTGCATTCTTGGAAAATCTTCTGCGAGTGCTGCCTTCCCCTTTCATAGAAAGAACGAGTGAAGAGGGACACTAGCAGTAGGTTCTAGCTAGGTCGCCAGAATTGCAGAAAAGCGAGAAGACGTTTCCTACAACGATTTATCGCACAAAAATCATCGCTACCGAAACATTTACTGAAAATCTACACTTTTCAAACGATGCGCGCGCAGAGGGTGTGAGCCAGGGAGTCGTATACGCGTAAATACAGGGAGTCGTAAAATACCATTTTTTACGACTCCCTGGTGTGAGCCACCTTAACAATATGGCGGCCTTCGCCCAGGTTTACGGTGAAATTTAAAAATATTCTGAAAACTGAAAAAGATTTCAAGATCCTGTGGGATTCACGCGAAAACTGTGCTTTGTCAAGGTAACAAACACCGCGATCGGGACAAGGATTCAAAACTTTCGAAGTCGCACAACAAAAATTGTTCAGCTTCGACAACAACAAACAAGGAAAGAAAAGGAAGGAGAAGGTAGACAGCAGGTTTTTGCTGGACGACGTCTCTTCCTGTTGTCACTACAGAGCTCAACTAGTAGTCAGCAGTACTGTTGTTATTTTTCTTACCTGGATCAGGGCTGAAATGGCCAAGCTGCTGCGTCCAGGGCCTGAGGATCACTGCTCGAGCTCGGACGCCTTGCGTTTTCTTGATGCCGTGGCGGGACGAACAGCGTCATGTTGTGGCAATGTCCCGACGAGATGTTGCTGGCACATTGCTGTGAGGCGCTGCAGAGTCCCAGGAATAGCGTTATAATCGAAGCTCAGCCTGTTGAATCTGGCATGAATTGACTCGCTGCCCTGCTCGGCGAGTCGACCCTGACCGACTCCAAATTTCCTGGTGAACGGGACTGTGCGCTCCTCCAAGAGATATAGTTTCGGAGTTATGTTGCCGAGCTGCCGGGTGATAATGGATTCTCTGCATTTCTGAAGAAACAGCTGGATGCAGTCAGCCAGCTTTGAGATGTCGGCCTCTGACATGCTGTTGCAATGGCTGAAACGGTGGCTGCAGTCGGCATATCCCGAAAACAATCCATGGTACCGCTGCTGCAAGATTTCTGCATCAGCAACGAGCTGCTGGCAACGAGTGGAAACCACCTCAACTGGAGCAGACATCAGTGCTCTTAGTACGGCAGGCTGCAGTGTGCGATGTACATGGTTGCCCACGAAGGCACCGCCATGGAAGGCTTGCCGATCAACATTGTGTGTTTGGAGCACAGACTCGAGACTTGACGCGCATGGTCCTGTGACTTTCTTGTTCTTTCTCATCTCGTCTAAGTCATGTACGAGTTTGCTGTGCTCAGCACTTGCAGCAGTGAAGGCGTCGCTGGCGTCTTTCCACAGTTGCTGTATTGCTGCAGCTACAGTGTCCATGTTGACGTTGGGAAAGCTGGTCGGTGCGTGTTGCTGCAAGAGCACTGCATATTGGAGCTGCTGCTGTAGTTCATCGCTCTTCGCCTGGGCATCTTCCATAGCTTGCCTGGCGGACCGAACTTTGTCGCTGAGAACTGTTAGCTCTTGAAACTGGAGCTGATCATCTGCACACGGCTAGAGAGTTGCTGCTGCCAGTTTCACATCCAGTTGTTTGACTTCAGCTAGGTAGATGTCATACAGCCATGCGAAAATGCCGAGATCCAGATGAAAAGACGGAATAACAACGTTGCTGACGGGAATTGGCAAGATAACTGGGCGGATGGCATTGTTGTGGTGCTTGGCTTGCGAAAGATTTGCTCCAGAGGCGGTCACCGCCAAGTTTTAGCCGAATCTCGGACTCCGGAATGACATTTCCGTGCCAGGTCAGCCACCCATATGTGTCGTACAAGTCCAGATCATCAGATCATCACGATGTCAATGAGATTTGGCATGTACGCCATGCATGCCATCACTATGCTGCCGTCTTTCTTATTCATTGGCACTTCCCTTGCTGTGTATTGTGGAACCTGCTGCGCAATGAACGAACCTAGTCTTGTCCAGTTTCTTCTGTGCGCTGTATGTCGGTGTTGCGTGCGTGAAAACATTTGCTTCATCTACATCCATTTCACTAGTACTGTGTGGTGTCTGGGGTCCAGGAGAGTGTGATAGGGGTTTTGCTGTTGTGGATGAATGTTGTGGGACTGTTGTGTGATCCATTTCTTTTCTTTTTTTTGTACAGCAGAAAGCTTTGAAGCAAGTTGCTTCTGCTTTTTTGGTGGACGTCCACCCTTGTTTGGTGCAGTGTGGCATATGTCGCAGTATGTGCGGTGATGTGGCTTCCACACTTTGATCGCTCCACATCCATCCCCTACAAACGAGTCAAGGCAACCTTCTCTCAGACAACGATCCAGCACACGTTTGCATACATGACAAATGTGTGTAGGGTGGATCGCAGGGTCATCCTGAGAAATGTCGACCTCGTACACATCTTGAATGATCTGGCATAGTCCTTCACGTTGTATTTCGTGGACACAGCCATGTTGGCAAACTTTTTGCCACCAATACTGCAGCAGGTAGACAGCAATGCACTGTGTTCATCCATTTTACACACTACCACTAGCACGCGATACGGTAGAATCGATGGCCACGGAAATCGATCTAGTAGCACGGAAAGACAAACAAATTCAAAAAATCGGTAAATGAAGTCACCCAGGCACCAGGAAAACTGGCAAAGAAGACGAGAAAACTTCTATAAGAGAAGAAGGTAGCTGTGAAAAGGGCTGATAGAAGTGACGAAGGGCAAGTCGTCAAGGCAAAGGAAACGCACCTCTGAAGGAATCGTTCCTGGAAGAAGACGGCCAAGACGGGTATCAGATGAAAGAGGATCGCGAGAGGAAGTCATGAAGCGTGTTTGTACTATGAAACCCGGTCGATTGGAAGGGGAAAGTGGAGGTTTCCTCAAGAGAAAAAGAGTATTTTCAAGCAAATCAATGACAGATCGATGATGAGATTTTTGAATTTTCAAATTTTTGGACGCCATATTTTTTGGCCGAGTACATGACCATCGTGACAGCCGTGGCGCACGCACCAAATGCGTGCACACGATTCGAAACGATCGTGCATGCATGCATGCACGCGTGGCAAAAATCTCGTACTCCGAGTACAAAGCT